CTAACTGATGGCTGCTTTTCACGACTTGGGGCAGTTGAAACCTTACCTTCTAATCATTTAAATTCCTCCATCCACTGATAATAAGGATTCATAATAAGCGCTAACAAGTCGACAAGTGCCCATCAGTCGTTCAGCAGGAAATATTGCAATACATTGGTGGCTTGTTTTGGCGAAGGGGCCAATTTGGGCCTCCACTATTTTACATCCTCCGGGTGGGCTAGCCCTCGGGCCATATCAGTGGCCCCAACCCTTTCTGCCCCAGCATTATGCCTTTTTTCATCTTCAGGAAATTCTTGGGCAGCGACAATATGCCTGTACAGGGGCCTATCCTCGAGGTAAGTTCCTCCTCACAACCAAAGTATGTTCTGTACCAATGCAGCTATGCTGTGATAGTCAATAAAAAAAGCAAATTTTCTTCCATACGCAGCGAAGATTACACTAAAGTACTACCATTTACTGTGAGAAAGAGCATGAAGCTGCACGGGAACCGTTGTTAGCAAAAGCTGATCGTGGATTTGTAGCTCGAAAATCATCCCACTTTTCACCGCCGGCCTACAATTTGCCGAATACACTAATTAAAAGGTCCGTTACTCGCTGTTGTACCAACTTTGAGAGCTGTAGTACATGACACCAGCATTGTTATCCACGGGACCATTCACCATGAATTACTTTGAACAGCAGGCGGCAGAAGCATTTCGTTAGAATGGAAACATTCTTTTGTGTATTTGAGGCATTATTTGCCTTACTTAAATACTATGCTGCATGTGCGTGCGTACCCATTTGTTTCCTTTCTCTGGAAATAATCAAACTTAGCAAGCCCAGCAATCCTCCAAAATGGCATGATTGGACATTTTGAGCTATATGTGGCGTTTCTACTGTCTCGAACACTTTCCTCCGTTGCTTTCACAACACTTTGATCGGTGGGTTAGTGAACACCCACATAAACCCTTTCAGAACGCATCTATGAGGTGAGGAAATGAACTCCGACTTCTTGCACAATTAAATCCAAAAGGCAGCTGCAAATGGGTGAACTTACAAGAATTTGTGCCTAAAAATATTATAAGAAGTCACTGACTTGAGAATACCAAGATCAAAGTTGCCTTGTTGGAGTGGAGGAAGTGAAATGCTCTCGAGAATGGCAAGAAGTCGTGGCAATCAAGGAGGTATATAGGATCAATAAAATCAAGTGAAAGTTCAGTCTTCCTGCGGGTCATAAAACGTGCCTCGTCGTCGCATTAAAATGGAGGAGGTGGGGGGGGGGGGGGGAGGGGAGGGGAGATAGTTATGCAGATTTGTATGTAACATAGGACGGGACGAAGGGCGGGCGGAGAGGGTTTAACGGTTGTAGATGGAAGCAAAAACGCGGTCAACGACGTTGGTTCACGCAAAAAGTGGACGTTCTTCATCTCCTGCTGCTGCTGTTTTTATGGTGTCTTTATATGCACTCTGTATCTGGGGCGCGCCTTTGATGTCTCAGCAATTTAAAGGAGTTGTGATCTAGGGCCATGAATATCCATCCTCCTTAAGATAATAGTATGTAGTGTCCAAGTTATCTCTAAAGATATCATTGGTCGACTACTTTATATAAATAACAGAGAGGAGTTGGGAGCCTATTAGCATAGATGACATTCGCATAGCCGATTTAAGGGTGGCTAAGGAGGCCTGGGCAGTTAAACACACAATTAAAGCAAAAAATAATTCTATTGTGTGTGTTTTGAGGCGCGTCCACTCTTCTGTTTCGGGTGTCGCAAGCCTCCCCATCAATCTCAATCAATTACGAGGCAGAAAAATGATCTAATGATGGATTAACATCGCATCGAGTTAGCGCCTCTATTCAGTGGTGGCGCTGGTATATCTCGCAGTTTTAGGTAGTATTTCTAAGTATCACCTTCCCCAATCCCATTGCAGACGGGTTAATTTGGAAAGTGGTTCTAAGGGCTAGACAGTGTACTATGGTAGTCATATTTCGCCTATCAAAAGTTCACTGGGGATGGTAAATTCTATGGATACTACTACACATCACTGAATAGGCAGTTGCTGATTACCAAATTTTGATTAGTTCAAGCATGGTAATACAGACCATCAAGTAGAATCCGAGAGCAAAATTTCGACAGCCCGTTTGTTATGTGTCTCCAAAATTCATCTATTCACAACAGATCCTTTACTTCTGTGATACTGACGCATTATCCAGCCGATGAGGCACCAAAATCCTACCTAGAGCATCATAAAACGTATAGCTCCCGAAGCGGTCAGATTGTCAATATACAGAACGTCAGGCAGACTATTGGGTAGATGGGAGGGAAAATGTATCCGAGTACTTGTGCTACCCTTCAAACGGGTGCCATCCATAGATGACGAAAGCCAATGTTTAATAAAAATTATCCATAACAGATCTGCTGTGTTAGCAAACCAATTCATGCACAAGAGGATTATAACCGGTATAACTGTAGTCGCCTAGGTAACTCACTGACCTGGGAAAGCAATATGTAGCTTAGTAGAAATGACATTGAGTAAGCAACATGAAATGTCAAGCAGGCTTGCAAGTTTGATTGGGTAGACCCGTCCAAAGCGGCATAATTAAGGCCAAGTGATTGTGTTGTCTCCGAGGCGGGTACATAGGCCGATCCCCGCGAGTAAAGCTGAAAGTTACACCTTAAAGAAGGCTAGAATGCAAACTATTTTCAACCGGATGTTCAAACTTTTCAAGCAACTTTTAAATGAGGTTGATTTGACTTTAGGAAGCAACAATTACCCGTGATACTTTAATAATTGCTCGACTCTTCATTTTGATTTCCCGGACATTTAAGGCTCCGCCTTTGTACTTCCGCCGGGCGGCGTAGCCTCTAGGCCATGCCAGTAATTCCCAACCCATTCTCTACGTAAGTAATACATTTTCTTCCCTAATATTACGTCGCCTTCGTCCTCAGAGAACTCTCTGGGAGTAATATTGGTGGCAGCGGAAAGCGAATCTAAACCTAGAGGGTATCTTCCCCGATTTCAAACACTGAATGCAAAAGCTTAACGTGAAGGAAGAAGACCATGAACCGCGGGTGGGATAGTATGTGATAAACCCTAGGAGGAGTTAAAAATGAAGATGGCAACTACCACAGTCCCACTTTCTGCAGGAGTGCTATTCACAACCAAAGCGACAAAGCCATGGTCGTTCATTACGGAGCAGCTTACGGAATCTCGATGACGACATCAACTAAGTGAGCACACGACATCTCCCCCACCTCTCTACTAGCTAGGTAGAGCCAAGATAGGTATGGCTGGGCAGCAGTGAAGTAAGAAAAAAGTGTGCAGGAGGAACAGACGGGAAACATCATTCCCATGAAACTATTTCAAATATCGCCCCTATTAGATGACTGCTTTTGGACAATTGTTCTGCCGACTAGTGATGGACATACGTGGTGGCCTGCACATTTCCCCTCCAACCAATTCAGCTTTCAAAAAGCACGAAAGCCCAGATTGAGCAGAATTGGCAAGAAGGGTCAGTGACGTTGCAGTCAGATATCTTCTCAGCTGCGCCCAAATTCGATGATTGCCGCAATTGGTTTGTGGGTGCATTTTCTTGCAGTACTGACCACGTTGTGATGGCCAAGGTGGGAGTTTGACCAAGAGGAGCGCTGGAGATGACGTTCAAAAAGAGAAGAGGGAGGCAGTGTAGTACTTCTTTGGTTAATTCAAGTCTTCGTTTTGGTTTTGCGGGCACCTAAGACCTCACGTTTGTACTTCCGCTCAGCGGCATGACCTTCTGACCATGCAATCAGCCCCTCAGCCCTTCTGTGTGTCGGCAACACCTATTCTGCCCTAGTATATTGCTTCTTTCGGCTTAAGGGCAGACTCGGAGCACTCCGAATGAACATCGAATATTCGTAAATCACTGTTCCGCTAAGTAACAACAAAATTACCCGAGTTCTTTTCCTTAGGGAAAGTAGCTTGGATTTGATTTATTGGCACATTATTCTATCCTATATGGCACATTTTACTAAAAAAGATTCAAATGTGAAGAGAAACGAGTGCTCCAATTAGCACTAAATTTCTTGGCATATTTGTCTGCCATCATTCAAGGAGGAAATAAATTTGAGGAAATTAGGGGAAATATGGTTACGACAGATCAGAATTCCGCGATTCTCGTTTTCCAGGAAAGTTTTGACACTTAAATGAGTTGTTGGCCAACTTCTTGACAGGTTAATGAAAAATGCAGGAGCAAACTCATTAATTTTAGCAGAAATTCCCCTGATGTTCTTCTAATGCGAAAGTTTGCCAACTGCACACATATATCATACATAGCATGAGGTTCCCGTCAAGGATAACGTTAACGGGATTACTACGGTGGATTAATAGCTTGAAGTATGTCACAGATACTGCGCTAGAGCAAGTGATTAAGCCCTTTGTGAAACTCTAGGGCGGATGTTGTACCTTAGTGGACGTAAGATACCTCGGGAGGCGCATTTGTCTGCATGACAAATCTGTCCCCGGCTGAATGACTTAATCAGATGGAAGCAAAAAGGCCGCTCCCTACGGCTCCGCCCAAATGGATGACTAAAATAGCTGCTTCCTTTCCTCTGCAGAAGCAGGCTTGCCCTGGGAGTGAGTCAAAGAGCTTACAGAGGAAGGCAGTATGTAGGTAGAGGCGGATTAAATTTTCCTCTAAATTGCAACAGAGCAAGGGCGGTGGCCTAATGAACATTTAATTTCTCATAGCGTTGGTTTAACATGTTCACGAATTAAAATAAATGCGGTGGCATGAAAATCAAGTGCGTGGTAAAGTTGACACATCCTAAATTTCGACAACCACCAAATGGGGTAACCTACCGGAGCGTAATTTTCTGCATTCAAAACTATGGAGCGTGGCATCTTTTCGAAGGACATTTTAAAGATTTTACGGCCTTTTCGCAGGATTGCATTTAACTGCATTGAATACCTTTTTGCTATCCGAGGTACGAACCATGCCCTGACTAATTGCAACTATTGATGGGATCTTAACAACCTGGAAAATGTGTCCTTTGGATACTTTTGCATGCGAGCAGTTTAAAGAAGAAATGAGCATCAATAAGTGAGTACCATGGTATTGTCTCTAAAAGAATGACAGGTGAGTTGAGTAATGGAGCAAGTACCACAAATGTACTATGGGGATACGTAGGAAGCAAAACCCACTCCACTGAAGTGCGGCTAATAAGACGGCGATCCGCATCCAACGATCAAATGGAGGGTTTCCAGATTTGATAAGGGGTGTCAAAGGTACCGAAGAAGGTTTGAATCATAGGTACCTACGGTACGGCGTCAGAGTCCTTTGTTTAATTCACCTAAGGACGAATGCAAACATGTACATTAAAACCCTTAAAAGGAATTATTTTGCCTTCCAGCTTAACAAAATGATGAGAAGATGCATGGAGGCCTACCAAACATAGATGAAAGGACGAGACGAGTGGCAAGCCAAAATGTCATTATTTCAAATTCCGCTTCAATCTTAGAGAACAGTTCGAAGAAATCGGACCTCGATTTTAGAGGAAAAATCAGTCTCATTTCGTCAAACCACTGAAGACTACCACATTTATTTTTCCTACTATTAATATGTCGAACGTGAACTTTCTGTTAAGGCTAACTGGTAGACCTTCCGCGTTGTACCAATGACCTTCACTGACCTGAAATATGGAAAGTAATGGTGTGAATGACACTAGCGAGGTTTGTGTGGATCGATCTCCCTAATCCACATCTTCCAGGCCTACCCAAAGCTGCAGCAGAGATAGAGCACACGCAATTCCTGTCAGGTCACCAGCGCCTCAGCCACAGCAGAGGCAGCGTTTACAGCAGACCTACTTAAAACCCATACGGAGAACTTGGCAGCAAGGCACCACGACACATCAACCCTTTCCCGTCTACTTCCAGTTTGGTGAACAGTTTAGAGAGCCTGTAAGAGAGCAGCACACGCGTACTCGTCACCATAACTACAACCAGTCTACTTGATCAGGGTCGATGAAAAGGGTATACCTTCCCCCCAATAACACTCACCAAATCAATCTTCGAGGAAATACAAAATATGCAGCAAACGTGGTGACCACTAAACTTTATGATTCCCACCTATTTATTCTATATTTCAATCTCTGGGTATTGTTGAATATTTTTGCGTGAATTGAGTCGAAGTGGGCTTGAGGCGTTATTTATGCAAATGAGGCAAATGATCATGCCATCTAGGTTACAACGCATTATAAATGAAGAATTATTCCGAAAAGAGTAGCAGCAGTTAATCCTTCGCAAGGGCAACTCATGAATGAAATAAATTATAAGCCTTTAATATGGTATAGGGGATCAGAACAAAGAAAACCTTCTAGAAGGTGTAGATTGGCGCACTCGTAAACAATCACACGAACACTTTTTGAAAGTCAGTCTCCTTCACCAATGGGAGGCTGCGAAACAACCCAGAATACTGCCAATTCAAGGCCATTGGTATTAGCAACAACCTTGATATTTCAACAAAAACAGCTACAACAAATCAGGGCATGCCTTTTTCCAGGACATACAAAACACTAATTTTGGTGTTTTTGAACTATTACTTTTATTTTGAGACTACTAATTATACGAAATGCATGACAGCGCAACCATAATGCGGGTGTAGGGAAGCAAATGTAAAACGCTTGTAAATTTATTAAAACCAATAGTACTGTCTTATTACAAGGGCAAATATATCTAGTAAACAATAACTTGAAGGAGTCATGTCTTGCTTGTTCAAAAAAGAAAACTTTGAATAATGCTGAATTTCCCCCTCTCTCACCAAAGTGCATGTAATTTTACATGCAGATTGCTTCTACCTAAGAGAAACTACAGTAAACGAGCGACTTAATTTGGGTAAATCTAGAACAAACGGGAGTGTCCCGTTCGAGTGAAAATTACCATACCTCCGTGCAGAACAACAAGCTTAGATCAATAGAAAGTGTGACACTGCGGCTCGAATTTTCTTCTTTTCCTCCTTCCTCCCGTAGTGTCCACTTTTTACCTTATTCGCAAATAGAATGGGTGGCTAGTTTTTGCTCAAAACAGAACAAGCTTAAACACGAACAACCGCCTTCCTTGCGACCCCTTTGCTGATCAGTGTGTGGAGCGAGGCTCCTCGGTCTCCGCTTCCCAATTCCTAGCGTTCCTAGACAAGCCCGGTTGATTCGCTTTGGACATCTTTATTAAAGGTGACAAGATGGATAGGGAAAATACAATATTCAAGAAGGGGGGGAGCCGCAGTCACTAGGTAAGGGAGAGGACGACCCGGTTACGAGGTTCGAATTTCCTGATTGCCTCCTCCCTGAAAGGCACATTAAAACAAAATAAGTATTACAAGTGGGTAGACGATTAGCTTTATTAGGATTCATAAAATCAGCTAATATTTTAAATTAATCAGAATGGCTAAATTGGGTACATCATATTTCTGGAGCAGATAAATGGAGGTTTGAGGTGCGGACCCCTGAATTTGCTCTTTCCGTTTCGTAAGGGTCGGTGGTGAATTCGACCGCCTTGCTTATCCTCGTCGCACGTAACTGAAACAAATTCCTGTAGCAGTTAAGCCGATTATGAAACGGATTAGACATCTCTAGACGATTTGCTTAGACCTGCGTCGAATTTGTTTAACAGTTTGCACTGCAATTCGAGAAATCCCTGTCTTAGGCTAGGTGTTTCTCTCTTCCACTGCAGCCTTCATACCCCTGAATGGAGCAGACGAGCTGGATGAGGAAATGCCTCATTGAGTGATTATGAATGAAGGGGTACAAATATCTCCGTTGGATATGTTCAGGGTACATTTCCTCCTCGGAAACCGATGGCGTCCGATCCATTGAGAGGATCGCATTTACTGACCGTCTCTAGCCCAACTGGTACATTCAAACATTCACCCACTTCAGTTTTTCACCCAGAAAGCACTACGATAGAATTCAATGCTCCATAGCAGCCATTTATCATTCCTCCCAATTTATAAATTATTTAAACCTACGAATGTTTACGCTTGCATCCAACGTTTTTGTTGCCAAAGGGCTACCTCAACTAAAATTTTTTATTTATTTGTATTTTAAAGGTTACTTTCTCTACGTTAGTAGGTCCTAGGACTACGGTAGGCAGGAGCGGGAGGCCCAGAGTTGAAAGTTAATAACGCAAGTTAGAAGAAATAAAAATAAAGCTGTTGAAACCGGTAATATGCTACCAATCTTGATACTTTTTAGTCACGATTACCCAAACGTTAAGGAAGAAAATTTGAAGAAGATAATGGTTCTTATAAGCGAAACTCACATTTAATTAAGCGGTGTCAGCCATGAATGCAAGGCATTATCTTCTTCCTGCAGAGGAAAAATTAGTAAAGCTATCCTAGAGGTAAACTTTGGTACACGGATAAGGAAGTGGGCTGGGTAGACAAGGCGAAAAATGTAGTCATTGGGACTACCATAAATACTGACCGACTGACGAAGTTATACTGGATCTAAAATTTCTATTCAGACATAGATCCTGTGGAGGAGTTTTTGATTTACGACTAGTTATTTAACTATTTGTTTTGGTTTCGCAGACGCTTAAGGCGGCATGGCCTCCGTACCACGGCAGTAGCCCCCAGATCTGGTATTGTGTCTCCTTTCGTCTTTGGGGGAGACTTGGGGCGCTGCAGCACAAACCACGATAGTGGCGTGACGTTTCACCAAACAATGAAATGCCGGCGGCAGGCAAAGTCACAACTGCAAGTGACTTCGCCGTTTTTGCATCCTTAAGTAAACATCTTTTGAGTGACAACGTTAATAAGCCGGCTGTAACAAAATGTGTTGTCTGTTCGCCGCATCCACCGACAAGAAAGGGTGATTCACCAAATTGAAAGCTGAAGGCAACATCAAATTTGACCAGTCTGATGTGGTTGAAATCTTTTCAACACAATTCAAACTGCCTTACCGGGGAAAACGTTCATATAGCCATACAAGAGATGGCATGAGCGCAAAATAATGAACTACGTTTAAAGCACTACATGTAAATTTTTTCTATAAATTTAGGGAAAGCTCTCAAAAACATGGTGTTTAATTTTAAGGATGCCATGTCTCAGTTCATCTTATTATTTTTGCAATCACAACTGTTGCTGTTCTTAAGTGTAATCTACTAGAGGAAGATTTTCCTGCAAAAGTATGGAGAATTTAAGTGGATTGTTACTCCTGTTTATCAATTCTATGTGGAAATGGCCTCAATGAATACTTGTCAAAACACGACGTAACTTGCGTTCAAGTGTCCTTCTAGTTAAAATTAAACGTGAAAAAAATCTTAAATATAAGTAAGTGCGTTTTAAAATGTGTAATGCACCCAGTCTTCCCTAAAGGTGAAGGAAGACATTACTAGGGTGGAATACGTATGGCCGACGTACAGAGGTGCTGGGAGAGGGCGGCACCGGCATGTCCCGGATGCCATGCCACTGGGTAGAAGTATAATGGCCGTGCTCTTCAGTGCCCCCGCAACCAAAACGACAAGGTAGACAAACAAATTATTACGTAGCTCCCTTTCCTTTTGATCGGCGTCCTCAGCGCTACTCTTGGCCAATCTCCCACCTCGGCTATCACAACATAGTCAGTACCATAATGGAAACGTCCACAAACTAGCCGCATTGGCCATCAGATTTACATGTAACTGAGATGACATCTGATCATAAAATTGCTGACCCCTCTTGACATTTCTACTGGATCCAGGGTTTCTTCCTAATTGGGAACTGCTTGGGGGAAGGGGAATGTGCAGGACCATCACGTATGTCCATCGCTAGCCGAGAGAACACTGGCCTAAAAGCAAAGCCATTTTTTAGTGCTACCTCGCCATATCTATCCATTTATCTATCTATCTGTCTATCTGTGTTCGATCTTGCTAGTGGGGGGCGGGAGAAGTATCGCGTGTTCACTTCATTGAAATCTCCATAAAGGTACAGTATAAAGCTCGGTAAGGAACATTTCCGAATGGTTCGTTATCACGGCTAGTGTCGCTTTATTTGTAAATTGCATTCCTGCAGAACACGAATCTGGGGCAGTTGCCGAAGATGGACATCATTAAAAATCCTACCCTTAAAGATCGCCACAGATTTTCCATCCGTAGCATATGTCCTTCTTCTGTCACATTAATGTTTAGCATTCAGTAATGTGAATCAGGGTGGATGCCCTCATTCAGCTGCCGCCAATGTAGCGCCCTGAGGCTTCCGAGAAGTCGGATTACTAGTACAGGAAATGCATTGACGACGTCTAGAAGCGCCGGAGGCTGCCAGCAAGGTTCGGAGGCCATGCCAACCGGTGAGAGTATGAAGGCGGACACTTCAGTTAAACCAGCAATGTGGGTATCACAAATGATTAGAAAAGATCTTAGTGACACCACCCAGATTTTTTTTCTCCAATTCCAAATCTATGGAGAATATTAGCATTGTGAATGACTTCGGCACATTTGAAACGGATATGGTGTGTTCGCTGGCACGAATAGGTGAAGTCTGTTGTGAATTGCTTGTACACAGCGACAATAGGGCAAATGTGTATGCGGACAGCGCAAAACTGTGAAAGAACACAAAGCCTACATGTACTTAACATGACCATTGTTTGACAAGGTGTACTGCACCCGCAAAAGCGACCAGCAATGAGAAATGGATACACCCTTCGGGGTCTCACAGGGACAGACACCTACAGCTGACCACAGCGGTGGCTATTTACCACAATTTCCGGAAATTCATTGCACCCTGAGTTTAGCATATGTGAGGAAACCTGTTTCTAACATCAAGAGGGGGATGTTGGTGACCTGAGCAAAGTTTGCGGGTAAGAATCAAATACGAGGGCGCCCGACTCAGTCGGAGGGATCCACTTTGACATCTTTGAGAAGATGGTACCGTGGCGGGAGAACACGCGGTAGTAAGCAGAAGGAATCTCTCATTACAGGCAGCCCTTACATATCCGGTGGGTAGTCTAACAGGCAGCAGTAGTATTGCGTCCACTGGATAGCATATAGCAAAGGGTAAAATTTTATTGTGAACAAAGACGTGAAGATTGGGGATGTCATTTTGTGCAGAAGACTTAGGGCAAACGCTTCAAACACGGCTTACTGTACACCAGAGCCGCAGGAGTTCTCAGCCTACGGTACAGAGGTCATTTATTCCTGTGAAGCATCAATCAGCGCGTAGAACCTTCTTCTTTTCTTCTTCTTCTTCGACGTATAAGCAACCTGCCGTGGGACGAGATTTCACAAGAGCCGACTGTATCAATGGAAGCGTTGAGCACAGTCATTCAGAAGCATTTACATTTGACACCGATGACGGATTGAAGCAGGGTGTCGCAGACAGTTCTGTTTGCGGTAAAACTTGGAGGATATTACTTGTCATGAGACAGGTGTAAATTTCGCTGAATGTAATTAAAAAGTAATACGCTTAGCAGTGGTTGAAATTTTTTTAAATTCTTTGTCGAGTTCTAAAGTTCCAGCTTTTTAAACAACACAATATTTTTAAAAAGATGAACTGCCAGCGCTTTTTGAAAAGAGATGTAATAAAATAAAATGTCAAGGAATGTCAAGGAAGGAGATGTGTGTCGATTCTCGTCCCGACTGTCCAAGCAAATTGAACTTGGGTGCATTAGGACACGAATGTCGGTAGTTGATTTGACGTATCTCAGTAGCCTGCCTAATGATATTGGAGGTTTTTTCCCACCCTGCCCTTGTTACCACTGGGTGGCCATTGGCATTAAGCTGAGAGCGGTGATGGCAACTAGTTTAACCTTATGAGACGAAGAGAAGTCAGTCATCGAGAGGTAGGCGATTACGCTCGGAAAAAGAGATTTCAAATGCTATGAGGTGCTTCTAATGGAGACTGTATGCTGTGCATGTGGCTAAGTGGATCGTTTTATTCTTACCCTGTTCACCCTCCACGCTATTGCCTCAAGCACTCACCCATTTATTCTGTACGCCTATAATAAAGCTTTTTGGAGTATAAGTCGGGTGCGACACTACGAGAATTCATGACTTTGGAAGGAGGAATAATCCATATCCCAAAGTAAAACTGAAAGAAAAATTGTACCGTCTCGAGCCTTCCCTTAGGACAAAAGAAGACATAAATACCTAGACAGAATATGCACCGCCAACGTACGGAAGGACTCAGGGGCTGCTGCCACGTCCCAGAGGCCGTGCCGTCCAGCACAGCTCCAACTTTCTTGTTACCAAAGCTGAGATTTAAACAAACAACCAAATTACTACAAAATTACCTTAACTTTTGAGTCAATTGATGACGAATCTAGTGCGTGACCAGCACTAATCCCATTGTTGTCTTTTACCTTGTCGATAGACCACCGAGAATGGGTAGAATATTTTTGCTTCGGGAAATATTCATGTTCACATACACTCCAGCTGAAGTCAATTTAGGTAAGGACTTTAACAACTGGTTTATTGTGTTAAAGTTTCCTTTTCTTCAAGTTTTGATTTAATTTACCTAGCTAATTTGTTTTTTCCCAGTGGTGCAACTGTCGAAAATGGAAGTGCCTGCATGCTAATTATACGAGCGGATAGGAAATTGCGATGAGGACTGGTGCTTCGGTGGCGCGAAAATTAACTCAACCCAAAATTGCAAAAATTTTTAATTACCTAACAGACGTAAATCACTTCCCAGTGCTTCTACTATGTTATACCGTCGGTATTTAGAACTGAAGGATAGAAGCATGGACAAAGCAGAGGCGTCACATGAATTGTCAACTTCTTTCGATTGCAAGTGCATCAACGAGGCACCGCAAAACCTCCAGATCCTTCAGTGGAATTATAGGGCAGAGGGGAATAATATAAATGCATACCAGGCAAGTTTTACTCAGTTGAGAATAATTTCATTGTACCAACTATTTGAAAGTAAGTATCATGACTGATCAAGTACCATCGAAATTACGAGATTGTATATGCCATAAAGCAACTCAAAATTAATCCAAGAGCTCATTTGTAAACATCAAGGAAAGGAATTAATTAAACTGAGGTGTTTTGAGGACATGTAGCTCGGGGATAAGCCTCTTTCAGCGTGAAGAGGTCAACTGACACGCATGAAGTCGCTCAGTATACGCTGCTGAAGAAACCGAGGAGTCGTTACAGTTAATATTTGACCAAAAAAGTTGCCAGCGCATGACCATCATCCCCATATTGGTCCGCCGATAAAATTACTTAGTCCATCTTGGCAGTAATCTTTGTGACATGGATGCTGAATGAGGACTATATGACTTAATCTTATTTATCGCATCATATTTCATTAACATGGGCAAGACTTGCTGTAATTCCTTGACTGCTTGTTCAACTCGTCGTTTTGGCTTCGTCTTTGTAATTCCACGGGGCGGCATGGCCCTCAGACTGTGCCAGTAGCTGCCCAGTTCTTCTGTACGTCGGCAATACATTTTCCGCCCTGGTATTATGTATTCTTCTGACTTCAGGGAAGACTCGGTGTCCAACATAGACCCTGGTTTTTGTTACGGCATGCTAAACCTTGAAGCGAAGGACTGAGGGCATATGCAACGAATGATAGAATTTGTGTTGACTCCTAACAGAAGGTTTGGACATGACTTCTGCCATCAGCAACTACTCCAATCCCGTGTCCTGCAGAAATGCCGTCAACAATGGAAGCCACGCTAGCTTTGTTTGCATAAAAATATCAATTGGGTAAACACACACGTACCTCCTTCGCATCTCTACTAGCTGGATAAAACCTGGATGAATATAGCTGGGCAGTACTGAAGTGGGAACAAAGACACAAAAACTTATCTTCACGAAAATACTTTAAAAACCCTTCTTCATAAAATGGTTCTGCTTTTGGGCCAGTGTTCAGACGACTAGCAACAGACATACGAGATGGCCTGCACATTCCTCCCTCCCACAGTCTACTTCCCAAAGAGAACAAAACCCCAGATGCAGTGGAATTGTCAAGAGGGACCAGTGTTGTTGATGACAAATATCTTCCCCTTTGTACTCGAATTCGGTGAACGGCGCGGTTGAATCGTTGTTGCTGTCCCAAGGGTAGCGACAAAAATGATGCTCAAAGGAAGAGGAAGCTATACAAAGCCTTGTTTAACACTTCATTTTGGTCTTGCAGGCACTTAAGGCTCCGTGATTGTACATCCGCAGGGCAGCGTGACCTCTGGACCAAGCCAGTAGCCCCTCGACCCTGCTGCACGTTGATACTACATGTGCTACCCCAGCATTATGACTTCTTTCGTCCTCCGGGCAGACGGCATAGGCATATCTTTAAGCATCTGTTGGTCGTTAAAAGTAGCCGTAGCAACAATTTTCGTTAAAAAAAACAATAAGGTGTGAAACAATCTTTTAAGTAGCTTTTTGTTAAAAAGGCTCATGACCGCTAATCCCTTAATCTTAGAGTTCTAGATAAGGAAAAAATTTAATGTCTTCAGAAACCCCATGCGACCTCGTTAGCCGATTCGGAAGGAGGATTCCAGGGACAGTAAACCACAGTGGACTAAACTGGTAATAATGTGCCTGGTATATCTTGATATGAAACTAACACCTAAGAGAATTGTTACCACTTGATGCTCGATTTGATATAATATCCTCTTATAGGAGATGAAATTCGATCCTTATGGCCATTTCTGGAGATAACAAAGCATCGAATTTACCTTATCTGCAACAAAAAGTTCTACATAAAGATGGACAAAAGCAGTAGTTAATGAGGACGGTGGATTAAACCTGTGCCAAAACACTGCCATTCTGTTTACTGACTAGACACTTTTGATATACGTCTACTTCCTAAAAAACAAGCAGATGCTAGGAGCAGTGATTCAGATGTGAAAAAAGAATTGCCAGGAACTTTATCCAGCTCCTGCTTTGAATAAAACACAGAAATAAAATTCAATTTGTTTACAGAAGTAAGAAATACTGCCTCGCACGAATTTGATTTATCGGTTATTCATCCACTCCAACAGTTTTTGCAGTTGAATTGATAGAAGGCTACTTTCATACAATTTTTCTTTCCATATAAGGGCTTTGAATGTCAAGGTAACCAGGGAGATAAGTGTCCGGACCTCACGGTTTGTACTCCCGGCCACCCACCATCCACCCAATCCCTGACCAAATTTCAATATCTATTCCTCCATCCATTTCTCATCATTAGGGGACCAACCTTGCCCTATTAAGAGAACCATGATGAAAGTGAGCTGAGCCGCTTATTGCCAAGAAGACGCCGTAGGATGTCCACAAAGACACAATTAATTGACCACGACCATAGTAGAGGACGAGCGGGAAGAAGGTGGAGCGGAAAAGTGAATGTGGGGAAGGAGAGGCGAAGTGGCTGTTTCAGGTGCAGACAATGCGGCATTGGCCCTCACAGCAGGGTCTGCTGCGCGAGCAGAACTGGAAGAGGTCTGCGCATCGTGAGCACACCCCCAGAGAGGGATGACAGGAGAGACCTGCGCAGCACTGTCCCACCTCCGGATCGCACGGCTCTCCATCCATCAGGCACGTCCATGGGACTGAAAGGGGAAGGCGAGGGGGGACACAATAACAATTTTAGTGTGGCGTTTAAACAATGTAACACCAAAATGGCACACTGTAGTTAAGAGCTTTTTTGATTTTGGTGGTCTATTAGTGTCAAGGTATTTCCCTGCCTTTTTTCTTGAGGGGGAATTTATCGAATTTGAAAGAAAATTTATTCAAATGTTGTACTCATCTGATCCACAACATTGAGTGTACAAGATGTATCATGACAAGCGAAGCTAACAAGGGTTATTTTTATACCACTTCAGAACGCTCAGAGCTACCCAAGTTTGAAGGATTGATGCAGGGGGGGGGGGGGGGGCGAGAGGAGGACGAAAAAACGATCATATTCATGAGGCTTAAATGAAACCCTTTTAGGTATCCTTTGAATGCGGTAATAAAGGAGTTTCAGCCATACATACCTCGGCGGTTGCACAGAGGCTTGAATGCTTGGAAGAAATGCACTAAAGTTTAGTGGGTGATTAGTGGAGACCGCAATTAGGAGGTGCAAATGGTTTTAGGTATGCCTTTCCACTGTGATGATTTTGGGTCCATTCGAGCACATTTTAAGACAAAATGGTGAATTCAAATTTTCTCCTTTAAAATACTGACATTCATGTTTCTACTTAAACAAACATCCTTTTGGGATCGCAATGCACATCCAGGCTTGGGTAATCCAATGGATGGACACGATATTGGGTAGTTGGAGGGGAAATAAATATCTCCCATTGGCAATTATATACGTATTAAAGTAATTAATATTTCTCTTTATTATGTTACGAGTCAAATAACTTCGATTTGACCCTTGACTATAGGACACGATGGTCAAGATTCTGGTCAATGCCGAGACCGTTAGGAAGGGAAATAAAGTGTGTCAGTTATGTGAGCATTGTCTGAATTGGCCCATCAGGGTGGGGTAATTAAGGTTATGCTTTTCGCCTTCGAGAAAAGCATTTGATGAGATTACATCGCCTAGCTGTCGGAGGAACCGGACTCCATACAGTTAGAGGGGTCATAACTTCACCTCTGAGCTTGTGGGTTACTGTCAACAGTTTTCCCTTTTTTTGTGAACAACATTTCAGCAATCACTGAAACTACCCACAGTGACGACTTTGTGAGTAAGTAGGGAATTTGGAGTCGATGAAAAAAAAACAACTTTGAACAATCATCCGAGGTGAAATTACATCAAATCCACTTTTTAAGTCCTAGGCAAGCAGCAGTGGCAAAGTCGACAAAACGAAATTAACCTAGGAAAAACCAAACCTAATTGCCGACGTATTGGTACATTCAACAGTTGAGTTTCAAATATCTCGCACCGGAATTGGTGGATGGCCCCTCACCAAAGGCCGTCATCGTTGGGTACATTCACTGCTCAAATGTCTGCAGCGGTGTGTTTTGTGCCCAAGCCACAATCGAAACAGTTTTTAGGCCCATTCATCGCACACAATAGCAGAACCTAGAAAACGCTCCTCACTACGTTATTTTTACAGTAACGGACAACCAGGCATCCATTAAAGACTGCAACAAATCTATTTTGGTATCATTTCAACGCATGACGGGTGGGATACGATGCAGCAGTGACATGCCGGTATGGAAAGTGGGCTTTATGAGGTAACATGTGATGTGAATATCAAATGAACCCAGCCACAAATCATCTGTAATAAGTAGTGAATAATGGCATTGGTCTTCAACACAAACTTGCAGAAGTTCTAAACTATATGCTATAAAATTATCAAGGGAAATCGTATGGGTCGCTCTTGGATCGCCTAATTGGGCACTAAGTAAGGAAATATTAACATAAATTAATAAAGGTAAGAGTAAATGAGGGAATGTCACATGCAAAACGCACATTGTTTCTGCGACGACACCGTGAGAATGAGAAATTGAAGCGTCAGGAAAAGCCCAACTGGAAGTACGCACATTAGTTGTTCGGTCAACCAGCTGGGTAAGTAATTCGTTTTCTTTCCCTCCTCTGTTTGTGTGTCCCTCCTCAAAGCGCACTGCTCTTCCTTAGTCTCGGCCGCGCCCATTTATACTGCCCAAATTGACTACCTCCCCCCCGCCGCGGTCACTCCACCTCCACCTCTGATTGGCTGCTGCGCCAATGACATGCCTCCATTGTTCCACGAGGCTTGCAAACGGGACAGCAGGTTTTTCAGTACGTTTATCAGGAAGGAAATTGACGGTTATTATCATTTATTTTACCTTTAACGTTAAAAAAACGAGTAGTCACATCAAGTGGGGAAACGAATCCACTTTTTTCCAAGCAAGAGCACTGGGAAATTGCCTCAAATTATCTTGCGCATATTTTTGAGCATTCCTTCTCTCTTCCTTACAAACTACTGTAATTTACCCCAAGTTTTCTGGTTAGAACTTTTGTAATCCCTAAGTTGTTTAGTAAACTCTCGGTTTTGGTAACAGGCCACTTAGGGCCTCCGCCATTGTACGTACGCCGGTCACCAGGCCTCTGGGCCATGCTATTCGTCCCCAGGGCCTTCTCTGCGTCGATAATATGTATTCCACCGGCGTATTATAGCTTCTTTTGTCTTCAGGAGAGTGTTGGAATTCGACACCTTCTCTCTGATTGGCGGACTAAATAAATGCGAGCGAACTATATTGCATGATTACGAGCTGTACTGATTATCTGCAATGCTCAAAGCAAGCAAACAACATTCAACTCGAAGGTAAGGCATGGTAGAGCCGACTTTCAGCGATATTGCTTACGTACAACGGAAGAGGCCTCTGGAATTCACAGAAGTGGCACAAACGAATTCACGGCACACTTGGCGCATTACCTACGCATCTCCAGCCAGTTTCCCGTCTTTTTTTATGCAGGAAAGTCTCCGGTATTTACAAAAGTCGACTTTATGATGCAAAATTATGGAGGTGCAATAGAAGCGGTGAAAAATGTTGCAGGCTACTTATTGAGCAATTTGCCTCCGAGTGGGGATATTGCTTCGCGCCACGATTTCTCCCTGTGCGAAAATGCTTTCAAGTAATGAAAATGTTTTGGGGTAAATTTTTATGGGACAAGTATGGAAGTATGCAATTTTTTCCCTCCAGGAAATATTTTTACTTATCCCGTAAGCATCAATACCTCTCCATTGCACTACACAAAGTGAGGTATATTGTTCTGATGGAGAAAATTAGTCTGTAAAATGTAAACTAATTTCTACTTTCACACCCATGGAGGGAAAAAAACAGTGAAGAAGTGATAGCAATAAGTTATTAGTCTTTTATGGGTGAAGTACTTTAACTGTCTTTTGTAAGTTGATTAAACATTGCATAAAACTTGAGAGCATAAAGTTGACCACAGTTTATGGAAAGCTTTTCTCTTTCTCTTCAAAAAACAGCATTTGATTTATATCCGTTTTTTGTAGCCCTGAAATTGATACACCGTTCCTCGAACACGCCTCGAGTCTTTCCTGAAGACAAAGGAGGCCGCAATACCAGGACAGAACATGTATTCCCAACGCACAAAAGGGCTGCAGCGGGTGGGGGCTACTGGCATAGTCTAGAGGCTAGGACCCACAGCGGAGGTACGAAGGCGCAACCTTAAGCTCCTGCTCGCCTTGATCAACCTCCCGAGTCCGGCCATCACAACGCAGTCGGTGCCGCAAGGGAAACACCCACAAACCAACAATATCAGTCATCCAAATTTTATGCAACTGAAAAGATATTTGACCGCAACGTCACTGATTTCTCCCGGCAGTTCCACTGGATCTAGAGTTTCGTCCTGTTAGGAAGCGGTATTGGGGGAAAGGGAATGTGTTGGCCTAAAAGTACAGTTGTTTGATAAAAGATGGGAAATAAGATAATTTTGTAGGGCTAAGGCTTCGCGTCTGCTCCCTCTTGCCACTTTGTTCTCACTTCAGCGCTGCCCATCCATGCCTATCTATTTAGGTTCTGTCCAGCTAGTAGAGAGGTAGAGGGGAAATTGCGTGTCCGCCCAATTGACATCTTCATGTGGGTACTGTAGACAGCTCAGTAACAGGTTTTTCAGATGGATCATGACTACGGCTAGTATCGATTCAGTTGCTAATAGCATTACTGCAGAACACGGGACTGGAACTGAGGTAGTTGCCGAAGGTAGACGTCATTTTCTACCCTTCTGATAAGGGTCGTTACAGATTCTCCCATCCATAGCATGTGCCCCTCTGCCATCACGTCAAGGTTTGGCATTCAGCCTTTTAGGCTCGAGTTCACTTTTCCCTTCTAGTATTGTAGCGCCTCAAGACTCCTCTGCAGACGAAAGATGTCATAATACTCAAACAGAAGGTGAATAGCAGACGTACAGAAGGGCTAGGAGCTACTAGCAAGGTCCGGAGGCCACGCCGCCAAACAGAAGTACAAAGGCAGAGCCTTAAGTGTACGCACAACCAAAGCAAAGGATTCAATAAATGATTAAAATATTACATACGAGCATACGACAATAAAATTTGAACGGAACAATTTTTCCTTACGACCTACTCGTGCCATTTCGATTGCTGCGCCTAGTGGACCAAATTCCGAGCTTAGTGTAATCAGAACATCCAGATTCCAATTCATGCCTATCTATTCTCCATATTACATCGTAAACACATCCACAAACCTTTATTTAGACTGTTTTCGATCGTCATCGAATTGAGTGGGAGGTGAGGAGAACACTCGAGTCGTACTGTAGCGAGAATTATGTTGACCTCTTGTAATAGGGTCATTATTTCCCTCTTCCACTTCAGCCTTCATTCCCACGAAATGAGTGGGCGAGTTGGATGAGGACATGTTTCTTTGAGTAATCAGGGTATCCTTCCTCCTCGGACGAGGGCCAATGTCGCCCTCCCCATCACGAAGTTCGTATTGACTGAACCCCTCTCACGCAGACTAATTTGCAACCAAAAGTGGATGAATTAACCATGGCGTCTTTTGTGCTCCAAAATAACATAGATTTTGACAAGGCGACAATGCTCTGCCGTTCTTCATTGCGACATTTGAGGTCAAGTGCAGGGAGGTAGTGTAGACCATCCTCTCTTATTTTTAACACCAAAATATTTTGAGCCACTGTTTTAAAAGATCCTTTACACCTCATCTCCACACAGTATCTTACTCACCTGAGTTTGGAAGCAACTACTTATGATCTCGTTTTCACGGAGGCGAGAGCAGTTTAGGCGTCCTCCAGACCCAGCGACACCTCTCCCCTCAAGGCAATGACAGGTGATATTTTATCTTTCCTGCATTCAAAACATATCAAAGGGATATCTGATTGCCTAATAAACTGCCTAGAGGCAAAAATAGTCGAGTAACATTTGCTACCAGGGCCCCAAAGGAACACCAACCACCATAGGTCACGAAACACGTGGTCTATTGAAAATTGCGCTCCAAAAGAACGAAAAATGCAAGCATTAACCTCAAGCCAGGACCACGATACATCGCTTTCACCGTTTCAAGTTACACCAATTCGTCTGTGGCAGAATTTTGAGTAACTAGCTGCATAAGTTGATAGCACGCATGGGATGCTAATGGAAAATGTGTAGGAATGTCAAAGTTTAATCAGTTAACCAAGCATGTAATGGTGTAAAATATCAAGTACCATTTCGTCCAAACTACCCACTGAGTGTAGAAAGGATTCAGCGGCGAGTTGGCTCAAGCAATTGAAAAATTTACCTAAAACCTTTGAGGATAATCAAACTATTTGGTCTTGGAGGATCACAGATCCACTGCTAACTTATTTGTTACAGATGAACAGATGAAGGGTGATTCATCACCTCTGCCATATCCCAACCACCGACAGGCAGAGAAGATACTGATTTAAGGATTGCTTTCCTTTTTAAATCACCCAAAAGTCCACGTCAAGTGGGAGGACCAACCACAGAGGCTGATAGATTTGCTCGCTTAAACAGGCATTAAAACAGAACATAAAAATACCTACACCTCTATCACGAATTTCTCTTAAAGATAACTGGATGTAACTTTGATACGGGAAGCTATGGATTATACACAACTAGCGTGGAATTATGTACACTTGTTACATATCCAGGGAAATTGCATCGCTTGGGGTGTTCAGAGTTCAGTCTTGATAAGAGTTGTCGAGATGTTGATAGTGTAGCGCGGCTCGAGGACAATCGACCAGGGCGTGAGACCTTCGCACTCGGAGGGCACTCTTTGATCCTCCAACATCACCACATCAGCGCCTTCAACTGGGCAGAGGCTGTTGAAGGTGAAAGCCGCAGGGAAGCTCATGATTTCACGCTCCTCGGCTATTCGGAAGGTGAAGGTGGACGGGACTGAACCGACAAAGAGCCTGAAGGGCAAATAGATGTCGGGGAGAACGAATGAGGCGCCTACGAAAATCAACACTAGTGTTTAAGAAGCAATCTTGAAACAGACAATGGGGAAATGAAAGAGTACAAAAGGTATTATTTTAGTTGGAAGCGTGTTTTCTACTCAACCGTCTACTTGCCCAGACCTCACCTTGCCTACAGATTCTGTCCGAACGAGTGATCTAAATTTTTAGCCAAGAAAGTTTGAATTGCATTGCATTGTGCTTAGAAAGTAGCATTACCTAACGTAGTCCCCAATTGTTACTTTTTTATCTCCTTAAAAGTGGGTCTAATTTACTACGGACCAGCTATTGAATTTAATTTACAGCTAAGTTCACTAATGGCATCAGCTTCCAGCCTCCTCCATTATCACCGATGGGTTATTCAAAAAAAGCTACTAAAAGGAAGAGCATAGACATTAGTCGCGCATTCTCCCAGTCTGAAATTGTACAGTGGGAACCGATAATGAAGGCTGAATGAAGCAGAAACTGACAAATCACCACGAGTAGAGTGAGAGGGAAAGACAACAGGCGTGACCCAACGAAGACTCACCGAGCATGGGCACAAATCCATTGGTCGATGATCGCCAACTCGCCTGGCAGAAGGTTGTCGTCCATCGACATCTCGGGTGTGAAACGGTACACCTTGTGAGGACTCAGCAATTGTTCCAACTGGATGATGTCTACAAAATTCCTTTTAGTAAAGATATGATCTGACAATTTAAGCAGAAGAGAATAGACATTGAGATAGGGGATAAATAAATCGTCCATTTATAGTGCTGTTTATCCAAATGAAGCGGTACAAATACCTTAGCCTGTTAAAAGAACGTATTTCCATACATTCATAAACTTTCCTTACACGCGTTGAGGTGAGTGAACTTAGAAGACTTTTTTTCCCACTTTCCAATAGATGATATGAATTTTTATTGAACTACTTCCATCTTTTATTTTTATTGCACCATTTAGGTGAAAATCAAGTAGTATTTTGGGAGTCACAACCACCCTGCATACCCTCGGAATCAGCATCAGTGGCAAGGAAGATAGGCAAAGTCTGGCCAGCGGGTAGACGCATCTCCTCAGCGCGTCGTTGAATAGCCTGGAGAGTCTGCATGGCCGCTGTCAAGGGGGAGGTAGAGTGGGGGAAGTCGCCACGACGCCAGTGCAGGCCCAGGTAGGGCCCGCCGCGCGCAGGACTGCGAGGCCAGGGCTGGTAGAGCCAGGAGGGCGGGGGTACCGTTCTGTCCTCATCGTCCTCCGAATTGAGTACGGCGCGCCGAAAGGTGTCCCCAAGGCTGATGAGATGGTGGGCGAACTCCATGCTGCGACGGGCCTGGAGGGGCGAAGGTTAGATGAGCCATTGTGCGACTTGGAAGGAGGGACTACACCTCTGGCCGTCTGGCTGATGCAAGAAGGCCTGATAACGGATATCAGGCTGGATACGTAAAGAAATCTCAACAGTGGCTTTGAAAGTTAAATTAGTTTTGTGGATGAAAGGCCTTGAAACAGTTTCCTGGGCGGGGACTTTCATTCATCCAAAAGGCGTGGGCGTGGTAGGAGTGAAAAGAGAGACTAGAGTCTTGCATTTGTTTATTTTCCACTGGGGAAAGTAGCATTCGCGACATAATCGCATACATTTGAGTCCTCATTAATCGTGGTGGTGAGTGCGGATTTGCTAACCGAGGCGACACGATAATTAGTCGAACCGAAATGGCCAAGCAGACAAGAGTTAATGTTTCAGACAAAATTTAGATCAGGATAAGCTAGAAATCCTATTTTGGGAATTTATTTTGACACAAATTTTTCTGGAAAGGCATTATGCCGAGAAGTGGTAAATGTACCAGTTTACGCAGAGGACGTTCCTAGTTATAGAAACGGAAAAAGGAGGTAACGAACGGTGGGAACTACAGAGACACACAAAACTTTTTACAAGAGACGGATGTGAATCAGCAACTGGTTATGGTTGTGCAGTAAACTGGAGAACAGACGTAAAGGTTAATAGGTCACTAACACTTTCGATTTGAAGTGTACCACCTGGCATGTGTACTACTTCGATGACTTGTTCAACTCTACATTGCACTGTTACTTAAGGCTACGGCGCTTGTACTTCCGCTGGGCGGCATGGCCTCTGGGTGATGCCAGTAGCCACCCTCTCGTCCCTCCTTACGTCGGCAATACACATTCTACCCTGGTATCGTGTCTTCTCTTGACTTTAGAGAAGTCCTGGGGCGCTAAAGTTGTTATTGAGAATTTCAAGCGATTTACGAGGCAGTACATCTTCAATCGCCTCTTTCAAATCGAGAGAACACGTATGGAGAACAGATAGCCTTTTCAAAAATCGAATTGTGAACATAGAAGTGGAGTCCACAGTAAGCGTCCGACTTCAAACTAGTATACCTGCGACTTGACAGGCCTCGCTAATCCCATTCAGTATTGGATGGTAGAAATTCCAACAATGTGATTATAGACGAAAGTAAACAGAGTAAGTGTGTAATCTGGTTACTCAAATTCAATTACTCATCTTGAGGGGTGGTGAGTGATGAGAACCCTAAGGACGAATAAAATTGTTTGGAAGCTCAAGTAGCCCAAAACAGACACCCCAATGTGGTTCGATGACGCTTTCCGCAGTGCGATTCCCTTGAACTAGGAGGCAGGGGATCATAAAATGTCTATATACTTCTGCAACGGGTTTAAGAGTATGATTTATACCGTAGAAGCCAAAAAAACGCAACATTCTTTGAGATGATAATTGATTAAGAAACCAACATTTGGAAAGTGAGGATGTACTTACTGTCCAGTACTGTTCGCTCCATTCGCTCCACACACCGCTGATCAAATTTTCCGCCTCTCCGATATAAATGAACCTACAAAACAAGTGTAGGCAACCTCACTGAGAAACTTCTGCTTTACTAATCGAGTGCACTAAACTAATCAAGCATTACGAGGTTTCGGGATGCTCTTCGATGTAAAAGGAAAGGAAGCCCGCCAATTCCACAGCATATAGGGCGCCATGCAAACAATGGAGAGCGTCCGTCACTAGGGCCGATTCATTTGTTGCTGTGTCAAAGTACACATGCGTCACGTTGTCCGGAGTCTGAAAATGATGTTGCCTACCCGTTAAACGCTAAGGCCTTCTCACTCGGGTGTTTTAACGCAGACCAGGTAGGAGTGGCTGTTAACACCTCTGCTTAAATGTATTGAGTAGGGATGAACTTACCCACCCGATGTTGGAGATAATTTGATCGTCGTCACACATGAAGTTTGTATATCCGTTGGCATCAGACACTGCTTTCGGTGTCTCCAACCGAATGCCTCGTTGCGTCTGCGAGAGATCGAATTGCTTCACTAGGAAAGCCACGTCTAGTGAGGGTTTCTTCGCATCCGCTGTTGCTATAAGCAAGAACATGAGAGGCTAGTAGGTAATAAAAGAGTGGCTTGATAACCAAACATCAGTATTTCTATTCATGAGAAGTGGTGAGTGGATAAAACTCAAACTCTAAGTGAGTAAAACAATGCGAGCGTTTACAACAGTAAAAAATCCGGAGCACTAGACCTAAATGCCATAGGTAAAAAAATAAAATTTAGAGCACACACGTTTGACGTTGACCAGGCAATAAATTGCGGGTACCTAACAAAGGCTGACAAGTGATCAACGATCCGGAGCCATTTCCTTCATCAAAGGACGAATTTTCATCCGGTTTAGATATAATTAAGCCGTGTGAGCCGAGTCAGAGCTATGAACAAGTTATTGGAAGGTAATTAGTGTGTTATTCCTTCTTAGAGGTTATGTTTGTGTTGTTATGTCCATGGAGGATATAAAAAGATGTTATGCACAGGACTGCTTAGTCAACTATCGGTTCAATGAAAAAGGCCGAGAAATAAACATACAGAGGGTATAGAAAGCCCAAAAAAGCATCGGTACATCATTTCCATTGGGGAGCCAATATGAGTGCCATGGCAGTACCAGCAACAATGGGAAAAAGTAGCGGAGGTGCTCCTTCCCTGCATGTGTCATCACGGTGACATTACTGTCACTTTGAAAGAATGCAGCAAAACTCTTTTTTCCATTCTCCTGTGAATGCGTTACAAGTGTGCTTTTGATGGAGTGGGAGTTAAGTAAACAAATTTAGGTCACATAACGTGAGAGTCGCCGTGCGGGACCGAAATCGTTGGCAAGGCGCTAAACACTTAAGTTAGATTACCAACCAGCACTTCGAGGAATTCTCTGTTGCGAGCTTCGGGCCTATTTGAAAAGGCACGTGGTAAGCTAAACCAATAGCATCCTACTTTAGACGATGGAAAGGGCTCACGACGTAACCCAAAGTCATGATTAGCTACATTCCTCTGTGAACGCGGGACCGAAGCGATCAAACTAAAACCTTAAATTTACGAAAAAATCGCGATCACAGCTGAAGGGACACGATTAGCGGAAATCACAATCTTTTCAGCCGTACCAAAAAAGACAGCGAAATTAAAAACCTATCTACACACGTAGCACAACAGATTCGTGGGAGGAGAGGCAAATAAATCTTTGCATAAAAGGAGTTGGGCCCACCAATGTAGCGATGCTGTTGTGCTGCAGTCCCGTACGCAGCCTTTAACCGAACCCTCGGCAATTGCACACGCAAATGGTAAATACGGAAAAAATGCGGAATACAACCAGTTCTGGGGTTTCCGACACGTGCCTTATGGAAGCTCCAACCGCCAAAATCAAATTACCGATTTTTTTCTCAGATATGCATCTCAGATTATCACTGCTCCGAAGAATTCTGTCCTACGGGAGTGCGGGTGGTAAACAATAAAGGTGAACGTGGTAGTAAACAGTGCCTGCTTTACCTATCCATTCAAGTACGCAAGTTGTACCGTCTGCGGATCGGATAGCACCTTCGCAGTGTGACCTTTCGTTTGAGTCTACAGGTCTTCAGCCCTTCTGAATGCTAAACATAAAATCCCATCTATGCCGGCCATCGGACATAAGTCGCATAACTTGTAATTTGCCTTTGTAAGGAAAAGAAAAATTAGTCGTCAGTAGTATTCTGACAGGCTACCAAGGCTCCCAATGAACACTGACTCGCCTTGATGCAGCGTTTAACGAAGATGTTTTGGGCAAATAAGAGGCCCCTGTTCAACCTTAAGATCAGGATTCAATGCTCACTTCCGAGTTATGAACAAGCTGAGTTTGTTTATTTCCAAGTAACGTGAAACAACTCATAGAACGCTAGCACATGAAAATTGATGCATATGGGATGCAAAAGGGAGGAAAAAAGATCCAAAATCAATTTAGAATCCTGAAGATGACTGATTGGAAAGAGGCATTCTGGAGTGTTTGACATCTCGAAAGATAAAAGTGAATCAGGGGAGTCGTCACAAATCTGATAGTGAGTTGTATCATTGCTGAGATCTCAGTTTTTTAAAAAGGCTAGTGTTGCTTTTGGTTCATTCAGCATTCCAACCGGCTGCGATATCTCTCTAAAATTAGCAAGAGAATGTCAATAAAGGATTGACATTGTAATGACTGACACTTGTAATGGCACATGTTTCCCATCGGAAATATAAGGTAATTTGCCACAATTGAGTGATTTAGTGAAAACCAAGAAATGTGAGTCATTTATTCTAAGCATGAATAACGAAGAACCGCTGTATCCATCAGGTCAACGAAAGATCATGTCATTTATATTTGTTAATATTCTGTGGTCAGCGCACTTAAAAACATGCGGGTGCATAAATAGGAGTGCTTCATTAGTTTCAGTATCCGGCCACATGCAAGCCGAGCAAATGTTAACCTTTTTAATGCTTTTTAGCGATTCATACCAAACGAACTGTTTAGAGCACAATATTCAATATTAGCAACGAATTCAGCTGATTCAGAAGACGAGAAACGAACAAATAGTAAAGTGTAGTCGAAAAGTTGAGTAAAGTCTGCGAAAAGGGGGAGATAAAAATTTCACAAAGCTATCGTGTCAATGTAAACTTGTTGAAATAAATCAAGCAAACAGTTTGATAAGAAAACGGCCTTAAAGAATGGTTTAAAGATGATATCGTTCAGCTAGATTAACTTACTACCGTGCCCTTCAATTTCGAATCATTGTACCTAAGGAAACACCCTCTACAAGATAAGCATATTTAAAAGACTAAAAGGACCAGATTTGAGGACCATATATTCTGCTTGGAGTTCATTAAAAGGGATTTCAGCCTCCCAACTGAATTGGAAATGATGTTCCCAATTACACCGTGGTAACGAGTCGTAGAGATGCATAATGCCATGCATAATCAACATTAACCGGAAGTCAGTGCTTAAGATTTGTACTATTTCAAAAAGTTCCAATGGCCTTTAAATGAGCTTGAAAAGTTGGGTTCATCATTCTTAATAAAATTAGAAATAACACTGATGGTGAATAGGGTGTTAAACTCTTGGAGCAGAGAGGCATATGCGCCAGTTTATAAAACTATCGATATTTTGTTTAAAAATACTCTTGCATTTATAAACCATATAATTTTTGGAAGTTTTGGAGACAGAACAGTTTTTAAAAAACTTGGTACCGTACCCTGTTGTAGAAACTCGTCATACTCGATGACTGGAATGAGTAATTTAAGGGATTCAACGTTGAAAAACGTTGACCAAGGCTGTGCACGATGGACAGAAGAGTTTTGTTGCCTCCAATGAAATGTCTGACCCCAGGGTGGTAAGACGAGTGTCCAGTTGTAATTGCTGAAATTCCTATTCAAATCATTCAGTGGATACTGGGAGGAATCGCGTAGCACTCTATGGGGCAATACATTGTAATTTTGTAAACAAAGACGAGTAAATTCTCTGCACCAAAATATGGTGAAAAGTCTAGAATGTAGACTAGTAAAGATTGTATATATAGGAAGAAATCAACCTATGTTTAGGAAACATTGATTGATAAAACTACCCATCAGTGGCAAATGCCGAAAGATTTCCAACACCTCAGTATTTGCAATAAATTATTACCCTGCAAAAACTTTCCTAGCGAAAATCGGAATATACCTTATTAGGTTAGCTACTCGCACATACACATCGCGTCGTAGGTTAAAACCCTCGTTTTCATTGACGGTATAAATTAGGTATTTTGGTTTGAGTGTTGAGCGTAGAGATAACACGTGCGGAGCAAGAAACAAGATATTCCAGAGAACGATAACATATGAGCGCATTTTGGCAGACGCGCCAGTGCATTTAGGAGGATTCGCTAGATCGTGATTGTCATTGACTGTGCAAATTGACCATTCAGAATTTGAAGCTACACCATAAATGACATTATTTCGCAGTGAGCGGCCAAAAGTACTCAGGTACTGGGCTAAGCAGAAACCAGCTTACCCCAGATTTGAGTAACAAATGAATGTGTTTCACCATGACCAATTACTCATTAGGAAAACTAGTAAAAGGCTACAAACTTCCGACTCTTAAGACAAAATAACAAACCCCTATTAGCTCATTAGCGCGCTGTTAAATACGTCGCTTGTGTTGGTGCATTTACTAGAGTGGCCTGAATTCGAGATTGTTAGAATGACTTAGATACCGTGTAAAAAGATCAGCCTTGTAATTCATCAAATTATGAAGTGATTTACTTGCACAATCATTTGCGGATCGTTTAATTACATCGACTGCCTTATCAGAGTTCATGGGTATATTGCAACAAAAAGCGTAAAACGCAATGGGACACAGATGTCGGAATGGCTATTTGAGCAGCGTGTATTGTCAACAGGGTAATTTCGGTAGGTTGGATCTACTACCCAGTTTATTTTTAAAATTTATTGGCTCTCAGCTATAGGGTTGGATTAATTTTGATATGATTTTCAGACATTACGTGGATCATCGTCGAGTTTTCATTGTACAGCATTGATAATCAAAAGCGACCTTAAATAACCTTCTAAGCAAAGGAAGCGAGGCTACATTCTCTCCTTACTTTCTATGAAACCCATTTCAATTCGACACATTATTTTGCATAAAAATTGTTTGTCTAGTCGGCTTTCGCCATACATTTGCCGGTTTACTTGAACTTCACGTGTTGTCCTCGTCAGGGCGGCACAGGGATGTCCTCGAAAAGAAGTAAACGCAACGAGGAATCTGCGGATGACGACCTTATTGAACTTGACTTGGAAGGGTTTTCTCCACAATCAGAAGATCGTGATGGGATCATACAGCTTCTGAGACAACATATACCAAAAGACTCAAATGTTAACCTTGGAGAACTTGCTGACTACATCATAGCTCAAGGTTCTGTTGGGACAGTTGTTAAAAATGGATCCAGTGAAACTGACACTGTTGAAGATGACGACGACGATATTGTATTTTCTTTAACAACTGTTATAAGCTTGTGTGGGTCGGTTGTCTCACGTTCGTCAGTTGTCTCTGAGCTACGTGACTTTTTACAGTCCTGCATTTCTCGTGCTGAATCATCTAGTCCAGATTATAAGACGTTGCTTAAAGTTTTAATGGGTGAGACTTCTGAGAAACCAGCTCTTCTCATCAACGAGCGACTTGTAAATCTTCCACCTGCCGTTGCTGCTGAGGCTGTTGCTGTACTACCCCAGGAAATACAGACTCTACCAGAGGAGGAGAGACCAACACATTTAATCATTCTTACTAGGGCCGTAAAATCTGAAGATACAGATGAACTTATATACATCCAGCCCGAAATGGAAATAGTGAGAAAGGTGGCCTTTGCTGTGGGTGAAACAGAGTTCGCGGATATTGCTGTCGGTGTTGATGCGGAATCTATCATCTATGTGCTTATGGCAATTGACTTCTCCAGTCTCCCTGAAATATTGGACCTACTTGCAGATAATCCGTGATTCCACTTCCACTTTCTGTGGACATAACTAGTCCTATCAAGTATTATTGTCTGAAATGGGTTTATTTTTTGCAAAATAACATTATGTTTGTACAATACCAGTATTCTTATTTATGCATTCCATCATGGATGTTAGGTGTCGGTGCTCTAATGTCTGCTGCTCCACCCCAGTTATTATGTTTTCTATCGTATGTTTATCCAACATAAAGTAAGATAGCTTATTCTTTCAGCCATCATATTGTGACAGCATTTGACAACGCGAATAGTTCATAGTTTATTAATTATACTATTAGCAGGGTTTTAAGGAAATGGGCGCTTGCTGGGCCCGAACTTTTGGCTTGTTGGTCAGATTAGACCTTGGATTAGAGTCTTTCGTAGGTCTTTTATGAAGACTAGTTGGCGCTAAAGTTCTTCTTGAAGGCGGAAAGTTGTTTTCGTTCGGTGGTGTTGGTTTGCACGGTGGTACCACACTTTGGGCGCGCCCAGTTTTTTTCCGTATAACTGGTCTTAGCTAAAATTGGGTTGTGTTTAGTGTGATGTTTCTTTAACCTTAGTTCTCTTCAACTCAATGTAGGCGGTTTGGGGGTCCGTATCAGGACACTTTGAGTCGTCGGCAGGGTGGTCAGAAATCGTTCCCTTAGATTGTGTAGTCGTGGAGACTGGTTGCATCACATTTGGCAGTGCTCTGGGTTTTTGTCTTGCTCGCGAGGTGAACCGCTCCGAGTGACTGGTATTGTTCCATTTCGGGTTTGTAGAGTTGAGCGTCGCGTACTTTCTCGGTTTGCTACAATGAAGGAGCATTTGATGCGGGTTGGGTTATTACGCCCATCACTTTCCATCGTAAATGTCGAAATATCTACCTCAGAAATTTAGCCCGCCACTCCTCCAATTCGTATAGAATGTTCCTGCACTCGTTTTGTAGTCCTTTTATTATCGTGGCCTCTGTTTCGCCGTCAAAACCGGCGCTTTCCTTTTTACATTCAGTCCCTGGTTTGATTTCCTGTGCTTTTTCGTCCTTGGTGTCGTTTGATAAAATCGGAGTACAAATTGAATTCCGACGTTGACGGAGGGATTTCCCAATATTCCCACACATTACAGAACCAGAGGTAAGGTCTAAACTGACCGGCTTTATTTCTGGAAGTGATTCAGCTGCAGGGAAATATGTTACTCTAATTAAGCATTTCTTTAGGTAACTTTACTAATGAGTTGGTCCACTCACCCCATTTGCGGATTTCTTTGGAATCGCTGCGATCATGTATAGTCCCATCCTCGTCAACTTGAACCCGCTGTCGCTTTTCATCAGGAGTAAGGTGGATTGAAGAGGTTGGCCTGTTTACTGAATACAGGCTACTTTTCCCGGCAATTTTTCGTAAACCAATTGCCATTATCTTCTGTTCAGTACCACTTTCAATCTTCTGTATGGAATGATATTGGGTAGATATGATCAGTTAGTCAGAATTTCTAGATTGGGTTTACCTACCGTGATGTATGGTGTAGACACAAATTCATCAATTACACTATTTATGTAAGTCCACTCATCATCAAAGTCGCATTCATTTTGCACGTCTCTTTGCACGCGCGCTGACTGTGTTGCGATGTTGTCCAGACATTTTAGACTTGGAAGGAGCTCTTTTACATGCGTCCAATAGTTCTACATCCACATAAGATGCTCACAGGCAAAACTTACCAAATATGATTTAAATTGTTTAATTACAGGGTTACCCTCAAGTGTTAAGTTCGAAAGGTGAGTACATCCACAAAGTATTTCTATGCTTTGTTTCTCATGGATTTTATTCCTTTAGAAAATCGGTCGTGAAGCATGATAACTTACCCCTCAAGGTCCAGAATTTCGAGTTTGGTCAAATTTCCAAGGGGACTAATATCAGATATGTCATTAAAGGAGAAATAAATTTCGCGAATTCCCTTGATTTCTTCCAAACCTTCAAGTGAGTGAAGACAGCATCGGGACATCCATAGAATTTCAAGTTTACCAAAACCTGAGCCTATATCACTACTCGATCGTAAGTTTTACTTTTTCATTGTATTTACCGAATTTGGGGCGAGATCCCGTTTGAAAGCCTAAGACACTTCAGATTTGGAAGAAGTTCTCCTAAGTTATCAATTCGTAGCTTATTCCCATCAATGCACATTTCCAAGTAGTCTACATCCTCCAGATCTGCAGACTGTGTAAGATCTTTCTAAATTAACACGATTTTTTATTCGCCGATGTATTACTAATCGATTTGCCGATAAAGTAGTGGTATTCATCGGGAATTTTTCATCAGTCTTTTCACTGGCTGCTTTTGGTTGACATTGCGTATTTCTTGCCTGCATCATTGCAACCATAAATCTAAATGAGATTTACTCCTAAATTTGCTGGCAGGCTTTTGGCCTTGAAATTTTCCTTGATTTCGCCAAGTGAAGAACCTGCCCTCGGATCAGTCGACGGAGTACTAGGTGGCCTTAATACCTCATTCATATCACATCTAAATGTAATGTTTTTGTGGCTAATGGTATATTTTGAAAAAAGGGCATTAGTGACTGTATCCAGTGTGATAATCAAGAAGGGGCTTGAGTTAGTACTCAATGAAAAGCCTTTAAGGGTAGTTTAACATAAGTAAGAACACCTGTTCACTACAAGTACGGCATCAATTTTCCGGCGTATATCTAATTTCTTTTAATCGGTAAGTGAATGCCATTATTGATTGTTGAGCCGGACATACACCATCAATTTTTAAAAAGGCACGAGCGTCTGGCCAAATTAAAATAAATGTCATAGTAACCTAGAGTGCTTTGAAAGTCGGCGTTTTGTAACCACTGTATAATATTAGCATGGATCGAAATACAAAACTTTTCACTTGTTGGCTGACGTTAATACATGGCTTGAAACCCATCCGATATTGGATTTTGTGGGATCAAAAACACTCCGATAATAATTGGAGGTCGGCAAATCCTGTAATAGAGATGATTCTGCACAAACATCCCATAACTTATGGGCTTTACAATAAACATGCATACTTCATAGGCGCTTGTCCTGCATCTCTGACCACCACCCATGTTGAAGCAATTAGTTTTGGTGGTAGTGCGATGATGAATGCATTTACTGCGGGCTACCTATCGGTTCGCCGACCATAACCCAACGGAAATTCCCGACTTTCCACCCTCTAGGCATACTTCCCGAGATAGCGCAATATGTTGGTACATTTTCACACAGGAAATGGCATCACCTGCCTCGTGATGAACAGATGTCAAATCATGATACGATAACCACAGACCCAAAGGTCACGGCGTTAGCGACCCCAAGACAACCCTCCTGACGGCATCTGTGGGGACCTGTCAAGATCTCGGCAAAATGCTAACCACTGCGCTAATCGCAAAGCCGCGAGAGAGAGAGCTTCCCCAACAGCTACTAAAAATAAATTTGAAGAAATCGCGCCACCAGGTTGAATCCGAATTGGTACATAGTAATCATGGCACCTCTACACTTTCCTTTGTGATTCCGGAGTCCGAGTCGATACATCCACAAAGGGACGTCGTCCAGAAAGTGCAAATCCCATTACGCAGAGGTAACACACCAGAGAGAAGGATTAATGCAACAGACATTGAAGCATTGGATGTATCGGCAGAGTAAAAATGAGGAAAGGGGACGAGAGTATAGAAGTCATATGTTAAAAAAGGGAAGTTGACGTGAGGGGATTGAGGGGAAGTGAAGGCAATAACACCTGAAAGAACGGGGTAATGGCAGACTGGTGCAATAATGGTGCGTCTTACTTATTTACACAGACACACTTGCGCTCACACATCAAAACAGAGAATAGAAACTGCACATAGCCATTGTGAAATTCCAACGCAGCATCACAGAAACAATGTAAAGGATGATGAAGAGGGTCCCGGTCAGGAGGATGCCTCGTGTGTGCCTCAAGAAGGGCAGCGCTGTAACATACCAAAAGCTCTACGATTTAAGCAAAGGGGTGATGAGAGCGGTAAACACAACGTGCAGAAAAAAGCACACAAGTCATGTGGCATTCTGGCAGGCAAAAAATAAGTTGACTTCAAAGTGGGTAAGCAGTAAATATGTCCGATTCTGTATAATCTTACCGACACTGATTTGTGTCACGTTTATTGCACAAAGATACCATGAAATGCTCACCCTTGTAGCCCAGAAAGGTAATGTATATATAGTAGAGAATTCCAGCCAGCCAGAACGAGTTCCCGATGAGACTACCCACAAGTGTTGGCCTTCGAATGACTATAAAGTAGTGTAAAAGTGTTTCAAAGAGACAAAGACTGGCGACCACTATAAAGAATGGCTTGACAAAGGACCACTAAACCACTCAATGTAATTTTAAAGGTGACATTACTTTCGTCAGATGAAAGGTTCATATTTCAAATCAATTCTGTAATCGCAATGAAAAGGCGGACAATAATGTGAGATGCAGCTTGTAGTTTTCAATTTGAAACATAAGTACAAGATGCTCGCAGATGCATCAATCTGTTCAGGAAAAAACCTTAAGAAGTACAGCCATTTTTAAAGCAGTCAAAATAGTAAATACTTCTCCCTAGTCGCATTTAGAGGATGCTTCAGGTAAGAGGATAATGATAGCGAAATCAAAACCGAGGTTCTCCAGATAAAACTAACGGGTTTCTGTAAAGTTTAAGTCCAAATTGGAGCCAAAAGTTTAGGTACCATTATAAGCTGATAACAAGCTCTCTTAGAAATGTGAATTCTTAAAAGTAGGAATTGAACTATAAACAATAGAGCATCAAGTCATGCAAATCCAAATGGCTGCTACAGATGAAGAAATCATGATTAACAATGAACAAATATAACATTTACTCCAAACCATAAGACTGCAAATAAAAAGAAAATGCCACAAGTGCAATGCCCAACTGCATTCCTGTAAGGCAACCTACATTACCAAGGCGATTTTACGAACAAAGGATTCTGAATTAAGCATCACTTTTAAGAGAATTCAAGTATTTTGCTGCAAAACGATGCAACAACCTGTAACAATCACATTACCACGATTTTGCCATTGGACGCCACGACAAACTGGTGCCAGTATTGTCGGATAAGCAGAAAGAATAAAAGCGTAGATTCTCTAGTCATCGGTCTACCCGTCTCTACTCTAAATGTCTCAAACTAAAGGAACTCCGTGCAAAACTTTTGGAAATTAAACCAAACACTACTAGCTGTTCTGGCAGTCTAGCTAATCACAAACTGAGAGCGTTGAAAACAACTAAGAAACCGAAGGAATTCAGAACTCATTGAAAGGGTACTAGAATGATAAAGTGACAGCTTTAAACTTGGCCAAAATGCAGTCAGTGTAACATGATGCTCATGATCTAACAAAGCACTACCTTTATACAGGCTAATAATATCAAAAATGCAACAGTAAATAGTGAATAATAAAGCACACCACCTGAGACACGCACGGAAAAACAGGGCTGAAAGGCTGCCAAAATAGAGGTGCAATATTTTTTGTAAAGGCTAAAACCGCGAAAAAGTGAGTAATTTCTGGGGATTCGGGAAAATATAGCAGTAAAGGTGGAACTAAATAGAACATCAAGAGACAACTTTTACTGGGATATAAGCAATAGGAAAACATTACCATCCTATTAAAACAACGAGAAATAAGCTAAGGATGCATTGTAAACCTACCGCCGCGTGGTACGTAGGGAGAAAAAGGGATAAGAACTATTAAAGTCCAACTTACAATAGAAGAACATGGGTTGGGTGATGCGCAGGATGATTATGCAAGGAAACAGGGCATTTAGATGAATATCAAAGGCGTAGGCCCACTCAACATCGGAAGTATGTAAGTGAGAGCCGTCAGAAGTGACCGATTCATCGTCCGAAGTGCTCGAAAATTGACGCCTGAGGAGGTACCCACTATTGTTGACATGTTCCATGCCGAGCATCCAGTGGTTTGTGATAATCCACATGCATGTCGCCACCAAGAGACCAGAGAGTATGCATTCGACAGTTAAAGACCAGAGGAGAAGCCTTAGCCAGCCCCAGAACGAATGACCAAGAATAACTGAGTATATTGTAGTAGATACTAAAATCCAAACGCGGAAGTATAATCATTAAAATGTCAGGAGTAATACAATTAGGAGTGCATAATAATGCACAACTTTTTACAAGTGCGAGCACTAAATGCATTGGAAAGGACATTAATCCAATTGTGAACGAACAGTTACGCGTCCCAACGGAATACTACTTTTCCTGATAATGGTAAGCAAAAAACCAGTTACGGTAGAAATCCCACATACCAAACATCCAAGGAATGAAAAGAATCATGAATGCAGGATCATCACGAGCCCATTGATTGCGAGTAGCTAAGGAATAAATGTGAGCATAAAAAAGCGTACAGTGATGATAGCTGAAATTTCTATATAACTTCTGAGGAGAAACGAAAACGTTAACCATTTGCCATGAAGCATACTCAAAATCCATTTGCCTAAATTTGTAAAATCTGGAGAAGTACTTCTTGGCTTTTTCATTTGCACTCAGAGATAATCTCGAACACGTTTGCCCACACAACCTGTGACACTGTTTACGTGTTAATGGTGGATTCGGATAAGCATTATTAACGACCACAAGATTTTTCATGGTAAAATCGCTGGAATACGATTCCATTGCTAGGATCTCTAAGTTGAGAAGCTAGACAGAACCATCAACGATAAAACTATTGCAGCTAGCCGCAAGCGAATATGGCGGATTAAAATAATGTCACCTTTTTTAAAATAATTCTGAGGCTCCTCCAAGAAAACATTAAATGAAAAGCAAAATGATAAAAAGCATTAAGTGCGAATTATCATTTATTTATTTTGCACTGAAAGCCATGATGGTACGACTGGGTCATAAAAATTATTAGTATGCAGCACCCAGTGTCTTAAATCTTTTTTTTAAGGCTGGAATCACCATTACAGGCAGTAGTGCTGAAACGAGGAATATTACTGCGTTGAAGTTCACATCCCCTTGATGACATGACGAAGGTATTGAGACCTAAAAATGCCAAATTCTGTTTTTAATTTGAATGGAGTGATTTAATACAGAGTTCGGTTTAAATGATTGAAATTAAAATTTACGTGAAATTTCATAGAATTTCACAAATGTACGTATAGCTATGCAAGTGCAAATACGGTTGGGTACTGCGAAAACCTTAATAAAGTGTGGCAATGCTGACTTCTATGTTAAGCCATACATGTAATGGAGGTTTCATTTCTAATACCTGCATTTACCTTTTAGGTTATTTTAGCGAATGGATGATTTGACCTGGTACCGTTTTAGATTAAAATTGTGCTAAAGTCTAGGTAGATTCTGCTTAGTCATGAGTGGGCACATCCCTCACATGCAGCCCCTGTGGTTATGTTGCATCATAACAATTTGGGTAGTTACATATGTTTATTTTTCATCGTACCAGTAGAGTTTTTTTCATCTTTTCAGCCTTTTTAGCCGATTTTTTGCGCGATTTTAGGTTTTTTGAATTGATTATTAGGTGCCAAAAAATATTTGTTTTTACTCACCACGGAGAAACGCGAGTATTCGTACGCCCATAGTTTGTCAAACCGTTGACTGATGGGTTCTTTGCTGTTTTTTAATAAGTTTAGTATTTGGTTTTTGTGACGCGCGAATCCTCGAAACAAAAATGGAACTCGAGAACATTGTTGCTAACACCGTATACATAAAGGCGAAAGAAAGTATGTCACTGTCTATTTGATTATATTATTCAGGTGGAACAAGCAAAGATAAGGGTCGAAGTAAGAAGTGGAAAGACATTCTAGCATTTCCTCACGTTAGCATTGCACGAAGAACTCTTCAGATGCTAGGTAGTACGCGTTTTAGTTTCTGATACTGTAGATATCTCCTACAACTACATAGTTCTGCAACAACCAATTGGGAAAAAGTTGTTTTGGTGTTACTGTTATTCAAAGCCAACACTGAAAAATCTCATTGAATTTCTAGATCTTACTGTAATCCGTATAGTATATTGACCTCGGTTTAGGACCTTTATGAGGTTAATCTTGAAGAGTCGGGTCGTGAAATTGCTGCTGAAATAGTTGAAAAATACCTACATCTCGAGGTAACTCCCGCATGCACTACTTTTCACATTTTCAGGCTCACTCTAAAATAACACACTTTCCTGATGAGTGTGCAAGTGGTGTTATAGATCGTATCAATAATCTTTCATCATCAGAGAGTCCACCCCGGGGTTTATTTGCCGGTTTAATCAAGTAACTTCCCATTTAGTATACATAGTTTTAGTCTGGCTGAATCTTGGCTTAGGTTCACAGTTTTTCTTGCATTTACAAAAACCATGTACTTTGACCGTTATCTGCAATGGAAATGGCTCGAGATGTAAGTAACTACTACATTTTCTTTTTACGATTCTAAATATTGGTCATTATCGCTTCTTTTGTTAACCTTTCTCATCCCCCACTTTAATTTTGTCTTTGTACGCATTGTAAGATTGATATTCTATCTTCAGGCAACCTGTCACGAAGGGCACATTTCGTATGTACCGAGTGTTAGGCAAAGGCGGTTTTGGAGAGGTGTGCGCCTGTCAAGTCAGAGCGACAGGGAAGCTCTATGCCTGTAAGAAGTTGGAGAAAAAACGGATTAAGAAACGACATGGAGAGCAGTTAGCCTATGCCGAGAAGAAGATTCTTCAGAAAGTGCATTCGCGTTTTGTTGTGAGCATTTGTTCTATGCTTGATTTGAGGCTGCTACATTCACTTAACCACTTTAATTATCTAAAAAGCGAAGCTACTGGGAACTCTTGGTCCGAATTTAACGCTTTAAGGAGAATAATGTCTATACGTACTTAAAACTTTGTCATTGACAATTCTCTTTCTATTTACTGCACATTCCTGAACCACTTGGCTTTTTTGTCAAGTCGTTTTTCCCATTTAGCAAGTGTTATGAACTAGTTAGTTATCTGCATAAATAATCTTTTGGGGAGTTTTACTATTTGTATTTCTATCAAAATATTTTCACGGGCTCTTAGAAAATTTGGAGTGAATTAATATTCTTTTCGACGTAATTTTTATCTAACGGTTTTTAGCCGTAGATACAGGATTTTGATTTTTTTTTATCTTAATAACAATTATGTGGATCAGTATATAATCATTGTGATTCTCTGTTTATTGCCCGTTTTTAAATAATAGACAAATAAGTTGGCACCGAAACTTCCAAGCTGAGCGTTTTTTTCACACGTACATCCATTTCACCTCCGTATTACTGCTTTCCCAAAAGTTAAATATGGTAAGATTGCTGAAACTGGTTCGTTGTAATTACCTTAGAATGCTTTACCATTTTGGAGTTGGTTTTCATTACAAGTTTTTTAAAAGTAAAGCTCTAAATTTTTTAATTGTGCCTACTTCCACTACGGTACAGTAGTACTGGTGGTAAGATTTGTTCACCATTATCCTCAAAAGTCTAATGAATCCATTATTCTTATTTTCACTTTTTGGAATTACCTTTATCTGGGTAGATTTTTTAGTAAGCCTTCTGTTTTGATAGGTTTGAATTCGTTTGATCGTTTCCCACCGTTCTGCATCGTTTGAGGTTTGTTTCTGCATTTATGCAACGTTTTTTCTCTATACTCAATACTGAAGGTGATTTCTCCCTTTCATGCCGAGCTACCAGACCGGCTCCTTGGTTCTTTCTGTCCATTATCTAACGTGGGTAGATGTTTTCTGCTCTGACAGGTGTGCTTAGGGTGCAGATTGATCATTGTTGATCTCCCTGGAAGACTGTTCTCATTCCCCTCTTCGCGTTCCTTTTATGTGAATAACTTGAAATGGACCGTTTTTTTTGCTTAACTGTATGCAAATGGAATCCACTTCGGTGGTTTTTTGGTCTGATCCTGTCCTGTGCGAGTTAATTTATGTACTTAGCTCAATTGTGTAAGCTATTTCTGGAAGACAGTTTTGATTTCGTCAATGCTAAAACGGTATTGGGATGTCACAATTTTTTGGCTATGGGCTTTTGGTAGTCATGTTTATGGCGTCTCGAGGCTTCCCTGAAGACTAGGAGACATAATGCTCGGGTATTGGAGCTTGGGGCCATTGGCACAGCCCGAAGGTCAGCCCATCGAGCTAAGGTACAACTGTGGAGACTCAAAGTGCTCCCTTTACCCGAACCAAAAGTTAAAAAATAGCAACCAGTGCATTATATAACCCATCATCCTCGGTGCTCCCTTTGGTCACTCAGGATAGATGTCCATTAAGATCGAATTCGCTTTCCGCTGCCGCCAATGTAGTGCCCCGAGACTTCCCTGTGGATGAAAGAAGACATACTACCCGGGCAGAATATACATGTACGACATGCAGAAGGGATTGGGGCTACTGACTTGGCCCAGAGGCCAACCCACCTGGCGAAGGCACAATGGCGGAGACCCAAAGTGTCCCCTTTACCAAAACCAAGAGTTAGACGACCAAAGTACTAGTGTTAGATTTTGGTAACTGTGTTGAACACGTGCCTTCTTTATTGTGTGGTTATGAGCTATCCAAAACAGGACCTGCCGCTTTTGGTAGGCACTACTCTAGTAATGGGCATCTTCCATTGCCGATAGTTGTTTGTCCGTTTGTACCCACTGGTTGGTTTACTGGTTTCAGTGTGTTGTATGCGTACAATGAATGTGTCAGGGTGTGACTCCGCCCCTCACATTTATTGAGCTTTCCTCTACGTGAGTAACATGATCAGGTGGGTCTTGTAATAAGGCTTCTTAAGCATTCCTTGAGGCGTAAGACAAAAAGCTTGCCGCATTGGAGTATGTAGAAAAGAGGATCCTTTTGAGTACAAGCAGAAAGGGGTAGATTTATCCCTCTCGATACTTTTTCTTGCTACAGTTGTGTGGTAGGTCTATCAGCCCCGTATCTATTGCCTCATTTTCTCGCCCACTGGAGCTGATAAATTTCATTTTTGTGTTACATTGACTTTCCCATTACATCGATTCATCGTAAAACACTCGTTGTGCATGTATCCAACTCATCTTCCTAGTCCTAATACCGCGGGTCTTCCCACCTATTTCTTATGATGGTGCTGTTTTTATCCTACACGCGACAGACACGTTAATACTGCTTTTACTGATTTTTTGGAGCCGCATTCAACTCTATTAGCAACCAACTGGTAATGTTTTGTCAACTTGTGAGTTTGACCCGATTTTTACTAACCATTCATCGCGTACTGCTTTCTATCTCGTGTATTAACTTTTCATGCCCTTTCGTCAAAGCTAATAAGTTGTGTCACCCTCCTTTGAAGCTGGCTTGGAGTACAACCGGATAAAAACTTTTCACTCATCAGTCGCTTTTCGCAATAAGGGAGCGTATCCTTTGGTACAAGTTTTTTTATGATTATTTAAGGGTCTGATGAACCCGCATAAGGCTGCTTTAAGACTATTTAGAAGGGTATGTTTTATGCCTCTTATCTAAGGTTAGTTTCATTACATGTAATAATGTTAGCACAATGGCGTTCTTGAAGAGACCAGCATCATAAATGCATTAGTCAAACAATGCAGTGTTATTCCAGTGCATTATCGTAACATGCGCTCATTTTTGGACAATTCCACTCACTGGTGTCTACTTGCTTAACCTGTTTCTTTTCCACCCATTTTCCGTCCGACCAGATGTTTCGTGTGCCTCAATGCAACCTTTTCGGTTGTAATAATTCGCTAGTGTGGTTTGCTAAGCTTGACGGGAAACCCTTAGAAGTTACTATTTTACTTCGTCAACAGGTCATTCTTCTCCCTCTTTTGGTTTGATAAGGATGTCACTTGCCAAGCTTACAAGTCTTATTCCTGCTTTTATATAATTAAGCTCTCTTAAATGTTTCTCTTCCTAATTTTATTTGTGCTATTTACATTAGTCGATCGTCGTTTCAACTCACCTTCGATATTCTGCTTACAAAATGGCTCTATTGCTAGGATAAAATTGCGACTGAAGACAAGTTCTCTGTATTCTGTGGTTTTACCTACTTTGTGAAAGAAAAAACGCACATTGGCTAGCACAAAAGTGGAGGGCGTTTTAGTGTTGACCCAGCAGCTGAGCGCCTTCCACCTATTGGAAACGTCCGTTTGGTACGCTTCGTGCCGAACCCTTGAGGACTGAGCCGTCGCTTAAAACACCCAGTGACTATTACTAAATCACTTATTTGGTCCTCTCCCACTCCTCACATTCATCTCTTCCGCTTGTACCTTAGTTTTAGGGAGTTCGAAATGGGCAAATTTTCTTATTAAATAACCATAAACTGGTACATGTACATTTCTGTCCATTAGCCTCAGTTTGGTGGATTTTCACTTGACATCAACTATTCTTCCACATTTCCACCTCGCATTTTTCGTCGCTTTCATTAAAAGGTACTGTTTTACCAACTAAAGAAACCGTTTTTCGCCAAATCTTGCCCCTTTTCTTGATAATTGTTTTTTCTCCCTTTTGATTCTTTGGGAGATATTTTGAACAAATGCTATGAATTCAGCCCGTTCTTATACTTCCCCTATGCGACGCTCTACACCTGACAAGTGTAACTATTTGACGTGTACTTGATGTCACTAGCATTCCTGCGCCTACATCTGGTCGCTCGTGAGGTTTTCACATCATGCGAAAGGGAAGCAATAACTCAGCTACTTTTACAGTTGCATTTCAAATTATACGGATTCCTGTCATCCATGGGCAATTACTCCCAGCACTTGACTGCTAAGGCTTCTCACACTCTCTCCTCTCTCTCTCTCTCTCTCATTACCACTTTCAGCCTTCCTCTCCGAAATATTGTGGGCTTTTTTTACTAAAAAATAACTTTTACCAAAGTCTTGGGTCTGCATTTTCTTGCTTTTCTAATGATGACAAAATTGCCTACTTACTAAGTAATACTGATTGTGAGGGTTCCCACAATTGGCTTTCGGCTGATAATGTTAAATCTTCTCGTATAACCCGCTTCTTTTTTGCTTTTTTTAAATGCTCTGCTTTTTCTACCGTTACTATTCATTTATTTTTTTTTCGGTGGATGAATTGCCCTGGCTCTGCTTCTCAAAGTTGATTTTTTCCACTCATCTTACCTCATCGTAACGCACCATTCTAACATTCTCAATGTGAGCTTGAAGTGGAAGGCCTTCACTCCACCGTGTGATTTACACTTATGCAGGTGAGTCTGGCCTACACCTTTGAGACGAAGGATGCGCTATGCCTTGTGTTGACTATCATGAATGGGGGCGACCTCAAGTTCCACATTCATAATATGGGCATCACCGCGGGTTTCCCCGAGAGTCGAGCACGTTTCTACGCCGCAGAAATCACACTGGGTCTAGAACACCTCCACTCCCTGCGCATCGTCTACCGTGATCTCAAACCTGAAAACATTCTCATTGACGATCAAGGTGAGTCGCCATTGTGGATGTACTTTAGTCTTTCCTGGAGTCGCTTTTTTTGCCTTCATCTCTCTTGGTATTTTCCATGAAGCAATCCATCTTTTTAACGTTTTTCTAGCCAGGCAATAATTTTCACTTTTGCTGAGCATCTGACTAGGTAGGCATCCCGTCCTTTTGATTTTTTCCTCGGAAACTCGTGTTCAACAAATGATTTTGATCTGAAAATACCAGTGAGAATTCCCTTGAGGGCATTACATAATTCGGTTTTTTTCGTCCGTGTGAACAACCCGGATTCTTTTCACACCCTTTGTACCTTTTTTCTCCCTGGTGTTGCTCCCTTTACACCCTTTTTTTGTATTATACTCATGAATTATTTGTACAGAAGACCTGTCTGTTCATGTCACGCCTATAGTGATGGATCATTAGGAATACATTTTGCAGGTAAACACACCACTTGCTACTATGGCCGCACGCACAGGTGTATGCGTTAAAGTTTTCCCTGTTTATTTATAGTCAGTCGGACCTTTTTATCACCTTGATAGCCTCTAGAAGGCACAATTGGGGGCCTGGTCTCACCAGGCCGTTTATTGGTGGTCGCAGCATGTCAATAGTAGAACAGCCGCACGGGTGTGTTTGTGCTGTTTGCAGTTCATTTACCGGCTCCGGAAATGCACATTACTGTGCTTCTGTAGCTCGTAGTTGGTACCTGCCTCTCCCACCGCGCCTAACGTGGGGGATTAAAAAGTCGCGGTCCCTTTCAGGTCCAAACTTCGGCTAGAACTGGCGGTGATGCTGGATATGGAGTAATAGAACGCACCTCTCAGCGTAACCATCTTATTCTCTCTGCATTGCACGCGGTCCAACAGAGATCAAAGGGTGTATCGAGGTGTTTTATTTAAGCCGCACTTGTGTAAGGTACTGCTTTTGGCATTTTTCATAGATTTGTGTCATAATGGTGCTAAGGAAGAAAGTTTGTAATGTATACGCTCGGTTCTGGTAATGTGTTAAATGTCACGTGGTGAAATGGGTTGGCTTTGTGTGTTCTTGTTGGGCTTTTCAGACGTAATTTGCATCGTTGAATGCGAGAGTGAGCCTTTTAGGTCTATCTCACGCTGTTGTTCATTTCCTTGTAGACAATACTATTTTTTCCATCAACTGATGGTACTTGGGTGGGGTTCATTTTGTTGATAATAGTTCACTCCTCATGACAAAACGCATCCTGCCTAGATATCATTGATATTCCTTGAAATTTTTCTCCCCCTCTTGTGTTCATTCATCTTACTGGCCCGTCTCGATGAAAAAATAATTTGCTTACTACAGTTGAAATTGTACTAGGATTTATCTGCATCACATGAAGACAGTTTGTTTTCCCAAGATCCTTCCAAGCGTATTTCCTTACTGTCATATCCGCGTTTTTGACTGTCATTTAACCAATTCCACCTTGGACATACATATTTGCTTCAGGTGATTCCGCTATCTCATGGCAACCTAGTTTATCCCTGAAAGCACAAAAGATACCATTGCCAACTCCTCTTTCCAATATCCCCATGTATTGTAGGATTAGGTAGTGTAATAAAATATACTGTATTCTTATCGCCTGGCCACCATCTTGCCGACATTACTTAGTGCTGTAGTGACATTCTGGTCTTGACTTTTATATCCACTGGAGTTTATAGGCTGCTCCAATGAGGACTATGAAGGGTCCAGAAAATTTGACCGTTTTGATAATGCAATCAGTTGCTCTCTTCCCCCACTGCTTGCGTGAGTGTGTGTATGCCACCGCCGTTGGAAGTGGTCTATTGGAGAATCTAAAGTGAAACCACTCACTATTGTGCAGTTTTTAAAACGACGGCATCTAATTGTCCCACATAGTGCACCCAGACAATCGTCTTCTCTGCCTCTGTGCACGCCCCTGCATATGCATGGACTTCGATGAATGTCTTGAGTGTTAATTACGTGGAAGAGCTGGACACTAGGAGTCTGAATTAGCCTCCTTGCCCCAGATTGATACGTTCAATTTGGGCGGCAATACTTTTTTTCATTCGCATGTCCACGGCATGCTTATGCAAGTTACTTATTCTTGTGCCTTTCACGTACTGATATGCAGGGTGTCACGATTTGTTCCTTGACTAGTTCAAACCAGCTGCAGACGTGAATGCTAAAATCACTTGTGGAATTCTTGATTTTGAATAAGATGTAACGTCCCAGTTCTCTCTGTAAATGACAAACAGGCTGGTATGTGGTTAACTTAAATGTCACGAATGGAATGGCATACCACCAAGATGGCGCCCGACAGCTGTAGAGATTGTGAGGCCTGCCTGGCCAAGCATATTCTGTTACAATAACAACACCGAGTGAAATTCTGTTTTTCATGAAGATGAGTTCCAAATTTTGAACATCAGCAACCAATTCAGCATTGGATAAAATGTCCAACTTTAGGTCCACAGAAAGAATGCGCCCTCGACCACTGTTGCATGCTAGCCTTGTCAATAGTGGCAGAACTGGCTCGTGACATGTGCACCGGTTATTGATAGTAATAGCATGAAACTTCTCACTTCCTGCTGTTGGTATTACAGTTCCTGTGGCAGGTCCTTCTAAACTTTCGAGAATAAAGCCTCATCTTGGCCTGAATGCGCTTTATATCTACTTTTTGTAGGTAAACACCTTATTACCCACATTATATCTCGACTGCGATCGACAAGTCTGTGGGTCAAAACTTTAGACAGAGCGTCTGATGGTTTTGCCGTTGCCTCTTATTTTGTGTAGGTCACCTTCGGATATCGGATCTCGGTCTGGCGGTAGAAATCACCCCTCATAGCGCTCTCAAGGGTCGAGTGGGCACTGCGGGCTACATGGGTAAGGGTGCCTCTGGCCACATTACTCTCGTGCATAGTTCCACAATGAACTACATTAAAAATATGAATCGAGTTTATGCATCTATGTAGAAATTCCTAATTTATTTAGTATATCAGTCTCGTGGCTTTAAATATTTCATGTTATTTTTGCTGGCATTAAGTCCTTACTTTGTTTTCGCAGAGTTGACACTAGACTGTCAAATATTACCTTAAGGATTGATTTTGCTTAAATATTTACATATTAAATTTTAGTGTGGTTCAGTAGGGTCTCAAAAAATTATCTAAACATAGTTAATCTCCCCATTTAGGTGATGGTATATTCTTACCAAAGCATCCCATATCGGTTCAATTGGCAGTAAAATGTGATCCACTTCCTCCTTACAAATCACGGTAGCCCGGTTGAGACTTCTCTGAAGACATTTTGATGCATTAATTAGCCGGATCCTATCTCCATCCTTTCAACTTCCTACTGTGGACCGTGTGGAAGGGTTGTATTCATGTCCTACGCGGAGGAGCAGGGCTACGTGCTCATTATTTATAGCTCATTTGCGCAGTTCTGTCCCCGGCTGATGGTGTAGCAGCAGCGACAGTAGCAACCACTAAGGTGAGAGTAAAAATAGCATTGGCATGGTGGACGTATCCACACCAGGGACGATTAATTGGCACCACGACCATTGTTGCTGTCATCTTGCCGACGTTATACCATCTCAGAGCCCAGTTAAAATGGGCTCATGATTTTGTGAAAAGAAATGTTTGTGTGTACTGGTGGGACTTAAGTTGTCTCCATGTCGAATTTTCCCTGTTTCCGATAGGACTATGAAAAGGCAAGACAGCTGGTAGGCGAACTTCCGTGGAACTGTACTTCTCTTAGCTACCTGCGGCCATATGCACACATAATCCCTGTTTATTGTGCTTCCGGTCCCGTGACCCTTATAATCCCAGTTCCATGGAAAGTGTCGCTGGTTGGTAATGTGTATGTAGTCTCAATTTCCTTTGTGGGGAAAGTGGTTCCACTGGGAGCTCCCTTTATTACCGCCTCCCTCTCATAATTTCGTTGACAAACTCTGGCATGGAGAGTGTGTGTGTGTGTGTGTGTGTGTACTCTTACTACTCCGTCATTTTTTAATTTTACTTCAAACTGAACTTTGGACTTCATAGTGCAGCACATAGACCCCCGTTAGATCCGCTTGCTATTACTCTAGCCAGAAGCGGGTGATTAGATTCGCACTGATCAGTCAGTCGATCGATTGTCCACTTGTTTATGCGTCGAGTGTCTTCCTTCTACAACACACTGCACGTGTGCCTCCACTCGCATCCCACTCATTTGCCTGCATGACCAACCATATATTGCCTAACTACTCATTTTATCGACGTACACGTACAAAAACCTGTTACTATGACTATCATCTCGTAGGGAAAAATGAGTAATGTACTCATGTGGCGTAGCTAAGTTTCCCCATCAGTAAACAACAAAAACACCAAGTCGTTTGGGTCCCGCCTAGGTGAATAGGATGGTTACTGGTGATGGCTCGTCCTTGCTTTCCTCTCACCATCCTCCTTCTCGCTTGTGTAGTAACGCATCTGGCCAGATCGTAAAAGCTACATGAGAGCCACAATTTATGCAGGCTCTGCTACATTCGTGCCCCATGAGACCCAAGACCAGCACCTCTAGTGTTAAATTGCACCGCGGTCATTTCTGTTTGATCATCATACTCGGGAGCAATCCGATCGGTCGCTTCTCATCCGTGTGCAACATGTCTGCTTCATGATTCTAAGTGGCCGAAAGTACTTCAATCAGTGTGCCTTGCCTAGAACTTGAGCCACAATTGTTATTCTCGATCCAATCTATTATTTGTCACCGCTCTGGAACGATGGTATTGGGGATGTTTGGTAGTGGGGGGAAATCCATTATTCTCATTTGCAATGCACTCAATTCACTTCAGGTTACTTGTTAGAACTTTTTGACAGACATCAAATTTAAAATTTGTACTTTCGCGTGGTGTTGCCTTTTTATTCCGCCTGGGTACGTTACGACCTGACTGATCAACATTCCACCGAGGTGCTCAACTGCATGTGAACCTTCTACTGCTTTCAAATAGGATGTTTATCAAATTTTCCTCGTTGCTTTTGGCGATTGTCGCTTTTTTGTTCAGTCCCACCCGTTATTACGGTCTGACAATGGCTCAGGTAGCTAAAATAAGCCATTTGTGACCACTACAGTCAATCCTTTATCATCCAATGTGGCACGTTTACTCGATCATAAACAAAAAACATCGCCGTCAATGCTAAAGTACATAGAGTCGCACTGTCCATTCTTAGTGTCGTTCTTCATCTCCCCAGCTTCATGGCTCTTTTTATGCTATTTACCGCTCCTCAATTCTTTCTGCGTATGCTCGGAGATTCCAAATCCAGTTCACTTCCGTACTTTGGATAGAAGTAGTACAGTTTCCCTTGTTTGGGGCTTACTGGAGGGTCAAACATGACTTTCCCTTTTTCTTTTCAGTTCCCCTTGCTGGCATTGCTCCAATTCGTGAAATGTGTAAGCCTTTGTTAACATCTGCTTCCTTAGCCAAGGAAGTTCAACATCCCCCACAGTTAGTTTCGGTTCCTTCCGAAGTTTAAGTCTCCTTTCAGTTATGAAAGAAATTTTGCCCAGTCGGCACTCAGTCCTCCGTTACCCTCTGATAAATATCCCTCCTGTGCATTTGCAAATCCTCTGTCGCAATCCATCATCTCAATCAAAATTGCCGATGGAAGTACTTTTGGTTATAGCCCTTATCTATTCACAAGTTAGTATACATAAGCATTCCCATCTACTTGCTTCGTATGTGTGGAAGGTGGAATGGAGATAAATGGGATACTCAGTGCTATTTTGCCATCCATATCCTTATACCGGAGTCCTCTGCCTGCGTTTCCATGCTGAATTTAACGGGGGCCCCATTTACTCTTGTTAGCTTCAACTCACCAACTGCTTGCTCACAATGACGGTTTTCAGCGTTACTCCATGCGTTCCCCTCGTTCGTCAACGGTATAGGGTGATAATCCCGGTTATCCTTTTAGGTGTAACACTTTTAGGGTAGTGTGCGTGTGTGTTGATACGGTTCTAAGAGTACTGCATCATTTTTATGTGGTTGTATTATCAGGTATATCTTCCAAATTCCAAAATTTATCCAAAAAGTCAGGCGTAATTCTACTGCTAGAGCTCACCGCTTAAGTCCACTTAGCCTTTCAATAGTGAATGTGTTCTTTTGCCCTTTGATGAAACAGAAGGTTTGGGAAACTGTGTAAAATTTAGTCTCTCCACTCTCTTGAAAATTCACGGCACAGTAGGCAAGCTGCTGTGTAAATTTGGTTGTGTAGTGATGGCGGACGGTACTTTTGGGGTTTCAATACCTTGGAGCTCCCTATACTTAGACTAGATGCATCCAAATATTGAAAGATGCTGATTGGTAGCTCTGCTTGAGAAATGTGCACATTTAAATTTCCTTCAATTGTCTCCTGTCCATTTCTATAGCCTACTACATCTCACTTTAAAAATCGTTTCCGATTCCCATTTCATTGCTTCATCTGCGGTGAGTAGCGCCTCCACATTCAGTGCTCATGAATCATTTATCCTCTCATGCGTTTCTGATGTCCTCCACGTTCAGCTTTCCTGATTCATTTGCCGCCTTCGTGTTATTTTTTTCTCCTAAATCGAATATTTGCTTTCTTTCACTACAACAAGTGTTTGTTTAATTTATTAATCGCCATTCCTCTGGCCTCCGTTTTCATTTACCTCAATTTCTTTGGAAATCCTTGCTTTTATCAATGCTATTTAAATCTACTGTTAATGATATTCTGATACTTTAAGTAGAACTCTTGACTTATATCTTGCCTTGTTGCCCCACCCTACAAATTATTGTAGTAATATCATGTGTTTTCCACAAAGGGGGCAATTTCGAGCCATAGTAGCTTTAGATTATCCGGTTGCCTACCAAAGTAACCCGAATTTATATGCCATAGCATCTGTGGAACCCATGGAGAGAAGTGTTTCGTCAGCGTCCGGAAGATTCCTCAAAACTACTCCAGATATTCGGGTTTGCTTAAACTTCATGCCGAATCAAACATTTTGCCATGACTTACGATGCGAATACTGAATTTTATTAGCAGGAAATCTTTGTGACAAACCACTTCTTGTCTATTGCCATGAAAGGTCCTGCCTGCTGTATAGTCAACGTTGTAGGCTGCACAAGCACAAACAGGGCTGGTGGACTGTTTAGTGGGACAAATATGGACGCACAGACGTGCCAAAGAAATGGTGTCTAAAGCCACCAAGACTGAAGGGATGTCCTGTTCTCTTTTCCCCCTTAATTTTCCTCATTCACATAATTCCCAGTTATGATTAACGTTTGTGAGGAGAGGAAGTAGGACACTTTCCCGTCACACTGTTTGTCATCCTTCCAAACCGATCAGCCCTCTTTAAATAAGGAAAACCCATTTACTAGCTCGTTAACGACTAGCCTAGCGGTTTCCTCCTGTGGTGTATGGGCGAAATTATGTAATCCTTTTTTTATCAAGAACGAAGAACTGACAGCTCTAGCTATCACAATACCTCCACTCTTAATATCTGATGTTTATCCTAAAAAAATGCCTTTTCATTTACTTAACTAAGGACCCTAAGTACAGCCTATTAAGTCACTCGACCATGCGAAGTACCTCAAATGTTCATTACTAGAATCAGACTATGGTTTGTTGTGTGATTCATTTCAGCTCCAGAGGTGATTCGCGGTGAGCGCTACACTTTCAGTCCCGATTGGTTTGGTCTCGGTTGCATTGTCTACGAGATGATAATGGGACAGCCGCCTTTCCGCAAACGACGGGAACGCCTCAAACGCGAGGAAATCGATAGGCGGGTCTGTGAGGACACCGAGACCTACAACCAACGCTTTAGTGACGTCGTCCGAGATTTTACCTCCTCTGTATGTTACCCAATTCCTCTTATCTTTTATTTTGAGATTGGCTGTTGTAGACGTATTCGAGGAGGATCGTACGACTTCATGAGACGGATCGAACGTTCGAAATTCCAGAAGGCGTCTCGATAAGAGTTGTGCATATTTTAACCATTTATTGGGGTCCTTTTTTTGTGAATGTACCGAAAATTGTGGGTTAATTTTTTTGTGATAATGAAGCGCTCTTTCCAGAGTAGGCCTTGGAAGAAGTGAATTGACTAAGATTTTATAGTTGTTTTATTATGGAGGATGCTTATCAAAAGTCCTTATTATTTTTTCTGTGAAATGAACACTGCGATAGTGGCACTTCCCGTAAATAGTTATTCATTCCTTCAATTAGTACCAAGAAGGAAGTGAATATTTGTGCAAGGTGTTTGTACCTGTAACACTTGTCAACCCCTGTCACATCTCCCTTATTATACCACCCGAAACTGAGATACCATGTTAGGAAATTGTAGGAGAGTGCTTCTATTTTCGGTATACATGTCCACTTGAAAAGTTTTTTTTGTTTTTTGTAGCTTCTTTAATTCTCTATGTATACTGGACATTAAACCTAATCAATCGATTTTTTATAGTTTGTTTCAGTTTAATATCCCCCTTAGTGGCGGCATTTCTTATTCCTGAGCTTCTATTGAAGTCTTGTGGTTTCTTAAGTTCTGGTTTCTAATGGCTTCGTTGATGCATGTAGCGCCCCGATTCTTTCCTGAAGATGAAAGAAAACATTATGCTAGGGCAGAATATTATTTATCTCCGACGTAGAGAAGGCCTGGAGGCTAAGCCACCCGTAGAAGGTACAATTGCGGAGTTTGAGAGTTAAAAAAAAACATCCTATTATATTGTCCCTCTCCTCTTTTGAATGTCGTTCCCTGGCGCTTCCTCTTGGTCAACATCCTGCGTCAATCATCACAACCTACTCGGTTTTGTAAGGGTAAGGAGATGCACCTATGAACCAACCGCGCCAGTCATCTAATTTGTGTTTAATGGAGGGGATATCTAAATGCAACACCATTGATCCCTTTTGGCAACTATACTGGATCTGGATTTTCATCCTGTATGGGAACTGTACTGGGGGACGGGAGGATGGGGGGATGCGCAGGTCATCACTCGTACCCATCATTAGTCGTAAGAATATTGGCCCAAAAGCAGACTTATTTAATAAGGGACGGGATTTGAAATTATTTTGGGGGAATAAAATGTTTTGTGTCTGTTCATCCTTCCCACTTTTTACTCCAGTGCTGCCATGTCGTATCTATCTGGGTTCTATCGAGCCAGTGGAGGTATCGAGAGTTTATGTCGTTGATATTTTCATGCAGCTCCGTAATGAACATTTCCATATGGTTTATAGTCATGGCTACTGTCGCTTCATTTGTGAATAGCATTACTGCGGAACACGGGACTGGGGCTGGGATAGTTGCCGAGGGCAGACGTCATTTTCAACCCTTGTGTCAGGGGCCCTTACAAATTCTCCATCCGCAGCATATGCCCTTCTACCGTCACATCCAGGTTTACCATTCAGCAATAGGCATAGGAGCAGATGTCCTTTGGGATTTGGTTTATATTCTGTTTCTACCAATGTAGCGCCCCGAGACTTCCCTGAAGACGGAACTATACATAATACTCGGGCAGAATGTGCATTGTTGACCTACAGAAGGGCTTAGGTGCCACCGGCGCTACCCAAAGGCCAGGCTGCCCATAGGAGGTACAATGGCGGAGCCCCTGACTGGCCTATTACCAAAACCGAGAGTTAAGTAAACAATCAACCTACTACAATGTATCCATTTGCACGATAAGGTGGTGACAATATACAAAATCATGTTTACTAATGCGCTCTAGTGTCGAATAAAGCTCATCCAAGCTCCACAAATGCCAGACTGTGATGTGGTATATTTTCCCCTAAATTCACTGTTTTTACTTCAATTTACATTTTATGAGCGTGAATTATTTGTACTCTATTAGACACTTCAATTACATAGCCGTGTTATTGCCTAACTGCACCCAGAAGGTCAATTGGGAAGGCCGTTAATCATCTGCTTTTCCCCATTTTTCGACTCAAAACAGTTGAAGTGTGAAATTCCTGCAGCTCTGGTAGTGTTGGTTTATTATTCGAATGTCATAGTATTGTTTAACTCGAGGCCCTTTTCATTGATCTAAACATGGATGAAAATCCAGAAGGATGACAGCATGCAGGTGAACAGACAGCATTGTCTCCATCACTTCCTAGAAAGTAGTGGAATCAGTCTTCACACCGAAAAGTAGTCGTGTGCGTCGGAAAAGCCCGCGGTCTGAGTTAATTGTCAGCAATTCACGACACTTCGGTGAATGTCAACAAGGTCCACCTTGGTGCAAAGTTTTCACCTTTTCGTGTGGTGAGCAGATTTTCAAGGGTAAGCTGCGCCATAATATTCATGGAGTGAGGCTTTGGGGCCAGTGAAAAAATCAGTATATGTTCTGACTAGGCCGTTGAGTCTACTGCGTGTGTCCAGAGAGTTCCATTTGATCACCGCGGGCACTGCTGGCAGTTCGAGTGGTGTGATGGACCAATGGTTCACCGAGTCAGGTTGACGATACCTGAGACAGTATCAATGTATAGCCGGACTTTGTAGCCATTCATTCCAGTGGTAATAAACCATATGCTGCCGGGCACATTAACTTGGAAGACGATCGTCACGTCGTGCAAGTGGCCAACTCTTTTTGGCCTTCTCTCATCCCATTTCCTTACCCGGCTTGGAGTTGGGTGGACGGGACTGGCGCTATCCATCCTTGTGGTTGGTGGTGCTGCACTTACGGCTCCGATACTGTTTGTGAGGGTAGAACTTGGTGGTGTCAGGCTTTACAGTGCCAACAGAACAAGAGGAGGATCTCCTCGGCTTTAGCGTCGGGATGCAAATCAGGTTCGGGGGAGGTCAGGTTGTTTGACTTGATGCACTGCATGGATTTCGGGACTCTGCCTCGGTCCTCAGACTGGATTATGGCGGTCTTTTGTTCTGAATTAGCCACGAGTTGGTACTCAGCGATTGTAGTGCGGGTGATGTTCGGTCGTACACGAACATCTGTAAGTTCAGTAGGCTGTATGCTGCCGATTAAAATGAGTAACTTGAGCCTATCATCGGTTAGACTTCTACTATAGACGTCCGCACTCGCGATTGGTTTCATTCAGGACTAATTTCAATCATTTGTAATACTTACTGAAAAGCGATGACCTGTCACTGAAGTGTTGCCTCAGGGACTCCGCGATCTGGTCGAGGTCGCGGCATTTTTGGGCTGCAATACTTTTCAAGCTCTGTTGATCCCAACTTACAAAGTAGGGGGGGAATCTTTCACACAGCACGTGAAAGGAGATCGACTGAACAGGTGTGGCAATGCCGTCAGTTGGTGCTAGCGATGAAGGACCTATAATGATCTCCCTCATTCAGGTAGAGAAGGTCAAAGCTAGTGCAAGTGGCGCTGTAATGGCCAGACGATACACTTGAGAAGCTGTTAGCCCACATACGTGTGTTGATGGGTGGATGGCTTAATGTGGCTATTTATGAGAGGCCGAGCCATTCGTCACATTTCCGCTTATGTTTGCGGCTGATTGCCCTTAATCTCCTTTCTCGCGCTTCAAGCTTTGGCTATACCACGCCCAACGCGCATGGGCGGACGCGTAGATGCGCCCCCAAAATTATCCACCCTGCGGTCTCGTCACTACCCTTTGAATCCCTTTTTTATTCAGGCCCGTATTCAAGATCTTTTTTGCAGATGTGGATTACAGTTGTTGGGCTTGTTCATGTTGGTGAGAAATGCTTGTGGCTAGTTTTTGGGCGATGTAAAGAGGAAGGTCACAACGCAATAGAAATTTGATGAACGACCTGCGTCCACACTATCATCCCAATAACCTAATGGCCATAGGTGTACTTGACCGGGGCTGTTGAATACGCAGACGTTTGTCAGTCCTATCAGTAGTCGAAATGCTTTTTATCCAAGTTGCATACAGCTGGTAGTTATTCGTTGTTCATTATTCAGTCGGGTGTGCGTCTTCTCTGTCTTTGGTTGTAGTTGCTGCAGAAGGACAAGTCTCTCCGGCTGGGCTGTGATGATCGAGGCGCAAGTGGCGTGAAAGCACATCTCTGGTTCCAGGGCACGAACTGGAAACGCCTCGAGGCTGGCCTCATCGAACCTCCCTTCACTCCAGATGTAAGTTTTTAATTGTTCCAAGAAAACGGCCAATTCGCTCATCTTCCATTGTTTTTGTTACTTAGTGCCGTTGTGGGAGTTGGGGGCATAAAGGTCTTGTGAGATCTTGTCCTTGCACAATCCTTTTGTACAATAACAGTTTTCCTCCCTCTGTTAACTAATAATAACTATGTCAGTTCTGTCCTGGCTTATTTAGTTGTGATCGGAGAAACACTTCCCTACTTGGTGCCTACTTATTAAGTCAAAATGGTTGATGACGCTTTTAGTTTTCTTTCCCCCCTAATTATCTCGAGAAAAAAAAGGCTAGTGGTTTGGTCTTGTGAACAAGAGATCAACTTTAAGCATGAAGTCCGGGTGAAAGGAATTTTGACGGGATAAAAATCACTTTTTAGGTCAGCAGCTCCCCCCTTATTTGGGTTGGGAGAGTTGATTACCTTAATGTAGCTACGCGCTACCCCTTGGGAAGATGAATCTTGAAACGATCTCCGCCTTTTAACCTGAGAGATATGTTTCAATAATTGACATGATGAATGGCCGTTATTGGCCACATCCAGACTGTTTCGGCCGCCTATTGTTGCACAGGCCTCCCTACAGCCTCATTGTATCAACAGTGGGAAGTTTCTCTCTTAGTGGCTTTTTTTTAGCTGGATAATGGGCGCAATCATGTGGCTCCTCACTAATCCCTGTGGTCTTTTTGTAAGTCTTTTAACCAGTTATTTAAAACGACTTTCAAGCAACACTAAAAAAGCTTCTTTCTACTTTTATCTGCCATGCATAATATTCTTCCCTGAAGACGAAAAAGACATATCACTCGGGCATGATGTGTTAGCATAGCCTGGAGGCCGGACTGTCCAGCGGAGGCATATTGGCGGAGCCTTAAGCCCCGCGTAACCAAAACGAAGAGTTGAGCAAACAATTAAGGTATTGCATATCCCCCTCTCCCCGCATAGGCGTTGTTTCTGGTGCTTTCCTTGGTCAACCTCCCGCGTAGGCCATTACAACGTAGTCAGAGCTGCAAGGGAAAGCACCCACGAACCGATCGCGCCATTCATTGAATTTGCGTGCAACTGGGGAGATATCTTGGCAATTCCACTGCATCTGTAGTTTCTTTCTCTTTGGGAATTGTACTGGGGATGGGAAAATGAGCAGGTCATCACTTTTGTCCAAGCTAGTCGTAAGAACACTGGCCAAAAAGCAGGATAATTTAATAAAGGGCGAAGTTTAAAATAGATTTGTGGGGGTAATGTTTCGCATCTGTTCATCCTTGTCGCTTTGTTCCCACTTCAGTACTGACCATTCATATGTATCTTCCTTCCATCAGGTGGTAGAGAGATGGAGGAAGTATCGCTTGTTTGCTTCATCGATATCTCCATACAGGTACGGTAGACAGCTCCGTAACGAACTTTTTTCCCGTGGTTTACGACTAGTGTCGTTTCAGTGGTTAATAGGTTTCCTACTGACCACGGGACTGGGATAGTTGCCGAAGGTGGAAGTCATTTTTAGACGCAGCATATGCACTTCTTCCGCTACACTAAGGTTTACCATCCAGAAGCCAAAATCAGGAAAGTTTTCCCTTTAAGGTAAGGTTCTCTTTCCCCTGCCATCAATGTAACAGAAAGGTAGAGGAGGATATTCGGACTGATGCTTGGCATTTATTCATTTATGAATATCATGCCATCCTACGTTATGATAATACACATAAATGTGGCTTTTTTCCTCAGATTCTCCCTCTCCCTAGCATGGCATCCATCCCGTAGAATATAGTACACTTATTCGGCATTGGATGTCCCACCTCATTCTTAGGACGTCCTCCTTTGTCGGAATAAAAGGCTCAAATAAGGCGGTTTGCAGAATGTACTGGGAGAGTTTTGAGCGCTTCTTCGTCAGTGGATTATCCTTCCTCCTGCAATGTCTTAACGGTGCTGCCTATTCGGTATCTCGCCGTACGCTCACTTGGCATCTCGGCTTACGTACTACCGCTGTAGCCGATATTTCTCCTAGCGTAGCGTTTTCGAAAGAGTACACTGGTGCGAGTGGCCATTTAATCGCCTAATCTCGGCCTACGCTATATAGCCAATACTCGATCTCCTAACCGTATTATTTGATTTGCCTTCGAAAGTACACTTGAATCGGATGCATTTTTAATGCTGCGACCTTCACCTATTCCGATCATATTGGTGCTTTCTCGGGGACGCTAATTCCTGCATTCACCTTGCTGCATTTACACTTGGGTGGGATTGAAGTCCCCCTTTCTGCCTGATGTTTTCAAATGTCAAATCGAGTACAAATGCTTCAGCAGTCCCACTTTACTGTCTGGTTACTCTTGTCCTTTATTGGAGGTTATTAATTTTATGGCTTGCGTTTTTGGTGCGCCGCCTCTGTCTGATACAAGGCTACTGACGCTCAAATGGTCCACTTACTTTTAATTGCACCTTTTCAACGTCCACTTAGGTTCTACTTTCTAAAGATCACTTCATTCATTTGACCTCAGTCCTATTGACACCTACTACTATCTTCCTCATTAATGATAGCAAGGTTTTTATTTCAGCCCCATGCTGTTTATGCCAAGGACGTTCTCGATATTGAGCAATTTTCTACGGTCAAAGGTGTGAAGCTTGAGGCAGAGGACGTTAACTTCTATCGGAAGTTCTGCTCCGGTGCCGTCTCCATACCCTGGCAACAGGAGGTAGGTCTGAGTTCTCTCGTGCAGACGTCTGTTTGGCATGAGTGCCGTTGCTGTTAAAAGATCTGGGTCATGAAGTCAGTCGAGATTATCATTTGCCATTTGTCTCGGATTGGCAAACAGTCATGGGAACCAAAGATCGTTGTCTAGCACTTTTCTAGTTGCTTGCCTTTGCCTAAGGCAATTAATGCTGCCAAAAAGCTTCACTATCATTTTCAGCATACTCCACAAAAACCGTTTCAAAAAATCTTTTTGAATGTCAATTAAAAGACTATGAGATTACCCACGATGGGGGAGAAACTGATCTCGTCGTTAGCATACGAATTCCCAATTTGTGATAATTCTTCCTGCCTCAACCATCTAGAGCTGCTTTTCTCACTTCAGATGATAGAGACAGAGTGCTTCGATGATCTTAACATCTTCTACAACCTTGACGGAAGTCTGGTGGCCAATCTAAACGAACAAATGCCTCCACCGGATGAAAACTCGACCCGTTCCTCGTGCTGCTTCCACTTCTGCACCAGCAACAGCGGTGGTAGGAGTGGGGAGCGCAAGTTGCCAACGCATAGTCGGCCGAGTCGTCGTAGCACCGTAAACCGCAGTAATCCTACCGAGGACTCCCTCACTGACTCCACACCCCTCCCCTCCACTACCGCAGTGGTGGTCGCGGACCCCCTTGAGGGCGTCGGACCGCCACTTGACGAGGCCAGCCTCTCCCACGACGACTCCGGCGACGCTCTTCTCAGTCTTGCTGTTCAGCGAACCAAAGCCCTTACCTCTCATCTTGAGGCACCCGATTCGCCTCTCGGGCAAAGTGTGACCCCTTCCTCCTGAGCCAAGAACTGCCTATTCGTCTGGGCGCACCACACTTAGCCCCGCCCAAGCGAATCGGATTGCCCATTCCTCCCTCGCGTATTTTCGGTGTACATGTGTATACCGAATCACCAGACTACTTTGCTCCCCCCTCCCCTCCCTCCTATCTCTCCTCACGGCCTCTGGATCACCCCTCACCGTGAGAGGGTGATCGGAAGACTGGCGCCCAAAGAACAGACCTGTAAAATAGACCCACTGCATTTAATGGCGTTCTGAATGTGTACAGCTTCCTTCCCCGCTGATCTCGCCCCGGCAATTTGTATAAATCTCTATGCATTTGTTTCCTCCATGTTCGCTTGTGCGCGTGTGTGCGTTTGTGTCGTGTACTTTCATTTGACCTGCTGGCAAGCGCTACTTCGACATTCACACACACCCTCTCTCCTTCCTTCATGAAATCAACCCAACCTCCTTGCACAAATGTTGTTACCCTCACCGACACGCATAAGCTGCTCTTATTCTACCAGAGTGACCTTCGAGGAGGTTTAATCATATAGCCTCGTGTCCTAATAAATGACAGTAATAAATGTGCTGTTATATCTTGAGACTGTGGGGTCTTCGCTGAAGCAGCTGGCATTCATTCACTGGACGTAGGCACTCAATTATCCTCTATTTCAATTTCATATGACAGGACATCCTGACCTCGATGCGATCCTCCCTGGTATTACTCAAAACTGGTATTGAAGACTCTCATGGAGGTCATCCACGCTTTCCACGATTTGTGAAGATGACACCTGTGATTTCTTTAATGAACACTTCCGAGTTATTGATATGCCGACATGACATGGTAGTGTTCGTCGATATGAGTTTGGAAGGCGGGAAGGTACCACTTAAGACCATGTGAAACTCACTCGTTTGCCTAAATCTGGGCCAAGAACAGCCCAGTAAGCATTTTGCTTAAACTGTTCTCCTTTTTAAGCAATTATGAGTGGATTTGTCCTTTGTCCTCTTTTGTCCAAGAGCCTACTTCATCTAAGCGTCGTGACAAGAGACTTGGAGTGGGATTTTCACCACTGACCTTTGAGAGCAAATTATTAAGTGATGCTTCCCACTCTTCAAAATCCGCCATGTAGTACGTGAGGAGTACACACGCATTTTGTGTTTTGTGACGGCTACCCCTCCTCCTAGTCTAATCCACCGGCCATCACCAATACCGCATTGTAGTTGCCCAGGCTCCAACTCGGGTATTTTTTGGCTCGAGTATTCCTATACTAAGAAAGCACATCCGAATGGGCTTCAAGTTTCGCATCATCTATCAGTTCTGCCATTTGGGTCAACTTCATACCGGGACCCTGCCCACAATTTTCCAACAGATCGAGTGGAAGGGGGGGATTCCCTATAACCAGAGGCTACCTTTAAGGTCATGCCCAGGGCACTTTTATGCAGCCAGCCCGGTGGACTGACGACGTACAATCCGTAAATTGCTTGTTGAACTTACGATGCGAGTATTACTGCCTCCATCCCACCGACTGCAAGATCATAACAATTTTTTTCTAACTTGACTTCACTTGCCCGAGGGAATACCGCGTGGTGTTGTTACAACAAGCTTCCTGAGTTTGCATTTGGGGTGGTAGGGCTGATGGACTCCGCCCATAATTAATTTCATTCACCAAAGTCTTGTCATTCACCCCACCCTCCACCCCAGAAGCTTCTACGGCAGCACAACCCTGCCCATGGTTTTCGACTTGCCTGAATGCGGAAAAATAACGAGAGAGCTATTTTTGGCGAATATCTATAAGCAGCATTAGCATGTAGTTTTTGGAAACATTTACGCCTGCTTTTTTTCACCACAGCTTGAATTAGGTCTCCTGGTGGGGAATAAATGAATGCTGGGCCTATTTGTGGTATAACTTTGTCTCAATGCATCTCACAGCAGTCAAGAGGAGCTGTTTGTACCACGTGATCGTAATACCATGTTTGGGTTGTTTTAGATTGCTAACTCTTTCACTATTCAACAGATGCCACTAGTTTACTTCCAATCACAAACGTAGCACCAAGAGTGAATAAAAACTGCTAAATTATGTGCATCAATTGAAGGAAGAAACAAAAAGCATGAAGCGGAGGCACCGTGGGACCGAGCATATATTTGGGCTGCTTCGTTTGAGAAAAGAAATGCAAATTCCGTGAAGGTAGTATGCCGGTAATTCAAAATAGGGAAGGGTTTTTGCTTTGTGTAGAACCACTGGACGCACAGTCTGCATCGTTCCGCGAGGAGAACCCCCACAATGTTGGGATAGGGTGGGAGGGGATAGAGGTACGTGTCGATGCTTCCCTGCTCCCCTCCCTTCCAACCCGTACATCAACTTGCTTTAGAGTGAAATTTATTTCAGGATACTTCGGTTCTTTCCCCTTGTTGACACTGCGTCGGCCATCATGCGTGTCCATAGATAGATGCAGGAACACTGGCCTAAAAGCAGATTTGAATAAGGGAATACAAGATTTAAAACAGGTCCATGGGGGACAGTAGGGGGAATCCGTAACGAAACTTCCAGATGGTCCACGGCTAATGTCGCTTCAGTTGTTAATAGCTTTTCTGCAGAACACGGGACTGGGAGAGATGCCGAAGGTAGACGTCAACATCAACCCTTCTGTTAGAAATCATCACCATTCTCCCATCCGTAGCATATGTACTTCTTCCGCCCCACTAAGACTTATCACGCAGAAGTGGAAAATCAGGATACATGTCTTTCAAGATCGGGTTCGCTTTCCGCTGCCGACAATGTAGCGTCCCGGGACTCCCTGAAGACGAAAGAAGACACAATACTCGGGCAGAATATATATATTCAGCACGGAGAAGGTGTCTGGGCTATTGGCATGGCCCAAAAGGCCAGCCCACCCAGCGAGGTACAAGGGGGCTAATTCGAAGTACAAAAGTGGCGCCTCACCAGAACCGAGGGATAAATCACTATCGTATTACAATAGTTTGAAACTTATATAACTCACAAAAAGCACTGTAAAACTTTGATTGCTCAACTCTCGATTTTGGCGGAGGGACCGCTTCGGATGTCCAGCATTAAACCTGCGTCGGGAGGCCTGGTTACTGGACAATGCCTGTAGCTCAAGCTTTACTATTTGTGCCGAATACATATATCCCACGGTGGTTTTGGGGAGCTACAGTGCATATTAGAAAGTATCTACTAATGTTGCTCGAAATACTTACGTGAATGTTAGAAAAGCGCTAACAGAAGGTTGTGGCCTCCCGAGTCTCCCCCGAGGTCGGAATGAGGCATATTGTACCAACATGGAGAAGGGCTAGAAGACTATCAGCAAGGACCCCGCACTATGCCACAGAGAGCGCTTCAAGACGGTTAAGTAGAATGCAAAATTACGACATCGGTGTCATGTAAATAAAATACTATTCCACACTTACGTATTCCCTGAATTTCATAACACATAGTGGGCAGTGGTCATTCACGGCAAAGTTTTTTAGGCAGATTTTTTTATGAAATACAATATTTTTGACCCATTTATTAAATGGACAATGAAGGCGCATTATTTTAATTGTCCCACTAATTGCGCTCTAATTGAGGTAAGCAATCTACCAATGAACTAGTCAAGTGTGGAATTTTGGACCCTTCTGATCACTCTCTGCGCGCCCTTAAGGCATGTTGCGCCCCCAGAAGCCACCCGATGGACTTGACCGAAGTCATCGATACTTTTGTTATGTTTGCGGCACACTTCTCCCCCACAAAATTTCGCCCGAGGACTCGCTTGTATGTACAAAATGCTTGACGCCCACTTATCTGTCGTGGTTTGTCGGCTTGAAGGTAGCTTTTGACTCGGAAAGTGCTACTGGCTGTGAAATTCCCAGTCTTCAATCCTCACCCTACTTTCAGAAGTTGCTCGTCAATGCCCAGAAAACCCTTAGGTCGGAGGAGGCTTTAAGAGGAGCTGGTAATTCTCTAGATGTGAATACTCTGGATGGTCCCTCTGTTAAGAGGGATTGTTATTATTGCGGTAACAATCGAATGACTTATGTTACCATGCAGACTCGTTCTGCGGACGAAGGCCAAACCGTGATTTATACATGTACACTGTGCAAGAAGAAAGAAGTAGAAAACACTTAATTCACACATCTCTATTCAAAAGTCCAGCATTGGATCGAAGTGTGGACAAGTTAGATCGATTAAAGGTTGTCTAGGATTCCTTTTTGTGGAACAGATGTACACCTCTCCTGTTTGTTTTTACAACTGCTTGCACATCTAAATACATTTCGTATGTGTTACTTACTCCTACTCTGAAGGTATGCTTCCAAGCTGGTGATTTGGGAGTATATCAAGTTGTTCTGCACACCGGTAGTGTTTTTTTGTACAGATATGGGTGGCGGGAGTTTATTAAGTTTTCAAGAATCTAGAACCTATGTGGTTACTACCCGCCCCCGTTTAGTCGGCCTTCAAGTAGGTAGCGTTGACAATTTTTGTTAGTGATTTTGCGATGCAATTATTTATCTTCCTTTAAGCAGCGTTAGTTGTGAGCACTTCCCATTATATTTTTTGGGATTATTGAATCTTCTCGAGTTGGCCACAAGCCAAAAGCGCCCTTGCATCGCGGTGGCGGCCAATCAGATATCGCAACAATTGCATGCGTGGGTCACGTGGTAACCGTATTGACACGTTTACCAATCAGAAATCACCAACAAATAATTCACTTAGCAGGTCCTGCCGACGAGGCTCACTATGCATTAAATGTTGCAGCACTCTAGAAAGTATAATTCTTTATTTTTTCGGGGGTGCAGGTGCGCTCGTCTGACAAATATGCTGAAGAGTCTCAACCCAGTGACCGTGTTGAGTGGTCTCCAGTAGGTTATGGAAGTCACGGAAGAACATCTGCCCTCGGTCAAACCAGTTGAGGGGGACGCATTTATTGAGTTGATGACATGGCGGTTTAACTACTTATATCTGCCAAGTTAGTTCCTTACTGTAATTGGTACGTTGGAGGCCTTGGAGGCGAGTAAGTTTTACTTAGAGTTTGTTTCGCTCTGCCTTGCAATGCGTAGCATGAAAACTTGATAACATCGATGCTTTGGTTACCAGCACTATCCCAGATCCTTCACAGACAGCTAAGTGGCTTTCCCATGCTATTACAAGCAGTTTTCCAGTATTTAGGACGAAAGCTGGAAACTGAGCCGTGTGATTAGCCAATGGAAAGAACACGTTACTGCCTAGCTAATTATTCATAATCGAGGCTTAACCGGTTAAACGCATTACCAGCAGCATACTTTAATCTTGTGCTTTATGTTTCGGCCACTCGAAGTCCCGATCTTTGGTATGGCACTGGAAAGCGCAATTACTTACACCTAATGTAACTAACCCTTTATTTATTTGATCAGATATCCTTTCTCGTCGTCTTATCTGCTGGAGGACAAATTCTTTGGATCGATCCTTCCACTGGTAGACTTTTGCCTTGCGACAAATGTTCCTTCACCTCCTGACAAGCCAGTGGCGTACTATGTTTAGTGTCTTAGCGCAAGTCATGCTAGTATATAGTTGAAAAGGCAGAAAAAGAAGATGGAAGGACGAAAAATGAAAAAAGGAGCAGCAGCCGAATGCTGAATCCCTAGCGAGAGGCGTGGGCGGTGGTGCCACCAAGCGCGGTTGACTTAGTGGGCGGGTGCGTCAGTCGTACTCATCATTCCTGCAACAGTTATCTCCCGCCGGACTGCTCGTTTGTGTGATCACCTTTTCAGTCTTCGTTTCCTAGACGATATTTTATCAACTTTCGGGGGAAACCTAGTCTAGGGTTTGAGAGGTTCGGTTTATGATCAAACAAGACTGGGCTGAATGAAGCAGAAACTGAAGATCTAGGTTCTTAGTTGACCAATGAAGGCTTTTGTACAACTACAGCAGCCAGAGAAGCGTGAGCTGAAGCCGGAAGGCTTTGATAACCACATAAAATAATGCTTAAAATCTGGGAGCCCATTTATGTGGCATGTGAGGTTGGCGCTGAACAGGTACTTTGGTGGTGTAAACATAAACACTGAGACCGACCCGCTGCAGTGGAGGAGTACTACACCGCCCAGAGGGAATTGGAAGTGCACGTTGTTGGTAATCCTACAGCCCAACTCCGGAGACTGCGTTTCTTCCATCCTTCTTGAATGCGTGAGAAAGTAGAATTTGTATATTTTTTATTTCGTAAGTAGATATGATTCGTGGGAACAGGAGACACACAGATAAAAGATAAAGCATTGATTAGATCATGAAAGAATGACATAACAACACGATTGACGATGCGATTTGGATGATGACCAGAAAGGATTAAAGGTAGTAAAACTACTTTGCGCGAGGGAGTGTTACATCAGGACACACTTCTGCGAAAAACAAGGAAAGGGAAAAGGTAAGTTTTAGCATTTCCACATAGTTGGATAAAACCCTAAAAGCGACACTAGTTGGGAGAATCGCTCCTCATGGCAATTCACCGCACGTAGTGGGCGGGATTAAAAGATCTAGATTTTTTTTGGCATTAATTCGATGCAAACCTAAGACTGGAGAAAAGTGCACACCAAATTGAAAAGGAAAGAGGTGGGGTTGCTATTTCCTCCTTTGTGAATGCTGAACAGTGTGGTGTATTCAAGGGTACCCCCTAGTGCCATGAAGAAATCTTTTCTCCCTATCAGAAACCGGATATTTTTAGAGAGCAGAGGCACCAGCAACAGCTAAGGACACATGCGATCAAGGTGAGCTGCAAATACAAATTTAGTGGTAACCTCTTCTGGCGGTTGCGTCGACTGCGCTCGAGAATGGAATCGAGGATAGCGAACATACTCTCGTGTAATTTGACAATTGGCTTGTTCCTAAAATGGGGAAGAAAAAAGGTAGCCTGCACTGACGTCCAAGAAAGAAAAGTTGGACAATACCGCGCTACCACCTCCCAGAGATCTGTCAGTTACAGAGGTTGGCAGAGGCGCAATCAGATACCATCTGGTAGACTATTTGAGGAGAGCTTGTGGGAAACTAGAGGCCTAACCACAAAGCTCGGCTCTGGGCACTTCCATTTCTACTTTAGATGTACCAACCAGCTCAGCGTGCTATTGTCCAGTGCCAAGGCAATACGAAAATCCCCCTGCAGGTCGGAGAGACGTCAGGAGAGTACGAAGGATTAAGATGGTGCAGTACACATGCGAGTCATGTGATACAGACACGAAATTCTTTTAGATTAAGACGTTTTCATAAAACTAGATCTACACTTTTCCTCATTTCGCATGACCTGCTAATTGCAAAGCACTTAGGAGGGTGTTTTCCCACTTACCTCCTTGTCATTTCCAATCAGAGAAAAGCTTATGTTGGTGCCCATTTTAAAGGACTGATTCTTCATAACCAAATCTTTGGGAGGGTCATTAGCGGCGCCAGAATCACTGTTCCAAACCTATAGCAAAAGCAGACAAAATTCATTTTGTAAAAAATTGCAATTTTATCCGTATAGCAAGTTTCATGATTAAGTGGAAGACATGGTCACAAGTCGAAATGAGGCCTCTTCACTCCCAGTTAGCCTGATACATTGAATTTCAACATACAAAGAATTTTTAAAGAAGCGTTTTACCTGACAACTAGCCCCAGGTTGAAGAATGAGCGAACGGGGGAATTTGAAGGTGACTTCATAGCTGTCCGCCTTTTGCTTCAGCACCCAATTCCCTATGTTGGTTTCCTGTGCACATGGGGCGAAAAGTGGGCAATTAGCAACAGTGAGAGGAAGAAAGCAGGAGTAAAAAAAGAAAGTACGAGGTTTGACAACAAAATGCCCGAAGATAGAGAATGGAGGAGGATTGGTTCGTGGCACCCGCACTATTGCCCCACGAGGCCGTGTATACCGCTTAAGGTAGCCCGTAAATTTTGCTATAAAGAATATTTTACAATGATTTAGTTAAAAAGGCGAAAAGTAAACATTAATTCATCTCCTTCTGATCAAAAACATTGTGCAGTTTTGCAAATGCATCTGCATAATGTCCCTTGCCCACAAATCCTTCGTCGATGAGGGAATGAATTTCCCTCTCCCAGCAAATAGCACCACTACATGAGAAATCGCTGCCAGGAGAACAAACAGTGGACCCACAAAATGGATTATTCGATGAAAGCGTGCAACAAATATTAACGATATTAAAACGTGCCTCGTCAGAGGAGTTGATAATTTTCACGCATTTGCCCATTTCATTTTGGTCAGGGGCGAACTCGATGTTGCCGTTGGAGTTGGTGGCCACACGGTAGGTGACCCGCGGCACGGAGCCACCGAGGGAGCTTGTGCCGGTGGAGTGGATGCCCTCGTCTTCCTCCTCCCCCTCCTCCTCGTCGTAGTCCACGTTCACTGGACGTCTACGCTTCGCACCCGCAGCAAACGGGGTCTCACGCACACAACCCACCGGGATGTTGAGGCTAAAGTAGGCAAGAAATGCCCATCTAGTAGCTGGTACATAGACAATGACTGTATTGCTTGTTCAAGAGACAATTTAATATCATTTGAAGATGAAACAGCAATTAACATTGCATACACCGCTTTAGCATTCATGACACGCTAATCATTAATTACCGCCAATGACTCAGTCGTCGGTCTGCTTCGGTGGATTGTGGTTCGTAGATAGGTTTCTTCAAGATGGCAGTCCATTGGCATTGCCGACATTACTGATGTTTAGCCAGTCTCACATTTGCATTTAGCTGCTTGCTTCCACCTAAGCCATTGCAATTTTTCATTGCAAATTACCTTAACTACTGTCTCTTTCGATTTCGAAGCAATGAAAAGACCTCCTATTAATAGTGCAAATGGGCGCCCGTATATTTTGACACTAGGTTGAAAAATAATGGTCATCAAAAGGACATTTGAGGACAAAGTTTGCTCTACCTAAAAATATGCCAATTTCTTCTGTTGGAGAGGTGTGCCACCAACAATTAAACCACTTTCATTGTAGTAGATCTATTCAAAGCGCGGAACCACGGACTCATTGCCGATTACGTTTGTTGCTGTTTTCGGTTCATATTGGCATAGGCACTCCCCTGTAAGCTTTGCAACCTGTATGAGCTAGAACGAATAAGTTGCTCTGATCTCCTAAGTCATAGTTACCGCGATTGTGAGGGGACGCTAAGCCCAGTTCGTATTTATTTGCATCACCCATTGTCTGGTCCATGGCCAGCAGAAAAGTCTCTGTCCTAACTTAATATGCATGCATAACTATGGTTTCAGCCTTGAATGGAACCATTGCATTTTGCTACCTTGAAGGGGAGCAATTCACAGGCACGAACATCAAAGTGTCACTTCGAAGGTGACTGACTATCAGGTCTCGTAACGTCTGCAATTACCCACCATGAGTAAACACAAATGCCTCGTAAACACTCTGAGATTTCGGAGCTCTTAGGCGCTTATTTGTGAGATGTTGAGCACGCGTGAACAAGTAGACTGTTGGATACACACATTGCGCATACTTGAATGTTGAGTGACATGTGCATCTTTTGCATGCTTCATTGTGACGGTTTAAAAGGCCTATTCCCTTTCACTTCAGTTTCTTAGGATCATCGTATCAAAATGAGTATCTATGACGGGGTAAAATGTCATTTATTTACTTGATCTGATTACCAGAAATAGCAAAAAAATTATCATGTAGTTTTCTATTTTAAATTTCCGTTATTTTACGTTTAAAGTGCACTGGTTCGCAGTTTTTATTCTTGTCATATACTTCAATGTCAAAAGTAGTACCTCTCACTCTTTTCGAAATAATGAGGAACACATACCGCGTCTCTTCACCCTCGAGCATCTTGCGATACATGAGAATTTCCTGATCCAGCGCTACCTTGGTGTTCATGAGATCTGCGAACTCAGCGAAATGGATCTCCAGCTCCCGCTGGAGGCACGCCAGCTCCTCGCGTTGGAGAGCAAGGCGCTTTTCGTAGTCATCGCGCTCGTGCCGACGCATGCGCTCCACTTCATCCACCCGGCGCTTCAGCAGATCCACCTCGGCCACCTTCTTGGCCAATTCGTGCTCCAACTCGTCACTGCGCTTGCGCACCACCAGAAGCTCGTCGCGCAGACGGTCCGTCTCTTTTGAGGCGTCGCTGTTAGCTGCTCGCAGTTGATTTAGCTTAGTCTAGCCAAAAAAATTTAACGGAAGCCAGCTCAGAGTCCACCGGTTTGAACCACTTCGGTGTGGATTCCGATTACTCGATAGCAAAACCCATTTTTAGTTTCAAATACATTTGTAGTGAAAGACGTTGGAATTTACTCATAACTTTAGAAGAACTTACTGCGTAATCAACTATATGGCTTTATTACCAATTTACTTGTGTAATAGTTTCTAAACATAATTGCGTTCTGTTTGGATCGCTGTAGGTTGCAACTGACCTCAAACGTGTGTTCCATTTCAGTCTTATAAGCCATCAAATCCTCCGCAGTTTGATCCCGATAGGCCTGCAGTTGATCATACAACTTCGACTCATACTCCGCTGCCTTCCTATCCTCAATCTCACTCTCCACCGTGATAGTCCTCTCCACCGCCTTCGATCGCTCCTCCTCCAGCAGGCAATTCTTAAAGTTCAATTCCTCTTTTAGTCCTGCCACTTTATTCTCAAGATCATTCCTCAGCACCGTTTCCGCGTCAAGATCGCGCCGCAGAGCGGTGCAGCGCTTCTCTAGAGCATCGTAGTCGGGCTTGAGTGCCTCGTAACGGTCATGATCCTGCTTGTAGGCAGAAAGATCACGTTCGAGGCACTCTACACGACGCTGCAGCCCACGCACCTCCGTCTCCCGTTTGCTCAGTTTTGATTGGGTCGTTTTCGCATCATCCTTATGCTTCTCCGCCTCCACCTCCGCCGCCGCCTTCTGCTTGGCTAGGTCGTCCACAAGGCGGCGGAGGGAGGCGATCTCCGACTCGTAGGTATTTCGTGCATCGTCGTGCTTACTCTTGAAAGAAGACGTGTGAATTTTACGTTTTGTCCTTCATCAACCCATCTTTTATGGAACTGAAGTATGTTGACATTAACGCTAATGTTTTTTGAAGTTACTTCTACTTTATGCTAGCTAAATAAAATATTGAAAATTCCAATCACCAGAGAGCTTGTAGACGAAATACGTCGAATTCAAAAAAAGTAGATTCACAGTCACTAGGAATTTCGGAAATCGCAAAACGCATTTTTATTTTGGTTTGGAACAATGTAAAACTTTCTCAAGCAAATATTTTCACATTAAAAGTACCCGCCCCAGAATTTTCGGCCTGTTCAGTCTTGTAGTCATTCTAGCAGGATAGTCATTACACATACATCTCAAAAAGTGAGCAAAACGGGAATTAATACGGAAATAAATAAGTTATTGAGACTTGTATAGTAGAGACTTCAAATAGCATATTTTAGTAAACTAATGTCCTTAAATGATGTACATTTTTATTTGTAAATAAGTTTCGAGTTTAAATTGATGTCTGAAAAATGTATGATTGATTAGAAGTCTTACCAGACGTTCCTCTGAGTAGGTTTTAATTTTACGCTTGAGATTTTCCTTATCCATCTCCAATTTGCGGACATAGTCGATATACGAGGCAAGACGATCATTCAGTTCAGCCAACTCTTCCTTCTCCTCATTACGAGAAATGTTCAGTGGACTCACTGACCGTTGGCGTCGCCGATCCGTTGATGACGTAGAGGATGGAACGGTGACAGACGTTGTACGTCTAGTCGTGGTGGTAGTTGTCTCGGATGACTGCTGTCCCCTCTTTCCTCGAGCAGACATTGTTACTAAGATAAGACCAGAAATTAGCATGGAAACACCTTTGGGCCAATTAATAACTACTCTGTGTTTAATACAAAGAAAATCTTGATTTATATTTTGGAAACGTAATTAGGGATCTGCTAAAAATAGTAGGTCAATTTCTCGCAATGAGTAGACGTATCAAACATGGTTCAATAAAAAATGCAAAAGCGTTAAGTTTAAGGAACAAACCAGATAATACATGTACACGGATCCGCTACAGATAATATCAGATTTACTTAAAAATAAAACATAAGAATTGGAGTAATCTAGTCTGCACTAAGCTAACTTTACCAAACTAGCAAGAAACACTAAGATTGAAACCAATGTGACCCACGAATTTAGGTAATCGACTTGCGTAAACGCATTCAGGAGTCATATTTAACATTAACAGCATTTAACATTAAGTACGCAGAAAACAAGATTCCACTGTAAGAAAAGGGAAAACATAGAACGACTGGCACAAAATACGAATCAGTCAGCAAAAAGTACTTTAAACACACATTTTTTGCATCTTCTTAAAAACATGAACAAAAGTGATCAAGCGGAAGGTGTAGCTTGCGACATCTTGTTGACAAGAACTGGTTCCTAAATAGTATCAAAAAATCACAACACTTTAGTGTAATTTCGCATATATTAGGCCAAATTTGTAAAACAAAAACTAGAAGCGTAGAAAGTCTATATTTAATTAACGTATGTCATCGTCGTTAGTAAACGCCAAACCTCATTCAAACTAAGATTAGCTTCACAGGTCATTATCAAGAGCTCATGAGCACACTTAAACAATTTTCCTTTAATGCCGCTTTGTTCACTAGACGCTTACAGTGATCGAGGATAAATCTATAGCCGTTTCCTAGATTTTTGAGACAGCATTACGTTAACGTATATGAAATGCAATCGAATTACCTCCTAACAGACTGCGTTATGTAGATGATCTGTGCTTGCATGATTTGATCCTTTTTGTTTATGAATCACCTAAATACCAAAAAATCACCATACTTGATAAATTTGACCTTTTTATCAAAACTACAAACCTATTGATGATGATGCACTAGGAGGACCTGTTTCATGGGTCCGGCTTGCCCACGTCAAGATGATTCAGTCAACCGCCCAATAACGTGCACTCTTACATCGCAGACCCCCCCTTTTGCAAGGGGAATTCGCCCTTACCCCCGAACAGCCTGCTTAGTAGGACTTTGGCGACATCGAATGAGCACGACGAGGCCACCGCGGACCGCCATTCCAGCAATCCATCGCAGGAAACGCCACACCATATCTGGTCCCCCAAGCTGACCTAACGGGCCAGATGCAGCCTCAACCAGCCCCCCCGCCGATCGAAAGACAACAAATACGAAGACTCCCAGGGAGTGCATTCATATATAAACCGGATTAGAATGGATTAGGTAGGACAACCAGTTAACAAACACAGAGGACGGATAGCATGTAGGATGCTGCGAGGCTTAAACAAAGCTCTACTCCTACACTCATATTACTGCCATCAAAAGATTGAAAAATCAAAAAAATGCGTTGCAAGAACGCGTTGCATCAGTACAAATAAGCACGCGCTAAATGCAATGCCGAAAAAGAGACTAGTCGACGGTCCCAACACATTACATCAGAGAGCATTTCTACAAAAGGAAAAATAGCATTGGTGATGAGTGGCTATCAAGTGGTCATCTAAAGCACTAAACAAAGTAGAGCAATACTGGATTCAAAAGTACAAACAGAATTCCAATGAGCGGTTATCTCTAAGTGTATACGTAGGATATGCAGCTACCTCTTCCGATTTTGTGGCGCCAGCACGGAATCTCCTTGAACTTATCTTTGGCCGCGTGCACTCGCGAACAATCAAGCATGAGGCTTGCTCCTACAATAGGCAGATAAAGCCATTTGAATTTAACGAAGAACAAGCGGATGAACTAGGGGTAGGTAGCACACAAAACTAACCTTCTCGTCCTCACTGATAAGTGTTATGGTGATATTTGCTCCAGAGTGAAAAGTCTGATTCTTCATAACGACAGTTTCCGGTGGATTGTGAGTGGCATCCGAATCGCTACCCCAGATCTGCCAGAGATATCACCAAAATTACCTTCAGTTTAGGGAGTCACTTTGGAATATTCAAAACAGATGTACCGACGCACGCCACGCATCGAATATGCCTACTGCCACCTTGACGCAAAAAATCAAAGCAAATGCTGACACTCAGCAGTAACTACTACCTGCGCCAAAAAGAACGCATTAATTTACTCACAAGCAAAATTGGCAAGCATAGCTACGCCAACGAAATGTAGGAAGCATTAGCAACAAAACACAACACGAGTGAATGATAGATAAAGTGGAATGATCAGAACTCACAGTGCAGGTGCTTCCAGGCTTCATGTTAAAAGTGCGACCGAATTTGTAGGTCACCTCTTCGCCATCAGCTTGATGCTTCAAAACCCAGTTGCCAATGTTAATGTCCTATATACAGCACAAAAATATGTATGAGTGTGTGAAAACAAAAAAAAAACGTACTCAGTAGGGTATATAACGTGAAAAGCTTTCTTCCAAGTGGAGAGTTAACTAACAAGTAGAAATAAAAGCATTGTTCCCGGATAAAATATTGAATCCATAGATGATTAGATAGAAACGTGCATCGGTGTTGATCAGGGTTCCAGCGGAGATTAACAAATTCAAGAATGCTTCTTACGAAGTCCATAACCTAAAAGCTAGCAGTTCGGAAATATTGCCACATTAAGGGAGTAAAACTGGCTATCTAAAACGGCTGAGGACCTCGTCACTGACAAAAAACTCTAAAATACAGTTTGACATTCTGTATACGCACAAATGTGGCTATTCACGCGAGATCCAAGGTCTGTTAAAAAGGGAAAAACAGCTCCCCAAGATTATATCGTAAGATACTCACATCTTTTGCGACGTTAATCAACTTAATCCATCTTCCAGAGCCGTCTTGATCAGCCGTGAACTCTATGTCGCCGATGGCTGAGGTCGATACACGGAAAGCGAACTGAGACCCATACAAGCCCGAGTCGTCCTCCACCTCGTCGCCGGAATCAAGTCGACGCCTCTTGGTACCCATGTAGGCACCGCTGAACGGACTGGCGCGTTTCGGTGAAGTGAGATTTAAACTAGGGGTGGAAGCGGGATACATAAGCTGGATATTTCAGAGCATAATCACTCCTAATTACCATTCGCTAGCTGTGATCAAAAGGGAAACATAATCACGCTCATTTTAGCCATGGCTCAAAAACTCAAAAGGCGTACTTCTTTGTCAGTACAGTTTTTAATGCATGCTTTAACTATTCAACTACGAAAGCCTAGATAAGGAATTCACTCAGCGATCATCGCAACGAGAATCCTCATTAGTTACATACGTTTACCATGCACCATTTATTTAATTTCGTCTTCGCTACACAAGGGCAAACATCGATAAAGTGTGGGGAGCCTGTCTTTCTGTGGTGTACAAAAACGAAGCGTTATCGCGTTGGGAAGCGGTAACAGGCCCAAAAACCACTTAAATAAAACATCCTGTACAAAGCACGGTCACCACCGTATGCTCAAGTAGGATGGAGGTAGAAGCTAGATTTACACGGCTAACACGCACGTTAAGTACCGTCATCAATCCCGTTGGCAATATAGGCAGCGCGTCCTGTCAGCACACGTTCAAAAAACAGAAGCCGCATGGGATGCTTACGCACGTCCACGTGTGCATCTATGGCGGGGGGAGGGTGTGACAGCATGAGTCACCCAACGGTCTTGTGCACAAACCCCACATACCCCCGCCACAAAACGCAGCAACCCAGCTCTCGAGTAAGCCCGAAAGCGCACACACAAGGTCCTCCCACGGTATGCTACTGTAACCGCGCCGTTCCAAAGTGCACAGGACGCAGCAATAAGCAATACACCCATCGATACCCAAACAAACAACTCAAATAATTAGGGATTAACATGCGTCTGGAAATGTAATGGAGACTGAGTAGGCATGACAACGACTTTACTACAGTCAGTTAAACAAGGACAGATCTTAGATATATGAACATCAATGCTATAAGCAGTTCAACAGATAACCGAAAAAGCTCCAACAAGCTGATTTCAGTTATATTTTGCTAGTCCACGAAGCAAAGCAAATAATGTACACAAAATCCACCTGTGCGGCGATTTATAGGTTTACCTATAAAGTAGTCACGAAAACAAGAAAACTCACCGCGACTCCTCACCCTCAAGCATCTTCCGGTACATGAGAATCTCCTGATCCAAGGCAACTTTCGTGTTCATGAGATCAGTGAACTCGGCGAATCGTTGTTCAAGCTCAGTCTTGAGCCGCTTAATTTCATCCCGCTCGGCTGCAAGCTGAGCCTGGTAGTCGTCATGGGCCTTGTTAAGCAGGTTCTCAAGGTCATGCACGCGGTTCTGCAGAAGGTCTACCTCGCGCGTCTTTTTGGCCAACTCATGGCAGAGGTCGTCACAACGTCGACGCATAACCAGCAACTCATCATTCAGCCTGCCACTGTCTTTGTTAGCTTCTACATTGGCCTGCTGTAGTTGCTCCAATTTCGTCTTCATAAAACGTTAAAGAAACGGTTACTTAATTTATCACGCAACGCAACGAATCACGAAGGCCTAGCAACAACCTCAAAATCGCATCAGTAATATTCACCTGAAACGTAGTTTCCATTTGAATACGATACTGCTGTAGCTCATCATTAGTCTGCTGTCGGTAAGCCTGGAGTTCATCAGCCAGGCGCGATTCGAACTCAGCAGCCTTTCTATCTTCAACCTCCTCCTCAACAGTAAGAGTGCGCATGACAAGCTTTGATCGTTCCTCCTGGAAGAGACGGTCCTTGAAGTCCAGTTCCTCCCGCAAACTAGCAACCTTGTTTTCAAGGTCTGTGCGCAAAACCGTTTCGGCTTCAAGACCTTTGCGTGTAGCCTCCAACTTCTTTTCCATTTCATCATATTCAGGACAAAGCCGTTGATAGCGCTCATGATTCTGTTTATACACAGCAACATCACGTTCGAGTGCGTCAAATTTGAGCTGAAGACAACGAACTTCAGCGTCGCGTTTGCAAAGCTTGGCCTTTGCTTCATTCATGTCATCAATGTGCTTTTTAAGTTCTACATCCTTAGCAGCCTTTTCCTTGGCCAAATCATCGACAAGGCGACGCAATGAGGTGATCTCTTTCTCGTAGGTTTTTCTAGCCTCATCGATCTGAGAGAGACGTTCCTCAGAGATGGTTGATATACGGCGTGTTAGACACTCCTTGTCGCGTTCTAACTTGCGCACATAGTCAATGTATGAGGCGAGGCGGTCATTCAGGTGGGCCAATTCCTCTTTTTCATCGACTCGGCTGATATTAAGGGGGCTAGGTGACCTGTACTCGGTACTTTCAGAAGCAGAAGTCCCAGTGGACGAAGTGGCGCGGGAATGATCCGCCTTCTTCGGTGTGGCGACTTTTTCAGATGTGGGCAGCATTTGCTTAGATTTCTTCGGACGTGCTGACATGCTCCTACAGCACCAAGGGTTTTTCAAACGATAACACTAAAATACTGCTACGTGCGCATAAAAACACAGAAAAAGAATGCTACAGAAACCTAATTAAGAAGGAAAACTGTTCTTGAAAGTGTTCCAGTGATGGCTACAGAGTCGGTGAGGTGAGTAGACGAAAAACAGCAAACCCATATGAATGACAAAAAATACTGAGTCCAGAAAGTGCATCCAAGAAACCAACTGAGGTACTACCGGTTGAACACAAAGATTAAAGACTCGTATGATATTGTACAAAAAATCATGCAAACCCCACCATGCACTTGAAGGCAAACATCACTCTTACAGTATTTTGTAACAAAAACATGATAGGTTCGATAGAAAAAGAACAAACATTGAAAAATCACACAAAGCACGCCACTGCACATACAACAAACCCGACCCGCAATTCAAACTATCAAAGTTGTTTAAGTCGATGCAGTACAAATCAATAATAATGTGCATTAGCCAGTGTATTGCTAGTAATTTAAAATAGTGTCTGAAAGCACACCTTAAAAACTGTAGGGAAAAGATGTTATGAACGATACGTGTGCCCTTTTTTAAAAGTAGGTTGCCATGACTGTGCATTGTTTCACAGGCTAAACTCATTATAGTCGGACAAAAGCTGGATGCGGGACAATTCGAAATAAGTGATTATGTAAAGAATTGTAAGGCAGCACACAATAAGATTTTGACGATTCTTGATTTCCTGAATATTAGGAGCTAAAAGAAACTTTTTTCCAAAAAGCCTGAATACACCACATTTAAACCCGAAAACCCGACCTCTTGTTTACGATTTTTTAAGAGGTGTTCTATCTGTTAAACATTCACTTTAGGTATAGCAGAAACGAAAAAAATTTCGATAAGCAACCCTGCACGGAGCCTTTTGAGCATTATTTTATTCGGATCAACAGTCATTAAGCTTTTGATGAATATTGGAAATTTGTAATAACCTCCCAAATTGATCGTGAGTTCAGTATTGTTTATCTGGGCTATAAAGTATGTTGATATAGTAGTCGATGGATAGCACTTATAGATACGCCTTTCGGTCGTGCGTTGATGCGTGGTAGTTCGCATGATGAATTTTATTTACAGTTGGCAAAATGGCTGGAAAACGAAAAGACCCGTTCAGCTAAGTGCCATTATATGCTCAACAGAACTCTTTATCATTTCTGGGAATCAATGGGAATGAATAATTTGCTCGTCGGTGATTTAACAAATTTAGGGGATCCAGGTTCCAGACAGTTGAGATCCGCTGGTATTCTACGTAGTTCGTCCCACAGAAATGATGACAGGCAAAACGAGACCTACTACTCTGACTGTAAGTAGTCGAAAACCTTACATTAACTTAGTCGTTCCTCGGCATGCTCTGTTGCAGCAGTTTTTTTTGACTTGTTTCCTAGGTAGCATAGTTTCAGCTTGGCGTAATGTTCTGTTATCAAAACCACCAATCATTAGGACCGTATTCTCGTCTCAATTGTGTATTTATCAGGTCAGTCTGTTTAACCGCGTGCAGTGGTTGGGGGGGGGAGAAGCCTTAAACGCAGTCACTTTTCTATTAAAATTTAGAGTGCATAAACCAAAGTGCCAAGTAGCTCAGAGGACGCATTGCTCTGCTCCCACGCTTTTACAGTTGAAACCCCATTTCAATTTAACAGATGCACGCTTCCGACTTCCATCTCTCAAATCTCGTTTTATGGCGGAGATGATCGACACTTTCATCGTCTTCATCCTCAAATTTTACTTTGTTTTCCTCTTGGGAAAACCTGGTGATTTCCAGTAAGACCACTTGCCTTTATTTATTCAGCAAATAGCAAATTCGTCAATTCCCTCCCACGGGAAATCCTAAACTTTATACCCGGTTATCGTATCTTGATGACATTTTGCTCGATGACACAAATCTACCTCGACGTTTTGCAAAGTGATGGAGTCTTCGACTTGAAACGGTTCCATGAAGAAGTTATGTTTGCCAGCCGGAACGATCCGTCGGCGCTATCAGACGCCATCAGTCTCGTGCTCTACCTGATATTTGAGGTACCTTAAACAGTACGACGCCTACTTCTATCAACTTAGGTCTACTTTGTGAGTAAGTCAGTATTCGACTTCGAGCCTGGAGGCTGTTCCTTGGGAAAGTACCTGCTGGGTCTCCGGGTACTCTCATGTAATCATCGCATTAATCTGCCGGATGCGGTCGACATAGTACCCGCTGGCAATCCTGGACTCTGCAGGTATGATTCCCTTATTCACAAAGGAAGGGAGAGATTGACATCGCACGGCAGTAGAAACATCATTTTAGAAGCGCGGAATCACGTAGCATCCAACTATTTTACCTTCACATAGATCCATCGTTAGGGCCGTTTTGAAAAACTCCGGCATATCGATATGGTCCTCTCTACTGCAAATAGCCCTCACCGGGGATCCTGTTTTCAGCTACGATCTTCTGGCAGGAACCATCGTCGTCCGGTTCCCCGAAATGGCCCAGTCAGAGTAAGGAAAATATGTACACCCGCTTTTTCCATGTGCGATAGGTACTTAATCGTGCAGAAAGAGAGACAAAGAAGAGAACCCTCTTTTCGTACATACTCGTGTGAAAAACAGAAATAAAAGGATATGCACAGAGGCTACGCAATTGGGAACGGGAGGGAGTAGGGGAGGAATGGTTGCGATGTTAGCAACAGTAATAATCAGAGAAATCAAAAGACTGGAATTTCGCTTCTGGGGGTATTGATTAGATCATCGTCAAGAGTCATGATGGACTGCAAACAAGGCGGATGAGAATTATTGAAGGCCAATTGCTCAATCATACTGAATTCGGTTAGGGCCAACTTACCATGAAGGAGAAGAACATAGAGGTGGAGGAAAGGAAATGCCAGACGTCATGAACATCGTAAAAGCCGAGGAAGATGCATGGCTGGTTCAAAGCGCGTGACTGAGCTGGAGTGACCTGCGTGTATGAACAAATGCGAGAGTTTATCATGGCGAATTCTTGGCAAGTTACACCAACCCACTTCACCGTGATAGATGATATGCTAAGCGATTGAACAATTTGCGGGCGGTGCTATTCACGATACCCTTCTTACCTCCCAAGTGGTCGAGTGTTGAATGAAAAAGTAGATAGCAGAGCCCCATGTAATACACGCAAGGAGGATGTATAACACAGGAATGCAGTGAAATCGTTCCCGAAAGCGGCACTAAAAGGTAAAAAGTATGCTCATTAGATGGGTGTCTCGATGCACACGGTAAAAAAAACTGAGTGGTGATGCAATCCTGTGACTAGGCTAAAAGTTGCAAACTCAAAAAGCGTTGCGAATGACTGCGTCATCACTGCACCGGTTGTTTGCATACCTTCATGATCACGTAGAAGAAGTAGTACATCAGTAGGTTGATCATGAAGATGGAGAGAAGGAAGGAGGAAAAGTCTCGGGGTCGAGTGAACAGGCCGAACGCAGCTCTGAAAGATTGGTGTTCTGGGGTAATGCATGTCACATTTCTTTTATTTGGGCAACTCCGATTGTTGAAATAAAACAGCAACGCGCATAAATAAAGGTACAATACAGGCGAAATACTAGTAAATCCTAAACAAGTTGACCTCAAGCTACGTATCACCCCTTAATCTCAAGACAGCTAGTCTAGGCGAAAATCATATAGCTACTTAGGTGGGAGAAAAGAGGCCCACCAAAACCCTCTCGATTTCCGCACCAACGTCCTCCAATGTTAGTGGAAGACGCCTTTTCGCAGATGAGTAAAGACAAACGCGGTAGTGCCTTACATTCCAATGTTGACGCAGTTGGCAACCAGAAGGAGAAGCATACGTTCCATGTACATTGGCGTAAGGCAGTGAATTCCGTCAGAACGCATCAAATTGTAGAGGCGTCTCGGAAGACATATATCTGTGTGTTAGGCAAACCCAAAAAGAAACCGATGAACTAGGGCAAAGTCTCAGACTGAAACACAAATGTACACATCGCTTTCTAACGCCTTAACGGCTTTGTGAGCCTTTGAAGTTTACCTTATCTACACATGCTAGCGGTGCATAAATAAGTTGAAGATGGGAGGCTTTAAAAACAGAAGATGCAGTGGTAGCTACGAAAGCAGATGACAGGAGAATGTCAGGTTACCAAAATTCCACTGTCCCATGTAGTAAATCTCGGCAGTCAGCCAAACGCTCATGGTCAGGAAGACGATTGTGAAGAGCACCCAAAAGGTCTCCCCGCCGTAGAGCTAGGAATAAGAAGTCTGATTAGCAGGTGGGTATTGCAATCGCATTGGTCAAATATGAAGCAGAAAACATGGTGGGCAATTGCAAGTTTACCAATGATGTTTCCTTTGGCTTGGCAAGGAGAAAATTATTCGTGGAATGTAAAGTTTACATCCAAAACCTTATCAAGAGCACAAACTAGTGCAAAGTCAGGTTCAGTTTTTCACACAGAGGAGGATGCCACACTTTCCGTCTGTTGAGGAGCGCTACCAAGACCTTGTCAAGTTGATTGATTGTCACTTCGTTCTTGGGAATGTAAGCAACCCGGCTAGCATACCCGTGAATCTGCATTTCTTTGTTATGATGTCGTTTACAGCCCAACGCAATGCTCATCCAAATCGGGGTTAATTGGGCCAAATGAGATTTTAGTATAGCTCCTGCTACGTTTCCATGGGCTAAAAGAAGGGGTTTCTAGCGCGCCTCATTAACACCCTGCCAAATGGCTTGTGCCATTAGGGCGCTCTCACACGTGGGGAGAGGCATCAAACACATCAGCTAGTAGAGGTTAAAGGGGAAAAGTGGCCAAATTTCACGCACCACGCCGGTGACACCAGCCAAAATGACCACAGCCATCACCATGTAGGCCGAGTGGGCCGAGGCGTTGATGTCCGGGTGTCTTGTTTGGTAAATCTTCAGCATCAGAATCAGAGCCAATATGTACATATACGCAGTATCTAAAATTCGAAACAATGAAGAGGAAATAACATGGCTATCATGACTACAAGTTCGAATTGAATACTATCTTTTCACACCTTTTTGATAAGCCTTAAGTGTGTCTCCATCGGAAAAATTTGTAAGGCCATGGAAAAGTCATGGATCATTCGTGCTTTGCAACATAAACAATCTGGTTTAAAAAATTGACGGAGAAATTATGCATCGAGGGTTTTCATTCCAAAAAGCGGCTTTGACCTTAGCCACATGGAAGACTTAATTTGGGGCAAAGGTAAATCGTGTTTCATTTGAAACTACTGCAGCTGAAGTGACAGCAAAGTTGGCGATAGTTATCACCACAAATGGTAAGCCGTTCGAAGGAAATCGACGGGTTGAAAAGGGACTTCGGAAATCTGACTTGGTTTTGCCTCACGGAATTACCCTCAAAGCTTGCCATCCCCTGCAATCGTGGTGTGAAGGTGAACTGTTGTTGTTATATGTGGCAACAAATAGATTTCTCGTGACATTCGAACCACGATTTGGAAGGCACAAGTTGTCAAAACTCAGTCAAAAGCTGATCACTCACTAGGGACAGAATAGCCCACCCTCGGGACTACTTATGGCAAACTAATGAAGGATGGGCAGAAGATTGCATAAAAATTAGGTGTATATGCCTCGACTGAGTGTACAATTTCTCGTCCGAGAAAGAAAGTGGTAAAACAAGCAAGCGCACAACATCCAATAGTTCTAACTGGAGAAACATCGACAAGACGTTTTAAACTAGGAGTTGCTATCCGCTACCATCGAATGCCATAGCGGTTTAAATAATAAATGCATTTGAAGGTAATAAATTCAATTTGTGTTCCACGAAAACTACGGAGGTAAACAAAAAATAGTAGGTCAGTGCTTTGAGTACTTCAAATGACAATAAATTGCAGCCCAGGTCAAATGAATTGGGCGTGAATTTAGGGTCTGGTCTACTTTGTGGTACAGATCACAAAATTGCATGCAAACTTTTTAAAATTCTGACCCCACACCTATGTAAACTACACTTTGGCCAATTTTCTGCAAAACCGGTTAGCCGATTCTGATGGAAAGGAGTTTGGGTAAGCAGTAATTAGCCTAAGAAGCTGATTCGAAAGGGACAAGATACATGAAGAACGTATTCAAGCCACAGGTACTTTCTTCAGCCCACTTCAGAAATACGTCGGGAAAGTTGAGGAATAAAAATTTCCAGACCAATCAGCCCTTCATTCCACAGAAAATGGCTTATGTATGTTACCTTTACAACAAAGCTTGAGCTCTCCTGTTCCGTGCATGGCAATATAGCACCTGAAGTGGATCGACATTAGGGGAATTTTTTGCTCCAGTGTCAATCTAGCAATAATAAAGGAATCCCCAGTCCTTATCATGCAAAGTGACCTCAAGTCATCACACACCAGGTCATACTAGGGGAATGAACTCTGGAGCGAAAAGTACGTCTATTTTGCGGGGTGTCCACGGGTGCTTCCATACGCCTTTATGCGAAAGGTAGAAGATTGAATGCTCAATTACTTTGACGATATTAATCCTGGTGGTAGCACAATCAAATGATCATCAGACTAGACTAGTAACTATAGTGTAATGATTTGAGAGACACTTTCCAGAGGACTCGTGATCACCACTGTGCAAGTTATTCCACCAAGAAAAATTCACGGTTCTGGTTTGATGCAAATCGGACATTGTTGACCCAGTGTGGTATGGAGGAGTCACGACAGTACGATAAGATGACGAAATCGTAACTCGATGTAGTGACAGATATTAATTTAAATTAATCAACTCACCAAATTGGAAGTTGGAGAAACTTGGGCATATATGGTAGCAGGCACTGAGCAGCCCCTCCATGGTCAAAGCCAACCCCATAGCATAGAAGAGACCATAGTGCTGTGGTATTCCGTAGGCCTAAAAAAATCCAACTTTTGTCTACACTCAAGTTTTAACAGCACCAATGCAGAACAAGAATTGTGTGAAGAGTATGTATGATCACGATGACGACAGCAAGCAGCAATACCATTTCTCTCTCCCCCCCGGTATCATCCTCATCATTGCTCTGATGGTCTTTCAGTGCTGCAATGCTGTCTTCATTGGGTGGATGACTGTCAGACGTTTCGGATGTGGAGCCATGGCAACAGGTCAGACGAAGACGAGAGCAGAGACGACGGCTGCTGCAACGAGTGACGGTGATCATGGGAGCGGTGAAGGAGGCGACGGAGGGGACTGGGGAGGAAGCGCCCCCCTGCCTCTCATCCGGAACCCCAGCGATGCAGTTTGCGGTGGCAGTATTGCTGGTGCCATTGCTACGTCTTGGGTGGGGGCACAGCCACCGGCAAAACTGCTAGAAGTACCGATTTCGAAAAGGGTGTCTGTGTATATCAAATTGGCTACACTATGAAGACGCGGCAAGCTGACTGACAGAGGCACATTGAACATGCGTGCGACAAAAGTAGCGGTGGTGAGAATAAAACACTAAATTTCCAACGAACTTGCAACGACGAATTAAAATTCGACAGGTGATTTTCAGAAGCAATAATAAGGACAATCGTCAAGAACGAAAATGAGCATTACTGAAATAACTACGGACATCAGGAGATCGCAAACCAAGTGATGCGTAAAATTCTCGTAGACAACGGTTTGATGCAAGCAGAACCAATACGAAGAATAAGCTGCGCAAGGATCCCATTCATCGTATAAAAACCAAATCGACTACAAAGATTTTATGAGAATCAGAGCAATGAAATCATCCTAAGGTGGAATTGATGAAAGTGCAAAACACGGGCGGGACGCAACAATAAGCAGCGACAAAGAAAGCAGTCAGCACGAAGCCGAAAACCCATATATGCGTGTCTTTTTTACCGCAATTGCGCAGAGATCCTGAATAGGATGAAAATCCGGTGAAAATGACAGGTGGAATAAAGAAAGTGAGGAAAAGATGGAGATTGACGCCATTGGGAAACTCACTCGAGTACAACGAACCCTGAATTTCTTGGTGCGACGGTGCATGAGATCCCTACAAGGGAAGTGGAAAAAATGGGGTCCAAAGGAGCTTTCATTTCGACTGCCATTAAAGAAGACGGTTGTGCTTATCTTGGCGCCAATGCACAAGTCGATAACGCATGAGCAAATAAAAACCATTGCTGTGCATAAAAATAAAATATATTTAAGGAAACTGAAAGCATATCTGTGCTATTCTGTGCGCCACTGAAAACAATATTGCATAAAGCGATTTAGTCAACAAAGCCTATTACCACTACGGCGCCAACAGGTATTTCAGTTTCACCGAAGGTACCGTCAATAGTTTGCTTGCAAATGAAACGGCTATGAGAGGAGTGATGACAACCCAAAATAAACAATGAACTGCAAAACGGTTCCGGAATGACTCCAAGGCGGGTGCTTTCCAACTGAACTGCAAGTACATACGTAAACTCGACTTACCGACGAGCGGTGAGCCCGAGAAAGAGCAGACCAAGCATCACGTAGCCAATGTTGGAGATAATGTTGTTGAAAGCCGTGAACACGCCAAGAGGATGAGCACACTCAAAATTGTAATAGCAAATATCCTCATTGCCGGTGTCATGCAAAGCCTGCAACGTACGGAAATGAAAAAGAATAGGAGGTCCTGCGTTTAATAAAGAGCCCCGATGCGTTAAAAAGGGCGGAAATGTGGTCATACGGAGGGATAAACGTGATGCAGGAATCACAAGGGGTACAGTGATGGAAATTTGTACTGCACAATTTTTCCGAACATTTCTTCATATGAGCGTATTGCGATGTGAGAAAAAAAACCACTCAAAATGGTTGCTCCTATGACAACTACTAGCGTTAGAAAATTAAGGAACAGTATGATGCTGCTATTTACTCAAAATATTTAAACAACATCAGAAAGGACATATTAAACAGCTTTGCAATAGAGAGACAGATATAGTGTAGGCATGTAAAGTGCATGCAATGAGTCTTCACAATATTTTCACTCTAAAGAACAAACGGTTAAAGTCCAAGTCAAACTAATCCGACTAACGATGACCTCAATGGTGAATATAAAAGAGCCGTCACAAAGAATGACGTAAAGGAGAAATGATCAGCAATAAAGTGCGTGGCAATGAAACAGCAAAAAACCCTGATTAAGTAGGTATTGGAAGTGGTGCTCACTCTTTGGTAGGTCATGACCAGTTGGGCAACAGGAAGGCCGTAGAAAATTGAAATTATGATGAGGTACCTAAGGCAAAAAACGTTGTCAGCCTCAATTGAAGAGCGGTGTGGCCACGTGAAGTAACAAGAACGCAATATACAGCAGAACTTGTGGATCGAAAGACTTGTAGGATTACTAACAAGGATGCATTTGTAAATTTCGCAGCCAAAGAACCCTTTTAATTGATGGGAGACAGCGCATCCTTTGCGATGAAATTGCAACAATGCGATCGTAAAAATAACTCACCAATGCACGGATTTCTAATTACTTTTCAACTAAACGATCCATAATCACAAAACCGAATAAGCCCAATTTGCTTAAAATACTAGGCAGGTAATTGCGTTTGCTTACCATCTGAAGTAAATAGCTATGTCATAAGAAGGCAAAGGTTCTACCACTTCGCCCCCAGAAAGTGGGGCAGAACTCACCAAAAGTAAAGAAGATACTTTCGATCCAAAGTTGAATAGCGTTTACGAGCTAGGTCTGACACAAAGAGAGTTCGCTGAAAAACGTGAAAATAAAAAAAACGAGTACAAATTGTCTGTATCGAGACAATTAATTAAGTAATGCAGTATGGCCTTTCCTACGGATGCCCAGGTGCTTACACTATGCAAGTAGATTTTCCTGTCCTTCTGCGCATCGGCGAGAGGGTCGATATTAATCTGAAGGTGGGGCAAAGCCAACAGACCCTCCCCCACCTGTCTCACCGTCGGCAGCCCTCTACTGCCATTGAGAGCTCCACGGCTGTCACTGGCGCGAACACTGCCACCATCAAAAGTACTGCCAGCACCTCCTTCCAGTCCAAGACTAAGCCTTGAGCAAGTGGAGCACCGCTCCACCCGACCTGGCACCTCCCTCAGTGCCATGTCTCGTGTGCTTCCGTAGCTCATGCTGCGTCGGTGGTGCTGTTTTGTGCGCTGCAGCGGGGATAGCGCAATGTACGGTGGCCGTCGTAATTTTTTGCACTTGCGTCGCACTGCGGACTGGAGATGAGTAGAGCCAGCGTCGACGTCGTTGAGGTCGGAGGACGAGGAGGAACTAAAGAGACTATGAGATGGTGGCGGTAGCAGTGGTGGAGGCGGGGGTCTTTGATGAGACGTAGAGGCAGTAGGCGTCAAAGTAGAGATGGAGACCTGAGACATGGAGGCCAAGGAGGTGCTGGGACCGACCACGTGACGTGCACGAGTTGTGGCACCTTCAACGGGCGAATGAGCGTAGGTTACTGACATAATCTGGCTGTCGTAGTTTGCCTGCGGTGGGGGAGAGGCGTTTGCCAGATTTCGACGGTTGAAGTGGATGCCCGAACCCGCAAACGAGTCTAAGAGAATGACAAGTCTTCTGCATTATTAAAATGGATAGTAGTAAGACCATAATTATAGGCTATTTCAGGTATCAAGGTGATGAAAAGGGTTGTACTGTTAGACTTACTGAAATAGTACTGGACCTGCTTGTCACTATAAGTAAAAAGTAGTACAATGCTAGCAAATTTGACAAGTGAGAGCATTATGAAGCAGATTCGCACTTACTAGGAAGGGTAAACAAGTATAATAATCGCAGTAGCAGCATAAAATATGACGTAAATCCCTATTGCTCCGTAGATTGGAAGGTGGTAATGATAACCTGAAAAGATGATAAAACGTTTTCATAGACTTGCGAGCATGAAACCTACACATGCAAAATACACAAAATCATTGTTATTTAATGCAATGCAGCCATACCTGCCAGGGTAGGAGTGACTGTTATTGTAACATTCTTCACTCGAGGGATAGAGTTGTGTCCAGGTTTGATAACTAAATTTGAAAAAGGATACAAGTGTGCCAAATTTTCGTTAGTCGACTTACAAGAAGCTGTGCGAAGAATGCATTTACGGGTACTATATAAAAATGCACCAACCTGTAGCAGCACCACCGCAATCAGCATCTTCAGGTTTCAAAACCAGCACAACCAAAAATTCCGTTATGTTTTGCTCCACTTTCTATACGCACGCGTTAAAACAGTTTAAACGGGAACTTACGCTGACAGTTATGGCTCCAAGGGTTGTGACCGTTTGATAAACACCGGAATATTTAACAGTGTCTAAAATATCAGCCACAGGACACTAGCACACGCGATAACACTAGGTAACAAAGGATCATACTTTTGCAGCCTGAACAGACACAGTCATACAGAGTTTGTCAGTCGAATGAATATGGACAATCACTGAGTCAATGTCCTTCGATAAAGAAAAAAGAAAGTATTGCGGCTCTGATGGAGTAATGAGCAATTGCTCTGTGTGACCCAGTCTAAGCGAGAACTTTAGTATTACGGTCAATTCTTACTGAAGAACAAAGTTGTTGAGTACATCCAGCTGAAGACGATAAATTGGCGCATGGGACTTATCAGGCATAGAGCTCGAAAGCTCAACTATTATTTGCTCGGTGTTGTTATCAGGTGTATCCAATGCGATAAACGATGGACAAAGCGTCCGGCTGACCGCATTATATGAAAACCTGTTAATAATTCACAAAAAAATGACAAACCTATTGTTGATCATCAAAGGAAGCGAAAAAGACAGAACATTAGCTTGCTGCTTGAAAATTGCAAGCAAAGGATAAGTTTCATTTACGTTAGCTGCGCTTATATTAACTCGGACTGCCACCGACTAAACCCTATTATTTTCCGAAAAACTGGACAAACCGATTTGTTCCCAGCCAAATTGTAAGTATAATTCTGAGGATGATGAAGATACACTTCTCCGGTGTAATTTTCGGAAAAGACTGCGCATTTTGCAGAAAATATCCATACTAAAATAAAAAATATCACAAGCACACACAAGAAATGTGAGCGTCCCATCAATCTTAGCCAGTAATAATTAAACATTTTGCCTAGCTAAACAACGGGGATAGGTCAAAGACACATAAATATGAGACACCCTAACGCAATACTCTGAACTACATTCCTTTTATTATTTTCGAAGAGTAGCTACAAATAGGTGCGATATGTGTGAATTGTAATAAAACAATCTCAAGCAACTACGTTTGTATAGTGGAGAGACTACTTGAAACTGGTGTGTTTAAATGCACAGCTGCCTAGTCACAAATTGAAAATAACCCCTCTAGTGTTCAGATACGCAGATTTTGTAGCAGCTGCATGACAGAGAACTTATCCATCGGATGTGCTGCAATACAATACTCTAGTACAGCGTCATTTGCCAGTTACGCACTCGATACTGGTAAAGCAAGTATAATGTAACGTCCCGAGACTTTCCTGAAGACGAAAGTATCCATAATACTCGGGTAGAACACGCAAATTCAGCACAGAGAAGGTTTTTGGGTTACTGGATTGGCCCGAAAGCCAGTCCACCCGGCGCGGCACAAAGGCCAATTCAAAAGTGGTTCCTCGCCAACACCGAGGGACAAACAACCGCCGTATTACAGTTATGTATTTCTTTATCTTCAAGAAAGTTTTGGGATGCCACATTGTCTCAAAACAATCATTATACGATTCCAACATTGTTAAAATAACCCCCTTGCTTAAATCTAGTGCTTTTTGAGGTTCCCATTCACATGGACATTTTTTGTATATTTAGGATCGTAATAAAGCTCACTGAATGCAACTGCGCTTACAGCAGCCACGATTGCGAAACTACCTGACTTTTAATGTAAAGAATGCACTGTCATATTAAAGCAGGAAGCTTTCACAACACTTGAGACCAAAGTTTAAGAGATATTGTACAACCTAAAGGTGACTATAGATGCGCTTGCATTTTTTTGATATTTTGTTTAATCCTACCGAGCTACGAAGACACTTCAGTCCCCTCAGGTGATATACTATCTTGGCGACATGGTCTTCAGGCTAGACAAGCAGCCTCCTGGGTATTCTATTTATTAGTAATGTATGTTTTGTCATGCTACAATGGTTTATTAGGACTTTGGGGAATACTCAGAGCGCTACAGTGACTATATTTCACCAAAACCGACGTCATTTATGTGCCGTGCTGAGTCTTCTCTGAAGTCATAATAGTGCACCGCATTGTGGAGGTAGATTTATTATCAAAGCATAAAAGGGCTAAGAAGTTATAAAAATTCCTCGAAAGCCACCTTATGGGACCGAAGGACAGCCTGCGAGGCCCGCACATTTAAGCTTGCAGTCAAACTGTACATCAGATTACTACATAACCCTATTCTTTTGAATATCATTTCTAAAGTTTCTTCTGATTAATCTATTGCCTTTACCACCACAACGTAGCCGTCCCCGTAGTCGAGGTAGGAATGAGAGTCATCAGATTTTATGATAGAAGCAGCCGATCCTAACTTCACCAATGCCTCAATGCGATTCCACCGCTCTTTTTTGTGAATAGTATCGGGGAAAGGAAAAGCACTAGCATCGTAATCCTCAAGCCAGGATGATGGCCAACAACTAGAGCGCTTCGTATGCCACTTGCTATTCATGAAGAAATTTGGCATAAAAGTGGAGTCACCTAATAAGCGACAAGACTTAGGATGGGCTTTTGTCCCCTTGTGCCAATTACATTACCGTCCAGACGTCTACTTGGCTTCCAATCAACGAGTAGAGGATCGGGTAAGGCGTTGTTTGCGCCATAATTAACACTTCATTTTAAACCCAGAAGACAGATTCCCAAGTAAACCTCTTTTAGAAATTAAAGTTTGCCCTCGTCTTGACAGATAAACGCCTGCCTCTAGATATCGACATTAGGCTAACTGTGGGAGGTAGGCGTTATTACAAATTGGCCGTCCGCATCAGATTGTCTCCTCCCGGACCATGGTGTGGTAATCAGCCGCGGAAACGAGGATGACTATTTCGTTGGATCAGCTGCGCCCCCCGTTGCCACTAATGCAGTCCTGCTTACCCCTTCCGAAGTCGTGGTACGCTGAAGTGGCGTGGCATGTTAAGTGGAAGCTGTAAACTTGTGAAGATAACGAGACGACAAAGTCACAGCATTGGGTTAGGTGTAGAAGCTATAGACACATGCAGAGCAGACTCGATGCGCCTAACGGTCCCCACCACCCAAAACCCGCATTCTCGTCCGAGATGAAAAGCAGGCCGCCCAGGCACGGCCACCCACCAACACACAGAAACAGCGAGAGCCTCTGCCGAGCCCAAACAGCGTAGAATGGGGACTCTATTCTTAGGAATGGAGCAGCCGACTTTCTGCCAGCCGCAGGCAAGAAACAATGATTGTTGCCGGCCGCCTTCCTTTATCCAATTATGGCAATGAAATGCAACTTGGCACATTAATTTGCACAGAAATTATAAAAAATGTTTTCCAAAACATAAAATTTTGGGTAAAATTTATCAGGCAAACTAAATTTTACACATGTTTTGTGGTTTGATTTTTGTGTTCTTAAATGTTTAGGAATTAAATGGTAAGGCATAACTGTTACACATGAAAATTCAAGTAGTATAACGTTCTTGTCTGCAAACGTAACTTAAAGTGAAAATTTGCTATAAATGCTAGAAATCGTTGTCGACAAAACAAAGCCACAGCTCTATTCGAATTAATTACTTTTGCACATAGTTTTTTTATAATTTTATGCCAAGTAAAAGCAGAAGCCTGTGTAGGCGCGTTAATTAGACAGATTATTCGTTTTGCTTCCATGCAACCTCATGTCCTCTAGGCTATGCTGTCGGCCTCCCTGCTCTTTTTTAAATATGTTTAATGTGTTTTAATATGTTATAATAAACAGCCGTTTTGTAATAATCATGTTGTTTTAATGTGCCTTTCAGGGAGGAGGCAGATTGGTAATTCGAGTCTGGTGACAGGATCGCCGTCTCCCATGCCTGAGTGCTAATGCGGTTCCTCTCCTCCCTAAACTTGGTACTTTTTCTCCCGATCAATCCCCCCTAATAAATGTCAAAATTGAATCAACCAGGTTGTTCTAAGAACAACAGAAACGGGGAAGAGGAGACCTGTCAGTCACGCATTATAGTTTAGGTGTACCATTTTTGTGAGAGAGGCAGTCGATGTTATGTAAGAATCTCGTGACCGGACCTACGCCATTGGCCATGAGAAGTGCAAGAACCCAAAACTCATAAGACCCCACTTCCCTAAATACTTTTACAACACGCAATAAATGAGGGATGTTCTCCTCTGATTAATTTGCCTACTTTTGAGGCGTGCAGGCAGAGGAAAAAAGAGAAAAAAACTAAAATAACCAGACTAGAGGCATCGTCTGTGGATCCTCTTATGTCAAAATAGACATGGCAAGTGCATTCAGTATGAACGGTAAAAACCCTCTCTGAGGGAAGAATATCTATTAGACCAAGATGCTGCTAGGACTATCGAGTAGTTAGCTGTCACAGTCCCATTGGTAAAAAGAGCTCTCCACGAGTTGCCTGCGCAACAGGGTCATGAGGGGGAAAATAAGATGCTAGATGCCTTGATCGCCCCAGGCGCATTTGACATCAGTTGAACCCGCATCACTTGAAGCAACTTCACAAGGTCTTATATCAAAGCAATTGCACTCCTCTAGTCTGTGCACACAGTTTTCCCTGGGGGAGTAGCAGTCATTGTCATCGTGGTTCCTCTACCAACCAAGGGAGGAAACTGATGCATCCATGTTACGTTAAACCACTGCAAGAAGATAGACGAAGGAAAAACACATGCAGGTAAAAGACGCTGAGGAAGTCGCTTCTGCTTTCTTTAACCACTGGATATGTCAGCACGGAGTGGCCCAAAAGGGTACATTGCGATCAACGCGCAACTTTGAAAAGTAGGTTTGTACCCAACTGTGCAAGATCTTAGGAAGCAGATACCCACTATGTGCCAGAATATGTACTGCGGCGTAAAGTAAAGAGATGACAAACAATAAAAATCATACGGAAGCAATTACGAATGTCATATCTCAGAGAGGAGAGACGTAGTGACATAAATTGCAAGAATAAGGTAAAAACGAAAGAGACCTAGAGTAGCTGCACAAGTCTATTCCGCCAGAGATAGAGCGGAAACCATTGACCCCTAGAGAGAAAATGAAGTTAGAACCTATATTACCTCAGTTCCCTGTACGCTTTTGTGACGCTTACCTAATCAGCTCAGTGCGTGGGTGTGAAGTGAGAGGTGAAAGGGGGAAGAAGTGAACGAAATCATGAAAACGGTGCCTCCACCAAATCTGACATGCTCACGATAGTACGCGACGGCAGACAGGAGGCCGATAGACTCACCATTTCACGTTGTCTGCTTTTTATTTCGTCGCATTTGTTAATAACCCTGCTGCGGATTACGGGACTGGGGAAACGGGAACGAGGATAGTTGTGCTAGTGGGTAAGGTGAGCTTCCCGCAGTAACGAGTGCAGTGCAACGCATCCCTTCCGCAGACTTAATTAGCCAAGGTGGCGTGGAAGACTTGATAGTAGCATCAAACATGTGGTGGTAGTAAGACGGCGAATTCACTCACCTCTGTTGAGGGGGAAATATCCACACCCATATGGGCGATACGCGAGGCTCTATTTGTAAGTTTCACTATCCGTACTCGTCTGTCTTAGGGGCAAGGCATAAACTGTAAAAGACGAATATAGCTTCTAGCTCTTTAATAATGCCCTATCGGGAATGGTATTCCTGCGCTTTTGAACACCGTTGCCTGATTTGTTTCTAGGCCTTTTCAAAAGCATTTGTAGCCTGCTCTGAAAGGCGCTCAAAAGCAGGTCTACAAAATTTTGATAATGAGTCGCCACGGGTTTGTGTGTTAGTTTTTGACTTGTTTTACACATAAGTTGTTTTTCTAACCACTCTGTTTTAATAAACAAATTCGCTAATCACGTCCTTGGACCTGATCAAGAGGAAATAGGAAAGGGCTTCTTTTCATTTTTGTGGCCTTTTTTCGTATTTTGCGTATTTCACATAAAAGACATTTTTTATTTTTAACTGTTTTGAAATGTACGGAAGTCACTTTAAGCTTCCTTCAGAAGGAGATGTCGCCCCTGAAAATGGTCTTCGTAGGTCTATCAACACCCTTTCCGTAAGTTAACATGTGTGTGGGTGGGACTGAATTTCTACAACGACTTTAAGCTACATGATGGGTGCTTTTTCTGCCTAGTTGTGGTCAGCTTTTAACCTTTGTCATGTACCTGTGTCTTAAGTCTCTTGATTTAACGTTTTAACTCTTGAATATTACTAAACCGTGTTCCTCTAATTACTGTACTTATATTGTTTGTTAGGAATATTGGTTATTTTGCCCGCATTTTTCGTAAAGGTAAGCCTGGTTTTGATACTCTACAGATTTAGTGGTGAGATGGTGAAAATCTGCTGAGGTAACCAGGATGTCAAATTGCATGTTTTGAATAGGCTTTTTTAAAATATGAATTATTTTAAGAGCGGCCTCTTCGATTGGAATGGGGCGTTTGGCTTTTTGTTACATTTTTAAGAGGTGTACTTGCCGACAGCAAATATTTGCCATGGGTGCGCCTTAATTACCACCTAATTACTTCTAAACTATTGATTTGTCAAATTCGCTGTTAATGCTTCGCTTAGTAAAGTGTGTGTGAAACACCTAAAGTTGTATTAGATGGAATAAGTATGCGAATGTTCAGTGTACCTTCTAAAACGGTAGTAGTTTACACGCGTGTTTACATTTGTCAGTGGATTTCAGAAGTTTTAGCCTGGACATATACCCGTTCGTATATAAAGTTCATTAATTATCGGCTAATTCATGCATTTAAAAAGCATGTCATTTTTCTTTTAGGTGTTTATTTCCCCGAATTCGCGCGGCCAAACATATGTTTGTCAAACTCAGGCCACCACTAAAGAGACTCGTGGGACCAGTTTCGACGAAATTGAGAATCTTCGTACCGAAGTCAAACGACTCTCCGATATTGTGTCCAAGCAATCCGATTTGATATCATGCATTCAGAAGGCCTTAAGCGAGGTTAGTTAATAACCGCTTTTTACTTTTGCACAGGTGGCAACTTAGCCCATTTCATACCATTCATTTATCCACCAATTCTCATGTTGCGACCTCCATGAAAATTTCCCTGCTTCCTTATGACACGCCTTTGGAATTTTGTGCTTCCTGTTCTAGAAGCCCAACGAGGATAAGTCGGTGGATAAGTTGGACTTACAAACCGAATTTAATCAGCATAAGATTGCACTAGCCTGTCTGGAGCGCGATAATATGGCCATTGAGTCAATGATCAAGTGGCTTGAGGTAACTCCTATCTATCAACTATCTGCACTGCCCAGGGTAATATGCTCTAAAACAGAGTAATATGGGAAATGTAGCCTTTATGGATGTCAGCACAGAATGTTAATTGCACTTTTCTTCCCCGAAAACATTTTGATGACATTTTTGGTGGCTATGATAGCATTGGTATCCAGGTACTTTACTTCCAGGTGTAATGAAACGTGCATTTTGGTCATCTACCTCGTATTATTCGCCTTCCGTCATCCCTTTACTGGGAACCTTATTTATCCAATTTTGACATTGCCAAACACATCCCATGACTTGTTCGGCCTCATTGGAATAGAATGTCGTTATGCAACTTGTATGACATCCGCGAACAGGATGATCAATGATGCAACTTTGAATGCCACGTCACAAAGTTGTGAAAATTATGCGCTCAATGAAGTTTCTTGTGTCGTGGTGCGTTTTTGCAATTGTAGATCAGATTCGTTTGACATATCGTTTGCTTCCTTCTTGACCTAGGGTGAAGTTGCCTCCCTGACAGTAACAGTTGGGCATCAGTGTAACAAGCTGCTACTTCTTCACAACGCAGTACGAGGTTTGTATGCTCTTTGCCTTTTTTCTTGCCATTTTCTCTGGAAGAGTTGGGGCATTTGCCGAGTGTGCCGACTCCATTGTGCTGTCAAAAGCTACAACTTGTCAACATGTACCCCCATGTTGGCTCTGAAGCAGAAAGCTGACTAGCATGCTAATTATATAATTCTAGTAAGTTTGGTGAATGGGAGGTAAACACTATGCGAGACTACCAATTTCTCTTGAAACTGCTTTTAAGTGACTCGATCTCTTCACTTAATCAAGTTGGGGGCATCAGGATTTCAGCTGCCATAACAATGAGTTATTTTGCTGGTAAGAGTCCTTCAGTCCCATCTCAAAGCATTCTTCACCACTCTCCGAAATGGTTAAATAAGTTATTTGATCCATATGTTTAGCATAGCATTTTCGAATGAGAGAATACGATCTTTGCTTCAATTAATTGTTTGAAGTCGTCTTTTTGCTGTCAATTGTTTCTTGATCCTAGTCGGCACTTCACTGCACCGAAATGCACACATTTGGTCTAATGTCTCCCAAAAACGCAAAAAATCTTATTTACTACGACAGGATTTGGGCACAAACTAACTTTATTCGAAATGCATTTATGTGCGGCGGTGCTGACTGTGTCTCCACCAAGTTTAACAGCCACCTGAGAAAACGCGATGGTGGCGCCGTGTTTTACCAATTTTTCGGCCCCTTTTACTCCCGGTGCTTAGAAGTTCTATACCTGGAAATTGTTTTCGATAAATTGTATGACCTTTCGCTACAATTCATTCTACTGTATTCCGCAAGGGAAGTCAAGCTCTCCTCACAAGGAGGCTTTTCTTTGCACACGTGACAGATAACAGGTAAACGTGAAAAAACGTGGGGTTGATATAAACCAGCAAATGTTTACACAAACCTCATAAATAGACCTGGGTGATTGTACTTGCATCTACCTGAAAATGCCTGTCAAATGCTTCACTTTGAAGAGGCAATGTGCTGCTGCGTAGATTTCACTTGACTTACTTGTCTGCAACTTTTAACAATGCCTGTTTGTGTATTGTTTAATACTCAAGTTACTTCTGGAGGCGAGAAGTAGCAGACAAGAATGTGGTTAGTGGCATGAGCAAGGCTGTATGTTCCTAGCGCGAGGGTCAAACCACCCGAGACCACGAAGAGGCTTACGTGGCTTTTCTTTGGGTACTGTTGCAATATGACTTAAAAACTACTAGTTAATGCTGTTAAAATCCTGCAAAACAGGGAAAGGGCGTTTTGCATGTTCCACTATCCTCGAGGAATTAGGTACCCTTGAAGAATTTTGTTATTACATATAAACTGCAGATTGGTAGTGTGGATTGTTTGTTCAGAGGCACAGACGCCCTATTTGAGCATATTGGCCGCGCTAAAATAACTGTCAGGAAGACGTGCTGACTAACATTGGGGCATGAATTGCGCTTCAGACCTATATCTTGGAGCTGGTGGTGAAGCACAGTCGGAGCGCAGTAGTACGAGTCCTCAGATGCGCTCGGTCAGTTGCTCGGAGCTGCAGGCCAACTGCGTCTCCCACAGCGTCTCGGAGGGTAATGACCAGCGAGGGCGAGTGGTGCGCTCCTACACCAGTCGTTTGCCCCCCTCCGGCCACCAGTGCCAATCCCGGCATAATTGGAAACGGCTGCGTCAGAGCTCCTGTCCCAAGAAGTCTGACAGCAGTGGCAAACTCAACAGTCTGATGGTATTCCTTAAGTCTCCTAAGGTTTGTTTCTTTCTACCACTATCAGCCCTAAGAGCAAAGATTTCTCTTCTAATTTGGATATCACACTCTTGTTAACTAACTTCTAACTTTGAAAAGGGAGAAAGGATTCTCTAGTGAAATTGAAGGTACAATTCACTTCGGTAATTAAAGATGGATGGCAATGGCTAGCTAGGTGCTGAGAAACTATTTACGGGAGTTGGTGCATGCTCATTGTCATGTATCTGCCTTCCCTTTGTGATGTGTGTCAATTATTTTAGCGGATTATTTCTACAATCTTCGGATGCTTTGGTCCTTAGTAAGTTCATCCAAGCGCTGCTTCCAGAATCGATTCATTCGCATTCATTTCTCCATCTCCATTGGCTGAGATCCATTTCTCCCCAACAAAGACCTTACGAAGCGTATTCAGTGGAATGAAGAAAAGTGATTTGAATTCAGAAATAATCTTCCCAAGAGTATCTTAGATATGTTCATATTCGATTTGATTTACCATGTATCAGTTACATGGAGTCATTGAGAGCTCGTATATATTCCGTATAATGGGTCAAACTAATGTAGCACATCGAGACTTCCCGGAAGACGGATTGCCGTATTGAGGGATACTGGCATGGCTCGGATGGCAGGTTGCTTGGCAGAAATAGAATAACGTGGTCCCAAGTAGATGGTTGGCAAAAATGGAAGGTAAACAGCCAAACTTTTATGCGGCTTTTGTGTCGGCCGTCACAACATAGTCGGCGTTGCAAGGAAAGCACTCACGAATCAAAAGTATTAGTCAGGACATTCGGGTGCGACCGAGAAGATATCTGACTGAAACGTCACTGATTCGCCGTGATTTGTGGAATTTCGTCCTGTTTGTAAATTGTGTTGGGGAGGAGCGAATGTGTTAGCCACCACTGTCGATAGGAACGCACGGTGTTTAAAATAGTTTTGTGAGCATTTGGGTTTGCGTCTTTTCCTCCTCCTTACTTCATTCTCACTTCAGAGTTGCCCAGCTATATCTACGTATCTTGATTCTATACAGCTGTTGGAGGGGTTCACTTCGTTAACATCTTCGTACAGGCACCGTAGACAGCTCTGCAACGAGCTTTTGCAGATAGATCACGGTCACAGCCAGTGTCGAATCAGTTATTAATAACAGCATATTGCCCCTCTCCCGTTAAAATTTGGCATTCAAGTATAAAAAACAAGGAAATTGTCCATTGAACGGAGTTCCCTTTCCGCCGCCACCCCATTGGTCCCTAAAGACTCAAAAAATGCGGTCCTTGGGAAAAATATTTACTGTCGACCTAAAAAAGGACTTCAACTTATTGTTATGGGCTGGAGGCGAGGCCCCTTGGTGGGCGCACGATGACAGAGCCCTAAGTGGTCTGTTACCAAAACCTAGAGTTAAGCAAGCGGTTAAAGCACTACTTACAATGTCAGTTTAGCACCACATTCTTCATGCTGTCGTTTCAGATTTCGCTCCGCCAGGCGTCATTACGTTCGAATAAGCTTCGGACAAATACCTACCCACTCATCGAAGATGGTAAGTCTGACAGTTTTATCCTGAGTTACTATTTAAACCATGCGACTTGGAATGGGGTAACTATGAGCCAAAATAATTGACATATAAAGGTAATCCTGGTTTACGTAGTCCAAGCGTTATGACATCAGCCCCTCAAATGTGCATAAATATGTGAACTTGCGCTTATGCGATGAGCGTCACGTTCCTGCAATTAATTACCATCCTTCTGGTCGCTACCGCGGTACCTAGTTCTGATGCACTGACTGCACTATTAAGTGTGGTGATCACTTTGTATATAGAACGAGCCGTGTGTGGATGTAAGTAGGTCCTCATCATAAATGTTAGCGGAGTGAAACGAAGGTCATGGCATGTCGACAGCACAGTGACCGAAACCTGTGGAGATCGGGGAATTCATGTAGACGTGACCCATCTCTATACTCCTACGATAATGTTTAAATGTGGAGTGAGTAAAGGCTGAAGGGTGTCTAATTATATGAATGACGTGCTTTTCTAACATCCAGTCTGAGAAAAGGTTGCTATTGGATCTAGGCTCTGGGGAGCAGGCAGAATTATTTAGCGACCACTTGAATACCTTTGCATATTTCCATTGCATATTGTGATTTACTTCACCGTTTGATTGGTAGTTAGCTTGGACAATGTTAAATCACTCATATCGCCACTTTAATGGGTGTTATAACGTCACGACTGTGGTCTTGGACTTACCATGTGAATTCCTTCATTTTGACGGCCCGAAGGAACATCTATTTCCTATCATTTAAATAGATTGCCTTCCGTAAATGTGCAAATAGACATTTTCAAAGGTAAACCTTGATTCAAACCTAGAGTTCTCCTCGGAGGATGTGCGTACCAATCACAATGCGCGGGCGCCTTCGCTCCTCCTGTAAGTTCCCTCCAACCAATCATTCACGATGGTGTCACGCACGCTATCGTCGTTGCCTGTGGCTTTTGACAGTGACCCAGATCGCCTTTTAAAAAACCCCCCACCCTCCGTCTCTCGTCCATGGGCCATAAGTCATCTGTTAAACAGACGCATGGCAGTAGCATCCTCTGCACGGGTACGCAATGCTGCTTGGCTCCGTTTTTCTCGTCACCCGGCTAGCCTGTGATTTATCTTCGGTCATCGGGGTGACTCACCAGAAACCACCGTCCCTCGACTAGAAGTAGAATTTGCCTTCATTTTGCCTCGTTATTTCCACTGCATCAACGGTTTGTTACAGGTACACGATGTGCATCAGCCTTGTTGTGCTCCTCAGTGTCGGGTTGATTGACATGACCCAGCAACATAAAAACACCTCCCTATTGTAGGACTGCAAGTACTTTACCAAGTAAACAATTGATGAGGATAAATGGCAATTAGGAATAGCCTTTTAGCTGCAAAATTACCACTCACTGATGCAGGAGGCCTCTCAATTACAGCAAAGCGTTTTAACTACGCGTTTTCATGACCCATGAGAAATTTTCCCATTAGAATTGCGTTTAATGGATACAATTTCCTGAATGCAATTAATTTCATGGAAAGAACCTTTATTCCATTCTTGAGTAGTTGTTGAACGAGTCAATGTTATGTCTCTCCTTCCTTCAATCTTAGGTATGACTCAGTTTTTCTAGAAACGCCGATAAGGAAAAGTGACATTGGCTTGAATGCATCCTAATAGGCTGTTTTTCCACCAGCGAGTTATGGTCAGACAGTCTGGCCTCCTAACCGTGGAGCAAAGTCCTCCTCGCGAGGCTGTCATTGGTGTGCTGTCCGCCTGTCCCTGATCTCGCATCATGAAATCGCACCAGTGATCCAAAGGGAAACGCCAGTCTGAACTGTCCATGCTTTCAGATGAACACTAGATGGCAAAATAATTTTGTTCTAGTTTATCTACCTCAAGCTGTCACATGTGAAAGGCAGACGACTTCTTGTGCTAAGAAGTCCATGTAACTTTGTTCCTCTGAGGTCGCCACCCCTTAGAAAGGTGTTGCCTACGTGTGGTTTCTCCAGTGCCATTCATCTAGTTAATTTATGCAGAAGGCGAAAAATGCCACCTGGATTTTCCCTCAGAATAGCAAACAGCCTGTCAAATATGATCACTTGGAATGCGTTTACTGTTATGTGAGCGATCTCCTCAAATCTCTTTGTCGTGGGAATTAAACTCAAATAACGGAGAGAATCCAGGCCGCCTCGCTAAACCCTTCATCTGCTCCCCTCACCTTACCGCATCTCATCAAAGAGATGGCAGAACAGCCCTTCCCTGTTCGTTACATGCGCCGAGGACGTGTGCTAATTAATTCCCTTTCAATCGTGATTCCTCCACGGCCGATGGTAGGCAGTTCACCTCTTGTGTTCCGTCATTCGCTCTCTCGCACGTAGGCTGACCACTTCGTCGCTCCAGTTTACAAACTCGCTGGTGGATGATTCACGCCATCCGTCGTCTCTTCCGTGTCGACTCACAAATCCACCGCTATGGTGATAGTTGTTCTCGCTGAGCCGTCGGGTCTGAGTGACTAAGTAATTTCGCAATTAGCTGCGTGAAATGTACAACCACGTGCCTACTCACGTGTGTGTGTGTGTTTAATACTAGTCGCTTGTAGCTTCAGAGACTGCCTGGTCGCTCTAACCAGATTCGGTACGACAAACAAATTGACAGCAGAAGCCAATCACACGGAGGTCATATGTGCGTACCCTTGTGTGCATGAGCAGCTGTTGACGATTGGCCCGAGCTTCACAGGCACCCTCTGCTGCCTGGCTGTGTAGAGGAGATGGAGGAAGCATTTGCTTCGACACGGCGCCAGGGCCCTTGGCAC